TTTTTTATGCTGTAAATCAGTGGGTGGTTGATGAGTCTGCAGTGCAATCGGTCTTTTAAAGTTATTTTTAGAACTTGTTTTAAACGTCCCATCCTTCGAATTTTGCTCAGTTTTTGCGATTTGTTCCTGTTCGGATTACTGCTGAAATGAATGCCAATCTTTTGTTGGCTTCATCGAAGTTGGAAGTGAAGCAGGCGGTTTTTTCTATGCAACCAATGAAAGCTCTTGGGTCGGATGGGATGACACCGCTGCTTTATCAGAAATATTGGGAGGTAATCAAACGGGATGTTGTTGGGGCTATCTCCGGTTTTTTTTGCTACAGGGAATTTGTTATCTAGTTTTAATCATACCAATATTGTTTTAATTCCTAAGACTTCTTCCCCGGCGCAAGTTAGTCATTACCGTCCAATTTCTTTGTGTAATGTGTCTTATCGTATTATTGTGTAAATTATGACTAACCGCCTGAAAGGGATCATTGGCTCCTTTATCAATGACTCTCAAAGTGCATTTGTTGCAAGTCGCCATATCACTAATAATATTTTAATTACTCACGAAATTTTACACTATTTAAAAAATAAGCGCAAGGGAAGTAAGGCGTGGTTGGTTTTGAAACTTGATATGAGTAAAACTTATGATCGGATTAAGTGGGATTTTTTATTTCATATGCTGGCCCTGCTGGGTTTGAACGCCCACTGGATTCAAATGATCACGGCATGTCTTTCCACAGTTTCTTACTCTTTAAAAATCAATGGGAGTTCTGTAGGTTTTTTCAAACCGTCTAGGGGTTTGCGTCAAGGCGATCCTCTCTCCCCATATTTATTTATTATTTGTGCCGAAGCTCTCTCAATTGCTATTATGCGTGCTCAGCAAGCTCGGTCGTTATCTGGTATTCGTATTTGTAGATGAACGCCGTCTATTTCTCATCTTTTTTTTGCTGATGATTATATTGTGTTTTGTGCCGCAAATCCAGAGGAAGTGGTTGTTCTTAAAAACATTTTGGTAGAGTATGAATAGGCTTCTGGGCAATAAGTGAATTTTAGTAAATCATCTATTTTTTTCTCTCATAATACTTTGGGATATATGCGCCGCTCTCTGAGTCACTATCCGGGATTGCAGCTGTAGGGTTTTCATAGTCGGTATCTTGGGTTGCCGGCTATTTTAGGTCGGTCTAAACGTGATGTTTTCCAGTTTATTCTGAATAAAATACAAGACCGGTTAGCTTTTTGGAAGGCGAAATCTCTATCCACGGGTGGCAAGGAAGTGATGATTAAAGCGGTGTTGAGTGCCTTGCCTACGTATGTTATATCATCTTTTAAGCTTCCTACTACACTGTGTCATGATTTGATGAAGCATATTTGTTCTTTTTGGTGGTGTAATAAGGATAAACCTAAGGCAATTCATTGGATCCACTGTGATCTTCTCTGCCAGAGTAAGAATTCGAGTGGTCTTGGCTTTCGGGATCTGGAAGCTTTTAATTTAGCTCTTTTAGCAAAGTATGCTTGGCATTTTCAGGTGCAGAAGTAAGGGATGGTTTATCAACTTTATAAAGCCAAATATTTTCCTTCTTCATCGTTTTTGGATGTTTCTTTGGGATCCAATCCTTCCTCGAGATGGCAGAGTATATGGTCTACTCAGGCTTCGTTATGCCAGGGAGTCCACTTGTTGATTGGCAATGGCACATCTATGCATGTTTGGAAAGATCATTGGGTCCTTACGCTTTCGGATAAACTGCCACTAACCCCGGATCCTCCTCATTTTTCTTCTGTATCGGAGTTGATTGATACTGCTACGTATTCGTGGAAGGTGGATGTTTTGTCTCAGTTTTTTCCTCCTCTTATAGTGCAAGAAATTCTCAAAATTCATATCAGTATGTGGGATAAACAGGATGAGGTCATTTGGACTCCAGAGCGGTCGGGTAAATTTTCAGTGTGGTCTGCTTATAAATTGGCCATTTCCATGTCTAATTTTGCAGGTAATTTTCTTCCTACTTGTCCTTGGTCTTCGATTTGGTGGTGTCATACTCTATCTAAGGTGCAACACTTTCTTTGGAGATATTGTATGCATGCTTTGCCGGTTCAGGTAGCTTTGTTAGACCGAGGGTGTGTGGTATCGCCTCTATGCCCTCGTTGTGGTTTACAAGAGGAATCTGTTGTGCATCTTCTTCTTTTTTCTTGCCCTCACTCTCTTCAAGTGTGGAAGTTATCCCCACTGCGTCTTGATTTTTCAGCTTCTTCTTTTCCTTCTTTTTGGATTGGCTGGAAGTTCTTGTTACAGAAGGCTATTCTCTCTTCGGATTTTGCGGATGTGCTTAGTTTGATTTCTTTTTGTGCTTTGGGTATTTGGAAAGCCAGGAATCGGTTGATATTTGAGGAGTTTTTATGGAGGCCTGAGGTTGTGGTGCAGAAGGCTGTTGCCGGTTTTTGGGAGTTCCATGATGCTAGGTCCCTCTTTTCTTTTTTGCAGCCTAATCCGGCTATCAGTTTGGTGGATGTGTGGACTCCTTCTCCTTTTGGAATCGTTAAGTGCAATTTTGATGCTTCTTTTTGTAGGCAATCTATGCAGGGAGTGGTGGAACCGTTTTCCGTGATTGTAGAGGGGAGGTGCTTCAAGCAATTATTTTTCGTCCCTTTTCCACTTCTTCAGCTTTCGAGGCAGAGGCGTTGGTGTGTAAGCGTGCTGTTTTTTGCGCTATGCATTTGGGATTTTCTTGCTTTTGGTTTGAGTCAGATGCTTTGGTGGTTATGAATGGGGTGTGGCATAAGGAGACTTGTCCTTTGGATATTGCTTCCATCTGTTTTGAGATTTCTCGGGACCTGCGGCTATTTTCATCGGCTACTTTGACTCATGTTCGTCGCTAGGGTAATCGGGTGGCTCATGCGTTGGCAACTCTATCGAGGCCTGGGCTTGGGTCGGATCAGTTTTTGTCTTCTTTACGTCCTTCTGTCGTCCCATTGGCTGTGGCTGATGTTGTTTCTTAGTCAGATTGTTTTTGTTTTGATTCTTGTGTGTTTGTCTTTACCAAGAAAAAAAAATAAAAAGAAAAAAGAAAAAAGAAAAAAAAGAATGATAGAAAAGAGAACAAAAGTACATGCCTTGAAGGACTCCAAAATTTGAAGGCGATGATGATGAATTTCTTTGTTTTTTTGTTTGGTGGAGAATTTCTTATATACAACAGCTAGAAAACAAAAGCAGCCCAAGCAAGCCCAGATTGGGCTATAATACACTACAATCAAGACCATAGTCTAGCCCATACAAATTCTAGTCCAAGACTAGGCCCAAAGACCAAACAAAAGTAACTGTGGGTGGGTGTGTTTTTGTTTGTTCAACCGATCGAACAGAGAGATCAACAAAACCCTAGCAAGTTGGCGCCTTTGCATCTCACCCATGGCTCTCCTCCGTTGTCTTCTTGCCAGAAATTAATGCAATACGAAGAAATTAGGTTTCCTGAGTTCACATCTGATTAGCCATCATCCTATTCCTTCTTCGTCTTTTTTCACCACCACCACCCTTCCGACGGAGAGAAGTTTCGACGAGCATCATCGGAGAGGCATACACACTTCAATCACAAATAGGCATCCAGCAATTGACTCAACGACGACGACGACGACGGAGGAGGAGCATTGTGTGGAAACCCTAGGAGGAGGCGGTTTTAGGGAGAAGCAAGGGTTTGAGATGAGTCCTCGCGTGATAGCCCTGGCCAAATTCGCGTCGTTCGCCATCGGTGACGCTCAGAATCTGAATGTTGAGTTCAAAAGGGTGGTGAGCGCCAAGGTCCAACTGCTCAATAATGGGCGATTGTACTCCATTACCATAGAGTCTGCGGTGTTATTGGTCGGTTTCGTCAAAAAGTTTTACCAAGTCCATCTTCTTGATTCCCTCCTCGAATGCAACACCGTCACCTTGAAGGAATGGTGCGAACTCAACAACATTCATGAATCATCATAATTTCATTGCGTTAATTTTTTTTTTTTTTTTTTGAGATGGAGCAAGAGTCTGTTAAACAATACAAAACAGAGATGCTGCTGGTGGACTGACTAATATTTCTGCTGAACGTATTGTGGGAGATATAAATTATTTTAGTTTTAATAGACAGTCCCTGTACCTCATATTGGGGCAAAGTTTCCTGTGTTTTCTTCCTATTGCATTAGTCATAATATTGCATCCTTTAATTATTTTATGTCATGAAATTAGTGTCATGGAATCCTGGGTTACATCTGGAACTAAACACCATGTAGACGCATTGAGGAGGAGAGGGTGCAAAGCCGATAACTTGTACAAGGTGGTGTAAACGATTTTTTGAAAAAAAGTGTGTAAAATGGACAATATCTACCTTCTAGCTCGAAAGGGGAGGGGCATGACAAGAAGATAGGCTAGGGAATTCTTCCTCTCGTGTCTGGTATCCTACCAATACACAGGCAACAACCTTTTCATCTTTTGAAACACCTATTATAACACCAGAAGACTAAATACATTGGCTCATAACGATGCTTCTAAATAGGGAATATTACATACAAATAAGTGCTACTTATAATTTGGAAAATGCTAATTAAGCCTAAAAGGCATTGAATAATTCAAGTGGAAGGTATTATGGTGGGTTCCACTTGAATAAATCAAGAGCTTGCTGCATGCCCCTCTGCTGGCCTTTTCAGCCAGCCAGCCAGCCATTTCGGTGCTGCTATTAGCAATTTCCTTTAATTTTATAGGACCACACTTTTGGTGCCAATTATAGAGGGCACTCCACCACCCTGCATTGAACATCCTTGTGCCAGAAATACATTGAAAAGAACAACAATAAAGGCACTTTATAACAACATAACCACTCAACTTGCAGTAAACTAAACAGTACTTGAGCTTTACTTAGTGAGAGAGGTCAGCACCGTGATTCATGGCCTAATTTCAGGGAACATTGACATGCCACAAATTCAGATTTATGTCAAGCACATTAGTCTTTGTTGTGAGGTCAGTTTTTTTACACACAATAATTCTCTCGATACAAAGAACTAATGGTTTTCTACACAGCATATTTCTTTCAATACAACGTAGTTTGCAAACTGATCTTTCATTGTCACCTCACTGCAATAAGATTAAAACAGACCAGGCAACAAACACAGCATTAGCAAATGACAGAAGAAAAAACAGACCAGGCAACAAACAAAGCATTAGCAAATGACAGAATTTACAGACCAGGCAACAAACAAAACATTAGCAAATGACAGAATAAACAGAGCAGGCAACAAACAAAGCATTAGTAAGATTATAACATAGCAAGCAACAAACAAAGCATTAGCAAATGACAGAATAAACAAAGCATTAGCAAGATTATAACAGACCAGACAACAAACAAAGCATTAACAAATGACAATAATAAATATACCAGGCAACAAACAAAGCATTAGAAAAATTAAACAGATCAGGCAACAAACAAAGCATTAACAAATGACAGAATAAACATACCAGGCAACAAACAAAGCATTAGCAAGATTAAACAGACCAGGCAACAAACAAAGCAGTAGCAAATAACAGAATAAACAGACCAGGCAACAAACAAAACATTAGCAAATGAATTGGGTCAGAGCATGACCTACATGTAAAACTCTTGAAATAGTTCAATCATTGAACCACTATTTTAGAGAACAGAAAACTATCTAATGCAAATCCAAGAAATCAAGTCATTAAAAAAACAAAAATCAGATATTAAGATCAAGTTCAGAAACCTAGGTAGTTCATATTGTCAACAATAGCTTTGCTACTTCAAAGTTTGCTGAATGGGATTCAGATTTCTTGACAGCGCTATGACAAGCTATAGGCCCTGAAAGGCTCATTGCTTCCCTCAACTAGAAGTTGAAATATAAGAAGCCTAATATATGTCTTGAGAAACATTATATATATATATATATATATATATATATATATATATATGGTCTGGTTCATTGATTGTATTCGGATCTTTGAACCGAAAGATGGCGTAGTTAACATATGTCTGTGTTTGATTTGGACAAATGGTAGACATGGTAGAAATCACCTACTATTTAGTGAATCAAAATAATTTTAATTTTTCATATAATGTTAACTTTATGAAGGCCATGCATTAACATGCATTTCTACAATACTGTATCTTCATTTTCTCATATTTCTATACACTATTTCACAACACTCTCCTCTCCTTTCTTCACTCCCAACTTCTAAATTTTCATTGCTCTTTCCTCTCAAGTGCTAACACCTGACATACATAATTATTTTTGAACCCATTCATCAGCTAAAATCTAAGTACATAGTATATCCTTCTTAATTTTCATTTGACATAGGTTAGAAAAAACAAAAATGTCTCTTTAAGCTGAGATGCTGAAATCTCTTCCTATAATCTAATAAAGATAAGCATAATCAATATATGTAAGTATAAACCATTCATATATACTTTGTGCTTTTACACTCTTAAATTTACTACTTTAACAGTACTCCGTGAGCTAGGTAAGCAATATACTTATTAGGAGTATGTTTAGTAATATAAAGCAATAATTATAAGCATAAAGGACATTTATATATATTATTTAAGCATTGAGAAACACAAGTAAACTTACGCATATGTATGAATATACTTGTGTATATGCAGGAAGGAAAAAGGCAATGAAATGAATGTTCCACAGGTAAAAGTATGAAATTCAACGTTTCCAAATGTACCTTAGGTAAAGCACTACCATCCCAATCGAGTACTTCTATAAAACTACAAGATGTGAAAGCAAATGATCAATATTGAAACCTTATATGTATTGTATTATTTTTCTAACATGAGGTAATAAAAGAGTACTTACACAAGCAAAGAGATCTTCATTCACCCCATCGAGAATTGGGTATACTGGCTTCTGTGCCAAATAAAAGTTCTCACTAGGATCTTCCACGTCTCTCCTAACGTAAAAGAAACCACGCATGCCCCACTTCTCACCATGAGAGTTCTTCAATTTCCAGACTCTTTCTCCATCAATCACGTCGAACCCTACAATCTGTACTGCGAGTCCTTCTACCTCTCCATCAAGTTCTGCTGGAGAAGGCCTCAAGATACCCTTAGAATAGTCAGACAGGACAGATACATCTTTTATCTGTAGTGATGATGAAATAGGATGAAATGTTACTGCAACACGCAGAAGGCTTTCTTTAAATTCAGGTACAAATCCTATTCCATTGATGTAGAACACTGGTCTTGAATGCTGCAGAAAAAAAGATCTAAAATTTTAGGTAAACAATGGCAATGTTTACACTAACATACTAAATGAAGTAAAGTATCACATAAGGCATTTTCTAGACCAAATTACATCATCATAATAAATTGTAACAATGTAGAAAAAAAAGCCGCCTCAAGTGGTGTGGAAGAAAAGTCTCCTTTAGTGGGAATTATCACACCCCAAGCTCATGACTGGCACACTACTAAAATGCCATCTCTCCCTGGTTAAATTTAACAATGAGGCACAAATCGTAACATAACCATGACTTATTAAGGGTCAAACGTACCCGGCCAAAAACCTTGGGAGATGAAGGCTTTCCAAAGTAGGGATAATCTGCCTCCAAAGACAATCCGTTTTTTTAACCCAATTAAAACCATCCAGAAGAGTCCCTCCTTCGTTTCTATTAGAGCTAGTCCCAGGTTTTGATCCGGCATCAAAGTCTATCAGTTCTTGGGGTGTGAAGACTAATGTTTGATTGGTGGCCAATGTATACAATGAGCTCAGGGCAGCATCAATCTGAAATGCCCAGCAATGATCTGAAAACAGAAGTATTAAGTTATAAAATATAAATAACATGAACCAAAGACAATTTTTTATTAATTAACACTTACTATATTGGCCTTGGTTTCTGACTGGACTCACTATTCCTCCATGTAGTCGTCCGCTACCATTGGATTTGCATCACCCTCAAACATCACTGGCATCAACTTAGAGAACCCTGAAATCAACTTGAGACGTTTCTGTGCTGGCGTCTCCTCTACCTGAACTACCGGTTGTGGTACTGATTGCGGAAAGGTAGCAATTGTAGCCCTCAAGGCACTCTACAACTAGCGGTTCAATGCTAGTTCCGCTGAACCTTCACCCTCCTCAACGGGTGCTTCAACATTACCCCTCCTCGTGAAAACACCTCTAGGGGGAACCAAGTCGATCCCTAAGAAGTGTATCCTCTTCAACCTGCTCTGCTGGGTTGGAGCTAAAGCTTTCACCAACATCACCTCTTGTCGGCCTAGGGCCAACCTCCCTTGGTTCCGTACTCGGTGGCATTGTGCTATAAAACGAGAAAATAGTTCAATGACATGACACTAAGGTCCACCGTGGACAACTCAACATGAAATGATGCCATACCAACACTTAGCATGCAAAACTATGCAAGAAATACTCTAATATAAACACGTAAGCACATAAACAATTAAACAGTTAAGCATACTTCTTCAAATAACAAAACACGTAGCAAATAATCACATACGGAATACAAACAACCTCCCACGCATCTCTATGTAGGCCTCTATCCGTCGTCCTAATGGTTTTCGAACCATGGCTCTGATACCAAAATCTGTAATGACCCGAACCCGTGGGTCCGAACCCTTAACCGGGTCCTTGTTCGAACTCGAGGTCACCTAAGTCGTTCTCGTCATTTCTAATGTCAAAACGTCACTTTGAAGGTCATCATTGGACTTTACAGCGGCTTAGAACAAATTTTCAAGGCTTAGGATTTATTACACTGAAGAGGAGAACAAAATGAGCAAAACAGGTGCGCTTCGGTCGACCGAAGTGGAACATCGGTCGGCCGAAGCAACTCCCTTGAACCGGTTGACCGAAACAGGCATTTCGGTCAACCGAAATGGGACTTCTACTGCTACTGAAGTCTCTGGATGGTTCGGTCGGCCGAAGTAGGTGCTTCGGCAGGCCGAAATGGCTCTGCGACCCCTGGAATTGCTATTGGAATGCTGAAATTCAGAAATGAGCAATGGTCTATGGAAAACTTTGCAAATTAACTTCAAATTTGATCTAAAAACTCTTCAAATGATGAAACAACATACTATAATCATGATCATTGGCATTTTAATTTAATACAACATCAACGAGTCCACTCAAATAAGAATTTAAGTATAGTCTTTACATTTATCCAATTTTGCATCAAAATAGAGCTAAGGCTTATAGTTGGATTACAAAGCCATGATAGTAAGTTTAATCACATTCCAAAATATGCATTACAAAAGAATGGCTCTAAGTTACAAGAGATAACAAAAATAGGCTTTTAGTAACCCTCAAACTTGCGATGGATTGTCATCCGCCACTTTCTTCTCATAACCTGAAAAATGTTAAATATAAAAGGGGTGAGCAATTTGCTCAGTAGGTGGTGCCTAAGACACACCTCTTGTAACCCCATGAATCAGAACAAGAAATAGGACAATAGGGAATGGGATCATACTACGTCGGAAAAATGTAACATTTCTTTCAAGCTCAAAATGGACAATATGGTGCTATGGAATGCAATGCGTGCTATGTCGCTCCTCATTTTCAAAACCATCCATCACTTTTCAAACTGTTAATATAACCCGTCTGTTGGTGACTCCGCAGCGACACGAGAGAAAGATTGGCTACTGTCCCTGACCCTTGGTACCTCCGCGGCATCATTTGGGGCCCAGATAGTTCAACCACGCTAAGGTGATTTCCCTAATTCCCTCTAGGCTTTATTAACACCACGGCCCTTTGGTGACTCCGCGGCGACTAGGTTTTCATAAAAATACTTTAATCAAAACTTCTTCCCAAGATTCCCCTTTTCATTTCAAACAAATCATTCCCATTTTCTTCCCAATGCTTATGCATGAATGTGTCATGTCATACATATGTATTCATCACTCTTCAACAATTTCAACTTAAACTACACAAGAAAATTTCACATGCTCTATATATAACATTTCTAGCAAGTTAACAACATAATGAGCATAGAAAACTAACACTTAAATATGCTTTCCATCCAAATCAAGTAATACACATAGTTACATGCTTCATATACTCATTTAAGCCATTTTAAAACAAAATCAACACAATCTAGCATATCAAACAACAAGTAATAAGAATATAACTCATATAAGCACAATAATGCATGGATTAGAAACCCTAACCTCAAGGAGAATGAAAAACCCCCAAAATGGGTCCTAAAACCGGAATCCCTAGAGTGCACTAAAACTGAAATTGCTTATATGGAAGTGAAGATCTCGCCGTGTTCTTTGAATTGCCACAAACAGCTTCCAAAAATTCCATGCAATGAAGGAGGAATTAAGACTTGAAGTTTGTTTGACAAAATAAAAGAAAAATTGCAAATATAAGGGTGGGAGAAAGCTAGATGGGGAAAGAGATAGTGAGAGACCAAGTGTGGTCTCTAGGCCACTAAGTATGTGAGTGGTGGATCCCACCACCAACATTTTCAATTTTTGACTTTTCTTATGCACCACACAAATATATATGTACACAACCATGTAAAATACCACATAAAACACATAAAATAAAATACATGAGATGCAAATGAACCCAACTAAAATCCCCGTACACAACAATACCGGTAGCGGGTCCCACACGGGACCTTCCGGTCCGAAAAATCAAAAAATGCTTAAATGGCAACCCTTACATTTCAAAGAGCCCTGAACTCAATGAAATGCCCCCAAACAACTATTTAACACATCCGGCACACTCCACGGTATCCGGTACGCAAGATGTGAAAAGACAAAAAATACCCTTGCATCAACAAAATTCCGGAAAACTAAAAAATAAAAAAAATTGGAAACATTACAATGGAATCTTTCCAAAAACCAGATTCAAAGTGTAGCAATTGATTCACCCACCTAAAATGCCTCCCCGATATGTCTACTAAATTAACCTTCAAACCACTGATCCACATGTCCTGATCCCATATCCTGATGCAACCACACCTTCAAACCTTCCTCCAATAAGTATTTAGCCCCCATGGAACTCCTCCAAGCCCAAGATGGGTTATTACCCACCTTCCCTTAAAAAAAAATAAAAATTAAAAAAATAAAAATAAAAAAAAATAAAAATAAAAACGAAGTTGCATGTTAAATGAATTTAAATCTCAAAATCGCACAACCCCTCTACTTTCCTTTCCAACTTTTCACTTTCCTCTCCACTAGTGTTTCTAATCCAACTCTTCACTTTCCTCTCCACCTGAGTTTCTAAATAGTTGAAGATCTCTGTGTCTTTGATATCCCAACTCTATAATATTGCTAATTCTAGCCCCGTTTTTGTTGGTTCGACCATCTTGGGCCTTTTCGCTTGCCTAATTTCCCCAAATCTATAGTTTAGCCCGAGCCCAAGACAATGAATCTTTGGGCTTAAACAAACTCGTACATATATCTATATGCACGCTAAAATCAAAACACACACACAATTGGAAAATGTACTCATACGTTAGCTTTCTCAGACCTTATTAAATAATTAAAAAGGCAATTTATGTTAGAGGATTTGGGTGAACACTTCCAAACCTCTACTTAAACAAAATTAGATCTATATTTACATAATTATTACATCAAAAACCAAGATCATGTTACAGTAAACTCGAAACATACAAATCTACGCATATACACAAAAATAAGATCAAAATGACTATTTGTCTAGTTTACCTTGATTGTACTATGCAATCCGCAATTGGATATACTCTGAAAGATAGAAACGAGGTAGGTTAAGAAATGTCATGGATGTATCATGTATGCGTATATTATATATAAAAGCGATGTATGTCAGTATGTGTGTGTCTATATATATATATATATATATATATATATATATATAGAAGAAATGTATGTGTGTGTGTGTGTGTGTATATATATGTGTGTGAACAATATTAACCATTACGTCGCAGAGAAGTTGATCCCTTATTAAAGTCTTTGAAGTCGACTTGCAAAGAGTAAACATCTGCATTATATACAGTAAACATCGTTTAGAGAATCTTTCTTCATGCAAAAAGCAAAGCCTAATAGGAGTATTAGGTATTAAATTTTACCTTCCTTACAGTTGCCATGGGAGCAAATGTGCCAAGACAAAGCACCAGGAGTGAGAGATATACAGTAAGTAAACTCTTACCTCACTGCGTGTAAAGAGAAAAAGCTTAAAAGTTCATACTATATAGAGAATAAATGGAGCTAATGTTGTACGTCATGTGTATAAGAGGCTATAAGCGTATCTTGTGCGTGCATATAGAGAGCGAGCGAGCAAGCTTATACCTGTATGAGGAATGAGAAAATTGTGTAGGTATAACAGTGGTGGTCCCGATTATGTATAATGGTTGTGGTCCCTACAAATCCGTTGGATATTGTGTTATATAATATATACACAAAGAAAGGTCTGGAGAGCTGAAAGTAGTGCGTGAAGTGGTGCCATTTTGTGTGAGCAGAAATAAAAACCTCTCTCATATATATATATATATATATATATATAGGAAAATGATATTTCAACTGAAGCATTTGGCCAATTAGTTAGGCAGATTGGTATTGATCATTTCTTACGGCCCATTCCACCACGAGTTACTCCTGATATGAATAATCGCTTAATTCTGCCGCCATTTGAGGAGGAAATTCGTGGAGCTATTTTTGATATGCAGCCATGCAGAGCTCCGGGTCCTGATGATATGACTCCGTTATTTTATCAACGATATTGGCACATTATTAAGGCGGATTTCATTGCTGCGATATGTAGTTTTATGCATTTGGGTCATCTTTTATCTAGTCTAAATCATACTAATATCGTTTTAATTCCTAAAATTGAATCCCCCACCCATGTTTCCCATTATAGACCAATATCATTATGTTCTGTTGCTTATCGGATTATCGCTAAGGTGCTTACTAATAGGCTTCGTGAAATTATTCCCTCTGTTGCTAATGAATCTCAGAATGCATTCGTTCCGGGCCATCACATTACAAATAATATTCTGATATCTCATGAGATTATCCACTACCTAAAAAATAAACGTAAAGGTAAACAATCGTTCCTTGCATTGAAATTGGATATGAGTAAGGCTTATGATCGAATTGAATGGCCTTTTCTGTTAGGCATGCTTGAGAAATTGGGTTTCCATGCTCATTGGATTACTTTAATTAAGGCATGCATTTCAATAGTTTCGTATACTGTGATGATTAATGGTAAACCAGCGGGGTTGTTTCGTCCCACGCGCGATCCCCGCCAAGGGGATCCGTTATTTCCCTATTTATTTATTCTGTGTGCAGAAGCTCTGTCTCATTCGTTGCAGGTGGCCCTTCAGCATCGAGTTTTATCTGGGATTCGTGTGTGTCCCCAAGCTCCATCAATTTCTCAATTATTCTTTGCGGATGATTCCATTGTATTCTGTCAAACTTCTACTACTGAGATTGTTTTTCTTAAGAACCTATTGCAGAGGTATGAAAGGGCATCTGGGCAACAGATAAACTTTTCTAAATCCTCTATTTTCTTTTCACGTAATACTTGTTTGGAGAATCGTGTTGCTTTGTGTCAGTTGCTCGGCATTCAAGACCAAGGTTTGCGTACAAAATATTTGGGCATGCCTACGCTTATTGGTCGGTCCAAGTGGGATATATTTCACTATATCTCCCAACGTGTCGTTACTCACTCAGCATCTTGAAAATCTCTGCTCTTATCTCCCGCAGGTAAAGAAATTTTAATTAAATCAGTTTTCAGTGTTTTGCCCACATATGTTATATCTTGTTTTAAGCTGCCCCGTAACCTTTGCAATTTCATTCTGAAGTATGTTCGTAATTTTTGGAGGGGTAAAGAATGTGCCTCTGCTTCTATCAATTGGGTTAAATGGGAGCTTTTGTGTACTGCTAAAGAAGAAGGGGGATTAGGGTTTCTAAATTTTGAGGCCTATAATGATGCTTTGTTAGCTAAGCAGGGTTGGCATTTTTTGGTCCACCAAAATGGGATGGCTTTTAAGATCTTTAAAGCCAAATATTTCTACAATTGTTCCTTTTTAGAAGCGCAATTGGGATCAAATCCTTCTTGGGCTTGGCGCAGTATTTGGTCTACGTAATCTCTCATTACTGCTGGATCTAAATGGATTATGGGAAATGGTCTCTCTATTAATATTTGAAATGATCGATGGGTACCTGGTTTGACTGGTAGGCTGATATGACTTACTCAGTTGGTGCTTCCTGAATTCGTGGGGGATTTATTTGATTCTCAGCAGACTCGTTGGAATGTCAATTTGATTCAATCTTTATTTCCGCCCCCTATTGTTCAAACTATTCTTAGTTGCCTTTTCAGTTTCTTTTCTAGAGAAGATAGATTGGGGTGGGATGGCAAGCCTAATGGTAAGTTTTCGGTAAAGTCCGCTTATTTTCTGGCTTTTAGATTGGGGCACCATGGGGCGGAAGCCAGATTTCAGGCTCCTGAATCTTTTACTTCTCGACAACACTTGATGTGGCGTAGCATATGGAAATGCAAACTACGACCAAAGATACAACATTTTTTATGGAAATGTTGTCATCTTGCTCTACCGGTTCGTCACTTTCTTCGATTACATGGAATGTTTGTCGATGTTATGTACCCACGGTGTGGTGATGAGGAGGAATCCTTGGAACACATGTTTTTCCTTTGTCCTCATTCTATCCAGATTTGGAAATTATTGCCTTTAAGTTTTGATTTTTCAGTGGACCAACCTAAATTGTTTATGACTTGGTGAATGACATTAGTAGAGAGGTCGGGGTCGAAGGATGAGGTTCAGGATGTTTTAGGTTTGGTGGTTTTTTGTTGTTGGGGTATCTGGAAGGCTCGGAATGCTTTTGTTTTATATGGAAGGCTTTTTAATTCGCTAAGGGTGGTTTTGTTTGCTTGTTCCTCCTTCTAGGAGTTTAAGGAGACTTTCAGTTCTATAGGCATTGATTTGACTTCTTATCCGGTCGGCCCTAGATCGATTTTGTGTCCCCATCCCTCCCTTTCTCATTGGTTGCCTCCACTAGAGGGTATTATTAAATATAATGTGGATACTTCATTTATTCGGTTTCTCAGATTGGGGGTGGTGGTGCTATTTTCAGGAATTCTAGGGGACGTATTTTAGATGCGTTGGTTTTTTCTCCTTTTTCGGCTTCAAATGCTACTATGGCTGAAGCTCTGCGTTTGCGTAAAGCGGTGCTTTGGGCCTCAAATTTGTCTTCTGATAAGTTTTGGTTCGAGTACGATTCTTTGTTGGTGGTCCAAGCAGTTGATGGCGCTGATTGTGGTCCGGTTGAAATTCAGTCAGTATCATTTGATATTCGAGTGGCACTTCAGCGATTCTCTTATTCTTGACTTAGCTATGTACTTAGGCATGGTAATAAGGTCGCCCGTGCTCTTGTCCAGCTTTTGCGTTAGCACATTATCAAGGATACTGCTTTCATTTTTATTCCTGCTCATATTCTTGCTATTGCAGGCAAAGATTGTGTCTTTGATTAGGCTGTTGTTGTTTATTTGCCTGAGTAAAAAAAAATTGGAAAAATTACATATAAATGGAGTCAAAGTTCCATATTTACTTAGAGGCTGAGTCAAAGTTTCATATTTCTCTAAAATGGATTGCTGAGGTGGCACATGGTTTTTTACTGTTTAGAAATTGTGGTGCCTAAAATACCCTTCCGCGAAGGTACTACTTTTTCTTCGAAGGTACTACTTTTTTGAACTGAAAGTACTACTTTTTTGTGTCCAGGTACCATGTTTTTTAAACACCCGCGAAGGTACTACTTTTTCTTCGAAGGTACTACTTTTTTGAACTGAAGGTACTACTTTTTTGAACTGAAGGTACTACTTTTTTGTTATGGAAGGGTATTTTAGGCACCACAATTTTCTAAACAGTAAAAAACCATGTGCCACCTCAGCAATCTATTTTAGAGAAATATGGAACTTTGACTCAGTTTCTAAGTAAATATGAAACTTTAACTCCATTTATATGTAATTTTCCCAAAAAAATTTTAGTTAGGCAGAGTCTACGTGGTTGTCCACGTGACAATTTAGTACTTTCGTTCCTTTCTCCTGTCTCTCTCCATCTCTTTCTCTATCTCTATCTAACATCTCACTAACCACCACACAAATCCGGCCAGACGATTCGGGTGAAGTGACGAAGGCGGCGAACATAAGCTTCATCTTCGGCACCGATCGGTCCTGTAAAAATTGTTTGTTGACTTCGCCGTGACGAAAAGGGTGTCGTGTTGGCTTCTTCATCCTTAGAATTTTTTTTTTTTTTTTTTTTCTTTCAGGTCGGTGTTGTTGCTGTGGTCTGTAGTGATGAGTTGAGACTGTGTTCGTAGCGAGTCGCCGGTTTAGTTGTAATTGATGCTTGCAAGTCTCGTTTTCCCCAAGAGCAGAGGAGACAAATTAGGCGAGGTTAGTAAACGCAAGTTTATCGGTGACTCCATCCATGACCAAATCGGGAAACAACATGATCGGCGGCAAGCAAGTCTGAAAGAAAGACAAGGAATGGGGGAAGCGCTTACGATGAAGTTGAAAGCAACGACCGAAGCAATAGAGACGTAGAACATAGAAGGACTTGGGGGCTATCAATCAAAGTAGCTAAAGGATGCCGGATCGGGAAGCGACATGATCGGCGGCGAGCAAGTCTGAAGGGGTTCAGAGCACTAATTTCACCCTCTTGTATTGTTGGGGTGGTTCTGCTTCACCCTCTTTTGAGCCTCTTTGCACTCGGTCCCCGATCACTGTCGGAAAAGAGAATCGACGATCGCTGCCTTGTCAGTGTACCATTGTCACCGGAATAGAATCTCGTCGCCGAGTTGTGAGTTGGATTTGCTGTTGCGGCCGCGATTTGTCTGTGCTAGCTTCGCCTTGTTGTGATAGCTAGCTTCGTTGTCGCCGTTGTTGTCGTGGCCTCCCAGTTGGTGAGCCGCGTTTTGTTGTCTGAGATATGAGAATGCGAAGACGAAGAGTGTGTTTGGTTACAGGGTTTGTTCGTCTATCGCCAGCGTGGACTGCCACTTAGGATTCTGCCTATGATTCTGCATCGGCCTGAGTATCATGACCCATATATATATATATATATATTGGGTAATTAATTAATTAAGCTTCTCTCTATGGGTTCAATTGATTATTGCTGCTCGTGATCGTACCATTTGTTCTGTTCATCAAGCGCTCCAATGCTTTCTAGAGACGAGCATTGGTGATTGGAAAATTTATTTGAGAAAAGATTCTTTTATTCTCCCCCTTGTGGTATCTTTAATTTTATCTCAGGATTATGAAATTGTTGAAATGGTGATTTGGTTATTGACTTATTGCTGTTGGTAGAAATGGATTTTAATGTTTACTGCGATTTTCCACCTCTGGTATTTTTTGAGTGTTATACTTCCGTATAATTTTAGTTGTTGGTCAGTTGTGGTTTTGGCCTTTCATTGTATGGTGTCTCTCTTTCTCTTACTTAATGTCGTAATTTGTTTCAGTGAGCAAGCCCCATCTAAGTCAAGAAACAATAGTGGAAAACCATCCATGGACGTGGCTGTGAGTGTTCTGATTAAACTTGTTATTGACATGTATGTTTCGATAAATTTGTTTGTCGTATTATTTCATTCCATTCTTTAATGGATTTTTTTTTTTAAATTAAATTTCCTGTGGCTATCACTGCTTCGTAAGTGTCTCATATAAAACATGTTTTGTGTATATCAAAATTTTGGTGACTATCATGGATATATTTTCCGATGGCTAGATATATAGTGTTTTCAATCTTAAAAAATGATTGTAATTCATAATTTTAAGCTTTCTAGGGTTTGGACTGCAAGGAGAATTGAGAAGATTAGTGGTAGATAGAAGTCCAGAGCAATTTCTTTAAAGAGGAAACAGTGACTAAAAGGTTTCTTATCTGAGTTAATAGATTGATGCCTATGGGAGCTTGTGTATCTAAGCATAGCTCTTTTTATTCATCTTGATTTCATATCCCAAAAGGGGTAAATGATGAGTTTGATGGACCTCTCTTGAAGGAAGAGTTCTGTGTTTTTTTTTTTTCAGCAATGGGAATTTTAACATGGCAAAGATTTTATGTACTAAAAAGATTCACCATTATGCTTTACAAGTAATGCACATTATTATGCACAGGCATTATTTAGAAGTCCACAATGGATATGGAATCAGAATTCTACTGTATGGTGGATGTGGGGTCAAGCTTCAATACTGCGTTTCTTTGAAAAAAAAAAATTTCTTCTTGATTCCTTTCCATAGATCCAATGTCTTGACCTGCTCATTGTGCTCAATTTATTAAAGTTCTCTATTTATTTATTTGTTTGTTTTTGGGGTTTTGGGGGCGGGGGTGGGAAAAGGCAAAATGTACGAGTTTTGGTATAAAGTAATTACAGGCCTACAGCACCTGAATCTGTCAATTTTCACATATGATGTAACATAGATTAGAGAGATGCTTTCCCAAAGCTCCTTTTATGGTAAATTTTGTCCATCATTTCTAAGAATGAGAATGAAATCCTTTGTTCTTTGAATAACTTTGTTTCAGCACCAAATTACCATTATACACCCATTCTTCAAAGTCTACTTCTGACTACTACATATTTGAAACAATATCTATGTTATTGTTCAGCCGAACAAAAAATAAAGAAATTCAATGTCGTTTGCCTCAGAAATTTAATTTTAAGCATTTATAAAGTTAAATTATACATTTTTAAAGCACAACATCCAATGGCTTTATACAAATTTGACAGCACATTATGTGAGTTAAATATTGTCCTTTCATAATTTTCCCACTTCTTTATTTCTAGTTTTTCTAGAATTTGTCAAATATAGTTATGGCACATAATAATAGCAAGTACATTGCGTTGCTGGTAGCAGTAGTCAAGATTGTGGCATAAAGATATAATGGGAGTGCCTACATAGCAACAGAATTGATGATCTGGTGCTGTTGCTATGGTATATATTATGCTCAGCAATTCTTTTACTTGAAAACTCGAATACTTTTGTGGATTGAGTTCCTACAACAGTACTATTATGCTAACCATGTAGATCATTTTGAATTAAATGTTGGATTCAGGTGTAGGCAATTTTGATTTTTCATTGATTTTGACCTCTTATTATTTTTAAAAAATTCCACTGTTTGAGAGTGTGCTGGCTTGTGAATGTAGATACACGCTCACACATCATGTATAAAGGATGATAATTAATGGAAAATGGTACTTTTCTTATCCAAAAAAAAAAAAAAAAAAATCAATGGAAAATGGAACTTTCATTCATTCTGAACTATTGTTTCTGAGAGTTCACCTGTTGGTTAATACTAATGAAATATTTTCTGATTCTGTACCAAAATGACATGTTAAAGAAGTTGAAATCCTGGTGGTTAGAATTTTTCGAGCTACTTTTCCAACTTATTATTCTTTAGACCTAACCTTTGGCATTATTTGTGTTTGGTGGCTGCTTTTGGCCTGGAACCTGCGTTCTTGCACTTGACAGCCTAAAGATTTTTTCGGTGCACGAGGTAAAGGCCCTTGACTGGGCACTATAGCAATTGTTAATAGGTTGCACTAAATTCCTTTGGAATAACGTAAGACCATCTATTTCTAGCTAGGAAGCACAGACACTTCAAAATGGGCGAAGAATCCATGTCCGACACGTGTCGGACACGGACACGTGTCGGACACGCAAAAAAACGTGTCTGGAATTTTTTTATTTTTTTAAATTTTCGGACACGGTTCGGACACGGCACGGACACGGCTCTGACAGCTCAGACACGGCTCGGACAGCTCGGACACGGCTCGGACACACTTTTCTGGAATTTTTTTTTTTTTTTTTTAATTTTTAATGCTGATATGTTAATTTTTAAAAAAAAAAAAAAAAATTTAATGCTGATATGTTCTATTTTTTGTTTTGTACTACCCTAAAGATGCTAATATATATATATACTAACCTAAAGATGCCACAATTCGCCGTGTCCGTGTCCTAAAGATGCTGATATATATATATACTAACATATCAGTGATATATATATATATATATTCCAACCTAAACATATCAGTGTTTTTTTTTAAAAATTATTAATGCTGATATATATATATATATATATATATATATATATATATATATATACACTATTCGCCGTATCCGTGTCCTAATTTTTTTAGATTTGCCGTGTCGCCGTGTCTGTGTCGTATTGTATCCGTGTCCGTGCTTGATTTCTAGATTTTTTTCTTTCTTTAATTTTATTTTAGCCTGTGAATTGGGTGTGGCTTATCTTTGGGGTGGTTTCTCCATGGACAAGATATTACTCTTCTTTATTGATTAGTGTCCTGTTTTTATACCTTATGCATCATGTTCTAGTCCTTTTATAATTGTATTGTACCTCAGATAGAAGAGAAGGAAGAGTCCATCAGGATCAGATAGAGGCAAATTTTCCAGGATCAGATTAAAAGGTCTTGATAAAAAGGGCAAAAACCCAGTGCACGAAGCTCCTGCCCTTGTCAGATGAACGCAACCTTAACTCCGCATGTGGAGAGGTTGTTTTCTTGTTTTGAACCCGCAATGGCGGTAAAAGGTAAGTAATTCTTTCTTTTTTGCTGTTATATATGTATGTCACTTTCTGTGCAAATGCAAGTTTTGTATATTCTTTGTAACTTTTTGTTTTGGACTTTTGAGAATACTTGAAAATGTTGTCTGGATGGGAAGTTTATGGATATATTGTTTTTTTGCTTTTGATGTATATTGGAAACTGATTGGTATCACTTAGAGAACCAAATAGATATCAGCATAGCTTTCGTCATTTTAAAAAATGCCGTTTCTTAATAATGAAAATTGCTTGCATGGCTTTTTTGCTTGGTCTTACAAAAAAAAATTTAGATGAATCTGAGCTACATGAAGTGGCTTAAGTTTCAATTCAAACCTTTTCAATTAACCCAAGCTTGCGCAGTATTGGCTTGGTCATCTCGGTCAATTTATGGTATTTGGTTGACTTTTACTTCAGTGATGATATCTTTTGCTAGTTTGCTGGGCTGTTTCCATTGATGAACTCCCAATAAAGGGTAGAAAGGAAAGAGAAACAATAAACCAAATCAACTTCTTTTGAGTCTTGGCATTTGCATCTCTTTAAGATATGGTAGCTAAAATCATATTACTGTAACTCATATTTTGTGATAGTAATGAGAGATGGGAACATTTTCCAATAAAATGATATGCATAGTTTTTTGTTCATATATCTTTCATGGTCATGTCGCGTTGCTAGTAGTTATGCACAGTGCCATAGTTTCTGCTTAGCCAATAATTTTTTCTTTTTTGCGGTTAAGTGTTCAATCATTAATTTTAGAGAGGATGTTGAGAACAAAGTTCTTCATTGTCCTGTATTTCATTTAATATTCTGTCATTTATTTTTTTGAGTTGATCCATTTACACTTCTTCCAAGCGCAGGTTATTAAGGAGCTTATAGAGATTAGCAGGAGGAATTCTTGGGCAGAACTTGTTCACAACAAACTTATTTGCATGCTAACAAATATGTTTTTATCAAATTCCTGATGAGGCTCTTTCAAGTGCCCCAATTTTTCTTGCTGAGCGCAGGTTGATTTGATTGGAGGAATCGATATTATTTTCATCGAGGTATATTATATTCATTTCTCGTGAGGTATATTATATTCATTTCTTGTGAAGTTATGTTTTTATCAAATTCCTGATTAATGGAAGGCAGATGGAGAATGAATAACTTGGTTCTAGGAATCTATATATTTTTTACCATAATAATAAGCAATGCTATTGATATCCATGACGGAAAGGTTCAATTAGCTATATATTGACCACCATCTACTCCAACATAAAACACATTCAAGTGTGTTTCTTTTGTATCCTTCATTCCCTCTTCTAGTGAATAATATTACGAATTTTTCAGTAAGTCAAAATAGTTAGGACTCTACAAACCTAGATAGTTCTCGCTTGAAATAATTAAAAACTTAATGAATGAAATTTGTCTTTGTTTTGGGAACTTGAACTATTTTCAGTTAGGTTCTCTCAAAATAAAAAATAAAAAAAACAATTGATAATTAGATAGAACCAAATAAACAAGGAAATTGCATGTTTTACAATATGAGTCTTCACTTTTTCCTAACAGGTGTATATTTAAGATTTTCAAGTATCATATACAATAAAAGAGCAGTAGACAAGGATGCTTTATTTTTAAGAATTTTTTTTTGTATCTTGATAGAGATTGTGATTCTTCATTAAAGAGAGTAGCTGAAAGAGAATCGTATAGTTTAGGAAAAGAGAGGATTAAAGATGAATTATGGAGTGTCAAGTGGCTAGAGAGATTACATTGGGGGCTAAAGATTTAGAATTTTGGGGGTAAGTTTGGAATATCAAAATTCGACATATACAAAATGAAAATCTAAATAAATTGAAAAGCACGTGTTGGACCAAAAGAAGAGCACACGCGAGGGGAGTAGATGGTTGTTAAGAGTTCCAAATGTGTTCTGTTTTATTGCCCTTATGATGCTAAGGTGGAATTTCCATGTTAAAGGACCGTCTACCCAACTGAAAAAGTAACAAGATTTTTCCAATTATTCTTCCTTAATGTTATCTTTTTTCTTTTCTTCTGTCATGTAATTTTAATGCTATACTATTAAACCTCTTGTTGTTGACATTGTCACTTATACTCTTTATCATATTGAAATTTTCTAAATGTTGACTTTCCCTTGTTGGATGAAATTAGTAAATGTTGTTCCTGGCTGAAAGTTTCTGTGATTTCTGTATTCTTGAAGTTCTGATGTCATTTTTAATATAGCCATTTTATATGCAAATAACAATTTATTATCTGTTGCTAGAACTATTCCAAGACCATTATATTTTCACAAATAATGATTTTACAATACAGTTAGTGCTCTCAAACTCGAGGGAGGGGAGGAGAAACCTATATCTGGTGCTTTTTGACTATTTCATGCAATGAGGAGAGGTGCATAGCTGCGGGTGTCTGAATATAGTGATGGTGAGATTCAATCCATTACCAAGTAAACGAGAGGTGCATAGCTGCAGGTGTCTCTGAATATAGTGATGATGAGATTCAATCCATTACCACCTTGCTGACTCTTGCCGATGCACCTGAAGCTGTTTATGTTTCTGTTAAGCTTGGTGTGGAAGGAATTGGGGAGATTTTGAGAAGATCAATTCCTAATCAATTGTCTAAATATCCTAACAGGGATCGACTTAAATGTGGTAATTCTTTAATTAATGTTCTTCATGTGCTCGTTGCCTTGTTGGTGTATGCTATAATTCTTGTAGCTTGGGTTGAAAGATTTTGGGAGACTTTTGAGAGAATAAATTCTGCTGCGTTGAGTATGTAATCAAATATTGTATCGCCTTTTATGTGAATGTGACTTTGTGAGCACAAGAACTCGTTTTTTGTATATATATTCACTGCACACGAATCTGTTCTAAATATTCATTGGGAAGAGAGTTCCAAGCTAACTATTTAGTGTTGAGGATTGCAATAGAAGGGTGTATAATTTCTTTTTCCCCATTTTTCTTGTTTAATGAATTTAGAAGTCCACTTTGAGAGAATAGAAATAGATCAATGACATTGATTTTTGTGAATAGGAAAAACTGCAGAGCTGCAAATTTATAGGTGTTGCACTTGGTCGGTGTGTCTAGTGTGATTGTTTTGTTGATCAAGTTTGTGTTGCCAAGTTTGATACTCAGAAATGGGCTCAACGGATAACTGCATATACTTGAAAAGATTTAAAATATGAAATTATTTACATGTGGGAGCATAATTTTTAGTTGTTTAGTGTCTCCTCTCTATGGAGTAAAAATGTAGAGTCTACTCATTGTTCAGTTTTCTGTTTTCTAAGAACAGAAAATTAAAAAACTTTACAAAAATATGTTTGGTTGGCAATTTTTAAGAACTATTCTATGAAAGAAGAGTTATATATATATATATATATATATATATATATATATATATATATATGAGAACTGTTTTATGTTTAACAAACCAAGTAAACCCGTGATTACTTGCATGCATTCTGTAAGTGGATGTGAATGAACCAGGTTTTCAATAGGCTTGTGTAGGGCACGAATTTGATGTGGTTTATTTCTCTTAAACTATTTAATTTACAGTTTCCTCCAAGTAGGTGTATGCCACTTTGATCAGAAAGCACAAATTAGTAAAAGATAGAAACTTTTCTAATCCTTCTTCTATGCCAAGTTTTATTCCATTGAGAGTAACAAATAAGCAGCACAAGTCTACCTCCAATTGAGAGTAACAAATAAGCAGTCAGATTATAGCAGTTGAATTGATTCCAATTCTTGAAGATTTGAAGAAGTAGGTCATTACTGTCATTTACAGTATTGCTTTTCATTGTAATAAATAAATTATACAAAAAGCCAAAATGACAACATAAGTTTTGACTCCTGAGCAGAAAGAAAACAACATAGCCGAAATCGAAATCCACCAGGTTCGATTAAATCTCCACTGTAAGCTTAAATTGGCTATGATTTCTTAGCTCTAATTTCCAAAAAAATTCTTTCATCAGCGCGTAACATATAGTTGAAGAAAATCCAAAACTGAAATATGAGTCATAAAAATTTCCCAAAATGGATATTACTGGAGTTTTTCATCGGCAAATTACTTCATTTAAAACTGACCCACTTCAGGAAAATAGAAGATATCAAAACTCTAATTACCAATTAGAGGCGTGAAGAAAGTACAGAAAATAAAATGTACTAAAAAAACACATTAATATATAACTCGAGCATATTTTAAGCAAGCGGCAAGCCTAAATCTTTGAATAGCTTCCTCTCCAACCTATAAAAAGCCACTCTATGTGAGACCCAAAACATACCGAGTCTTCCCATAAAATGCAACTACTTCAAATTAATTGTAATTCACTGATATTATAATAACAATGAATTCAAGCATCATAAAATATTTACAAATACAGTGCTTTTTAATATTCCATCATTTGTCAATACAAACACTAGCCTTGTGATGTTTCAATTACAACTAATGAATGCAACGAATTATTGCACAATTAGTCACCAAAAAAAATGTATTGCAAGGTATTTGGCAAATAATAGCACAAAAGACAACACCACCATTATCATCATCTTTGTTACTACTACTACTATTATTTAATGATTCAGTAGTAGTAGAAGTAATAGTATTTAAGGTGAGTAAACTTTTTCTTGAAATATAAATGAAAACGTGCACAACAATTAGGGGGTATACTGCCTTGCTACAAAAGAGAGTTGCTTTCGATAGGCTAAAGGCAACAAAAATCATAAAGGTTCAACAGCTGGAATACAAAGCAACAATAAATTCTAAGTTTTTTACCTGTCAAAAAAAAAAAAAAAAAAAGGTACCCTAAAAAATATCCAACCTATTGTAATCAGCAGATAGTAGAGCTGTATAGATTCACTCCTTTTCAAGGTTCAATTTTCTGTCAATCCAAACAGAACTAGCATTCATCTCTCAATTACGATAAATAATTGCAAATAATTATTACAAACAAAACTAGTCTTCATCTCTCTATTAAATAAATGAATGCAAATAATTATCGCACAGACTAGGCTTTAGCAACTGGCAACAAGAGCACAAAAAGGTCACCAAGTTATTGATTTTAATTTTTATTCCTTTATTTTTTTCTTTGGTGAGTCAACTTGCGTTCAATTAATAAAAATTGTATAACAATAATAAACTAAACACCAGCTGAAAGCAATAGAAAAGGCAAAACAGCCATAAAAAACACAAGTACCCCAATAAAGTTACAACCACCTTTAAGCAGAAAATACAGCGACATCTAAATAGTTAGAAATGATAAGAAATTCAAGCACACAGTGCCTTCGTCTTGGACCTAGGCATGAGGAGTATTATCGAGGTTCTCCTATACTCGTTATGCAGCACGGGTTGGACAGTTCCCCATCAACTTATATAACCAGATCTCTGTATACACAATTGATTATCACCAACACCTATATGCGCACCTATCCCACTGTAACTTAACAGTTTGATCTTTATTGTATAATGACACATCTATCCCACCACTTACATCAGCATTATATCCCAATGTTAACCAGTATGGCTTCCCGTCATCAACCTCGCTGGCTTATGGACGTTAGCCTCCACTGCTTACTTCCAAGTAGTCTCTGCGACCTCTTACCTTTACCCTCTACAATTTACCACCATCAGTCTCCTTGGCTCGTCAATTATTATCGCCGTCAGTCTCCATGGATTCCAGAGTCTATCCCGTAGCACTTAATTCTAAACTTTCTGGTTGTATACACCGGCACTCTAGGGCTTAAAGCAAGAGACAGTGTCTCTGCCTTCGGTACAGTCACATCTACAAGCATTGCAATAATGTTCTCAACTGCAGTTTATGTATTCCAAAACAACCTAGCAACTAGTGTTATGACAAACACAGCGAACCAAGATCAAATCACGAAACATGACAGGAAAAAGTAGATGCGCCACACACAAAGAACGTAAAGATTTAGCGTAGTTTGACACAAGTTGTGCCTACGTCCACAGTGAGGATCCAGCGAAAGATTTCAATATGCAAAAAACAGGAGATTAAAAGTTTCAGCCCCCAAACCCTAGAAAGATGGAGAAGTTACCTCGAGAAATTATTTTAAGAAAATCATTTGGGAAGTTTTGAGATTAAATATGTATTAAGAAAAATGAAGGCACGAAGAAAGAAAAATGGATGGAAGTTTATTCCTTCATTAAAATCTTCCTTCCACGCAACTTCCTTCCTTCTTACCAAGCAGACCATTAGGATCAGATCTCATTCCAAAGGTTTGGAAGTGCTTAGGGAATGTAGGCATGTCTTGGCTAACAAAATTGTTTTTAATAAGATAATAATTAAGAGAATGTCCAACGAGTGGATTATTTATCCAAAACAAAAAGTGTCGGATGAGTGGAGTACAAGTATTTTAATACCAAATATATAAAAATAAAGGAGACATACCAAGTTGAAATATTATCGTTGGTATTAAATAAATTAATCATAATACGAAACTTTGTTAGAGAGTGATTGAACGTTATTTTGGATTCATGCTGGGGAGGTCAACCATGGAAGGCATTTACTTGTAGAGGAGAATAATGGAAAGATATAAAAAGAAGAAAAAAGATCCTCATACCATTTTTATTGATTTAGAAAAAGCATATATTAGAGTACTTAGAGATCTAATATGGAGCGTATGATAGAGTAACAAAAGGATACATTGACACAATAAAGATTGAATAGACGAGATGAAAAAATAAGATACATGTAGTAGACTCTACATAGTTGGGAAAAAGGTTTTGTTTTGTTGAGTTGAGTTAATTATAGCATAGGTTATTTAGGTTCAAGTTATTGAAGAGCCTTAGATGTACAAATTTCAAATGACAATATGGAATAAAATAATTGATTGCAATAAAAAATTATATTTGAAATCCAAGCAAGTAATGATTATATCCATGCAATGATTGCAATAAAATATGCATATTCCATCTCTAGTCTAATTATCCTTTGAATTTCGAAATCCAACTTCAATAAACAATCTTTGTTTAAACTAAACTCCATTAATATCAAATCCATTCATTGACCAAATTGATCCTAAATATTACTAGGGCGAACTTAGAAAAAATAAATAACAACACATAACCAAGAAAACTTGTCAAGGTCATCATCTTCACTATCCTTACCTTTATCCCTTATAACAGAATCAGCCAGACAATTTTTATTTGCTATTCTTTTCTCCTACTAGCTATTTCCATTATTACACTTTTATTTCTTACAATCATTTCTAACAAATTCATCCCATGTTAATCTTGCTGCATCTATAGGTGTGCATCGTATATGTTCATACTATCAAAGTCTATTTTCCTTATTTTATTATTATGAATTGCCCCCACTTTCTAAAGTCTCTCTCACAATTTGAAAATTAACCATATCTCTTTCTAATCACTCCGATTATCGATCTTAATTGTGCATTTTTCATTTTTAATGATATTAATTCAAAACAAAAGATTTAGCCAAACTAATCATTCTTTATATTTAGCATCAATAATACAAAGGGATTTAAAAATTGGAAAGAAAAAAAAAATAGATAATAAGGGAAAGAGTGCTTCAAAATTTGAATATAGTTTAGAGCAACATAGAAGTATAAGCAAGACTACTCTCACAAGCTCACCATGGGATACTTCACTCCACCTTCTTTCTTGTTTGCATGGCACCACATTATTTGGTTTAAGCAACATATCCCAAAGCATGGTCATATAGTTTGGATGGCCATTAAGAATAGGCTCTACACATTGGACTCAAAATCCATGAGAAATAAACATAGAACAAATGCATGCTTTCTGTGTTTGGCTGATTGGGAATCATTGGACCATCTCTTCTTTAAATGTAGATATAGCAGTGCCATTTGGAACTTCATTCAAAATGTTGCAGGTTTCTATATATTGCCAAGATGCTAGACTGATCTGATTGATTGGTGCTCAAAGTTCTGGAAACATGGTGACTTTACCACTCACAAGTTACTTCTGTCAGCTGCAATTTATTTCATTTGGCAGGAAAGGAACTCAAGGGCATTCAGGAACAAGTCATCCCCTCCTCACATCCTCATCAGAGCAATCAGAAATTGTGTTAAGACAAGACTTGCCTCAATCAAGTTAAGGAGTGAAGACTTAAGGAGAATTGGCACAATGGAGGATCTTCAACAGTTATTTCAGCAAGGTTGTGCGATTTCCCTAGGACAGCATTTTCATTTACCTTGAGGAGGTGCCCCAATCAAGCTATGTTGGAGTGAAGACTTTAAAGAATTGACACAATGGAGGATCTACATCAACTACTTCAGTAAGGTTGTGTTGTTACTCTTTGGCAGCATATTCATTTGCTCTTTTACAGTCCAGCTCCCAACTGAATGTGGATACTTTGTGTATCGTCCTTTTATTGTCTATGGGTGCTGTCAGTGGCTCTGCTGATTCCTGGCTTTGAGTTCAAGTTCCTAAGGTTACCAAGTTGATTTTGTCTGATTGTTTTGACAGTTGGCTTTGGCTTCTTCCCTTTTTTGATTTTGATCTTGTAATAGATCGTGTTGCTTTGTGGTCTTTGTTGTTCAGTTTTTTTCTCTATTTATTTATAAAAGCTCACCCATCTAACAAAAAAAAAAAAAACATTGAAGTATAAGAAGGAGAAGAAATACCTACTGGCTAGTCCAAAGAGGATTGAGTGGTGGTAGGAGGAGACTGGAGCTCGCTCCAACTCTGCAACTTGAGGCAAACATTTGTGATGACAGACATTGCCTCGTAGAACTTTGTGACCCTCCCATCACCATCATCAATTGAGGCTGCCTCTAGATTAATTTGGTAAGTGGCACCACGCTTGGCGCTAACCACTCGCACAAACTCGAGTCTTTTTGAATTGTCTCTTATTCTGGTGTCATTGATCATGAACACTGCGAATTGGGAGAGGAATTTCATATGATCATCTTTGTGGGCGTTCGGGATGGACACGGGACGACCTAGATGATCGTTAAAGTACATGAGTTTCTTTGGTGGTTTGTAGGAAGCATGGCCAAAAATATCTGTCAAAATTCTCTCAAGCCCTGATGTGGTTCCGGTGGTGGAGGTGGTAGTAGAAGAGGGCGGAGAATGGCAGAGACGTTGGTTGATTGACCCCAACAGAATGCCTGGATTCTTCGTCTTCCACTGATTCCTGCAAAGTAGAAGCCGCAGAGCCATGAGAAGATATGTAAAGGCGGATTTACTAGGGTTTCGTTTTCTTCTCCGATGATAAAAGGATTACTCCATGCACAAGTAATAATAAGTGGGTGGGGAATACACCTTATGGTATTTTTAATATTGCATAATCTCGTATCATTAATAATATCAATCGAAGATACAAATTTACCACTTTTAATTTTACCAAATACTAAGGCTATCCGCAGTGGGCTCTACAAAGCCCAATTTGGGCGAGCGAATAGACTGTGGATGCTGTAGCGGGTTAGCTATAAGCGGTAGGGCCCATTAGTGATCGTGGGCCGACTCGCAATATTTAGCGAGCCGGCCCGCGATTGCTGGAATTTTTTTTTTTTTGTTTTTTCTTGCTTCAAAACAACGCCATTTTGGGCTGTCGCTATTTTGTCTTATTCTCCAGCCTATGTAGAGTGCGCCAAACAGTGCCTTAAAAAAAATAAGTTATTTTAGGCTGTCACTATTTTGTCTTAAGGCACTGTTTGGCAGAATTTTTTTTAAAAAAACCTAAAAATATGTTATTTTTAACTCCTTTTAGAAAAAAAAAAAAAAAAAATTTAAATAAAATTCATTAAATAAAAAATATATTGTTTAGGCACTATTTATCGAAAAAAAAAAAAAATTATTTGGCCAAAAATAAATTCAAAAAGCTTTTGTTTTTTTTCCTTAAAATTTGTTGTTGCTTTATTTATTTATTTATTTTTTGCTTTAAATTATAATCCTTATTTTCTTATTCCAATTCATTATTTTTAATCCTTATTTTGTAATCCTTATTTATTTGGGCCAAAAATAAATAAATAAAGCTTTTTTTTAACACTTTTTGTAAAAGAAATAATTAAAATTACAAATTCATCTACTTATTCACATAGAATTTTCTAATACTTATTTTCTTATTCTAATTCATTATTTTTAATCTTAAAAAACCATTACATAATAAAAATTCTACTACACAAAATGTCATAACATCTTAAAAACAAACAAAATGCAATATAAATTAAACATCTTCATCAGCATAGCGGTTCCACAAATTTTCCATCAAATCATTCCTCAACCGCGTATTTGTTTCTCTGTTGCGAATCTGAAGTTGGCGAGAGGATATGTGTGCCGCTAAAACTGATGGGCATCAACTTAAAGTGGGAATCGGGATTGCATCCTCTGGTGGCGGAGTCCATCTTCCAACATTTGCATGACGCTCATCTTCAATGATCATATTGTGAAAAATGATGCACGTTTTCATTATGAGGCACAAGTCATCTTTCTCCCAGTAAAGCACTGGTCCTTATGTTATTGCCCACTTGATCTGCAATACCCCAAAAGCCCGTTCCACATCTTTCCTTGCTGCCTCTTGTTGCTGAGCAAATAATTTTTCTTTTGTAGTGGTTGGGTGCGGGATGGTCTGCATCAAAGTTGTCCACTTAAGGTATATACCATCAGACAGGTAATACCACATTCTATAGTACTGATGTCCATTCACTACATAATTAACCGGAGGTAATTGGCCATTGACGATGTCGTTGAATACCGAGAAATGATCGAACGCATTTATATCATTGTGTGAACCCGGCATTCCGAAGAATGCATGCCAGATTCACAAATCTTGTGAGGCAACTACTTCCAATATGAGAGTATTCTTGTCAGATCGTCCCCTATGTGTGCTTTACCACTCCACTAGGCAATTCTTCCACTTTCAGTGCATACAGTCGATAAAACCAAGCATACCCAAAAATCCTCTCTGCTCCCCTTCTTCAAGCAGCCGTGCTATGTCGGCTTCGTTGGGTGGGCACATATACTCCTCTGCATACACAGTAACAATAGCATTACAAAATGCCTTCAAGCATTTAATGGCAGTGCTCTCGCTGATTTTAATATACTCATCATAATGATCTGCTGCACAACCATATGCGAGTATACGAATAGCAGTTGTCATCTTTTGTATAGAAGGCAAACCCAGACGACCAGTCGCATCCTTTTTTTGAACAAAGTAGTCATCATAAGCTTTGACATCATTAAGGATACGAAAAAAAAGTTCTCGTTGTATCCTGAATCGCCTGTGAAAATACTCCGTTGGATATGTGCAATTCTCGTCGAAGTAGTCTTTCATTAGTTGATAGTGGCTTCCCTCTTGGTCACGATGAATGTACCGCTTCTTTTTACGGACTTGAAATACTTGCTCAACTATCTCTGGCCTCACTGAATTCATAATCTCATAGAATTTGTCTTGATCCTGTTGAATCAACGCCCCAAAAAAATCATCTTCCGAAGAGGATGACGAGGAAGATGAAGAATTAGAGTCTGCCAAAGGAAAAACTTATGATGACAAAGCCATTCGAATTTCGAAATTGAAAAAGATGGATAATGATATTTTGCTACAATAGAGAGAGATGAATATAGTGATGATTTTTAAATGAGCAAATGAGTTTCATTATATAAGATGAAAAATATAGCCGTTAAAAATATAACCGTTACGAATATAACCATTTAAGTAAAGTTTAAACAAAAAAAAAAAAAAAAAAAAATTTAATTTTAATTTATTATTATTTTTTTAGAGCGAAAATTCGGAGAGCCTAATGAAGTGCATGTTTTTGGAGAGCGAAAATTACTGACGTGGCTCTTGGAATTGCTGATGTGGCGTTTTTAAAAAGCTAAAATCCGGATAGACTGGTGCAGATGGCCTAACTCCGTCCCATAATTATTATCCTCTTAAAAAAATTTAACTTACAATTTTTGTGAGTCAAAGTTATTAAAGTAGACTTTTAATATGAGATATAAGTGATATATAAGTATATAAAAAATATATATATATATGGTTAAAAATGATTTCAAATGATTCAAAAATAAAATGTAATTGTGAGTCAAAATTTTCAAATTAGGCAATTAGTATTGGACGGAGACGGTAATAAAGACAGACTGTATCGAGGCCCTGTTTGCTAACTTAGATGAAGTGCGAAATCATCAACTGTAGTTAACGGATGGATCGAATCGATTTGTAAGAGTCCAATTCAATCAGTCTGAATCGGATTTACGAATTGACCAGATCAAATAAAACCCTGGTCAGCACAGCGTGGTAGGGTCTACACTAGATTGGGCCCAAGCAACAGGGTCCCACTGTGCTATTTAGTGTTTATAAATCATTAAATCATTTGTTCAACCGATTGAACAGATTTCAAAACCCTAGCAAGCAGGGACTTAGCCTCTTCTTACTCATGGCTCTCCGTTGTCGTCTGGGCAGAAATCAATGCAATACGAAGAAATTTGGTTTTTTGGGCTCACATATGAGGCATCATGGAATTCCTTCTTGGCCTTTTTCCTCCACCACCGCCACCACTCTTCCGGCGGAGGGAAGTCCTGACGAGCATCGTAGAAGAAGCATACACACTTCAATCATAAATGGGTGTTCAGCAGTTGACTCGACAAAGACGACGGCGACGACTCTGCCAGAGCATTGTGTGGAAACCCTAGGGAGCGGTTTGGGGAATTTAGGAGACGCTGAGACAAATCCTCGCGTCAAAGCCCTGGGCCAATTCGCAGCGTTCACCATCGGTGGCGTGCAGCATCTGAAACTTGTGTTTGAAAGGGTGGTCAGCGCCAAGGTTCAACTGGTCAAAAATGGCCGATTCTACTATATTACTCTGGAGGCATCCAACAAAGGTGTCAAAAAGTTATACAAAGCTCATGTTCTTGATACCCTCATCGAAAGTAACAGCGTCTCCTTGAAGGACTGGTGCGAGCTCGAGTCCCAACATTCATGAATCATCCTTCTTCAGAAAATGGTGACTTTCTTTTAAATGATAATACCTCCTATAAAGAAATCAACTTTAAGCCGAGTTGATGATCCAATCGAATTACTTGGAATATATATATATACATATATATGATATTTGTTGAGTTATTAAAACATAATTAAAAAAATATTTGAATTTTCAAATTATTGTTTTTGTATGTGGAGAAGCTTGTGTGAAGAAGATGGAATAAATTATGGAGAGAGTGGTTAGGTTAGATGGAAGCAAATTTTGTTACAAAATTTAGGATAATTGACTGTAAATCAAGATGATTAACGGGTCACTTAGAAGTTGTTGATTGTGAGCTTAATAAGTACCTTTGTATCTTTATTAGGTAAAGACTGAGCTGGAGCCGGAGTCGGGTAGAAAGTTGCTGCTATTAAGATGTAGATAATAGCTGGTTTTGCCACTTTTTGCTTCTATTTTAGTGTACTATGTGGTAAATCAATGGGGGATAAAGTGGACTTTGTGAATATGTTATATTTGCTTGTGTATTCCTTTGGATGCGCCCCATATTTTTCATTTAAAATATTACCTATTAAAAAAAAAAGTAAAAATAAAAAAATTAGTGCATCATGTGTGAAGAAAAGTTTGCCTTCTGTTGGGAAAAGAAGGAAAAATTGCAGTATATCAGGGTTTGCTCGCTCTTGGTGCATTATGGACTCTTTTGTGTTTGGAACATGGACCCTCTCCAGGTTCGTTTGGTGCTTGTTGCAGTTTGGCTCGTTGACAACATCTTGTTTCGTTGCATTAAAACGACACCCTCTTGATGCATAGGCAACACTTTACATTGAGATATGACACCATTACATTGAGAACACGACATACACAATACCATTACATCGAAAATGCAATACTATTAAATTGTATTTTTGATATAATGGTGTTGTCTTTGTCGAGTTCAAAAGTAATGTTGTTGCATGTGTTGCCTCTCAATGTGATTAGTGTTGCACCTTGATGTAAGGTATTGCTGCTATTGCATGTGTATCAAGACGATGCCGTTTTGATGCATATTGCTTTACGTGTTTTGTGTTTATAATTGAACAGACTGTGTTTATCTTGTCCATCAGAGTTTGTTCTTTTATTGCGATCTTAGTTTGAAGAATCTCCAATTGTGCTTTCAATGCAGTAACTTCATCCTCCCTACCTGATATACCTGGTTGTACTTAAAAATTGTGCATTGCCTTCAGGCTAGCTGAGGCTCAGATGGTGAATACACCAGGAGAAAGTGTACTAGTTTTAAGGGTGTAGAAAAAGGAAGAAAGTGTATTGAAGTTGTGATTGTCACTGTACCAATGTCGCAAAGTGGAGAGCCTTTGGTGTTTAGAAGAGGCCGCGTTGTTTTCTAATGTATGGGATTGAATATTTCCGTTCTTACAAACTTTTTTCTTTATTATGGCAGAGTTGTGCTTGAGAATCTAGGTTTTCTTGCTTCATTATTTTAAGCTATTAGTTTATGAATATGAATGCTTTCTCCATTGTTTGCCTTTTGATTTTGCAAAATGTAGATGTCATATGGGTTGGATTGTTGTGGATAGTTCAATTGTGAGAATGGGTAATTGTGAGTATGGTTTTCTTGCTTCATTATTGTCAATTGTGAGTTTCCGTTGTTCAAATACATCTATGAATTTGACTTAGACCTGCTATTTGAACCTTTTTTTTTTTCTTCCTTTTCTGTCTAGTATTTCTGAGATAAAATCTGCTCTGTCCAGCCTTGTGACACTCTCTCTGGACCTATCTCTAAAGCATCAGTGTGTCCCATTTTGATGGAATTAAGATCACTCTTGTGGCGCAGGACATCCTGTGCTGCATACGCAATACAATACATTGTTTATGAAATGCAATTCACCAGCGACGAAACATGCGATGTTAAGTAAGTTGCATAAGCGATCCGAAGCTGTTGCTTAACCGATGTAAAGTGGTTAAGCAAGTTTGAAGAATCTCCGACTGTGCTTTCAGTTCAATTATTTCATCCTCACTACCTTGTTTATAGTCGAATCAACTTATCGCATCTTGTTTTTGGTATGTTGCTACCAGCACAACTCTCTTTGATCTTCGGTCTTTGTTGTGGGTTGAATTATGATAAAGAAGGTTCCATGGTTGTATAATTCCCAAGCGGAAAGTCGGCTGTCTACTTGCAAAGCAGATGGAGTGGTCAAGCAGTTGTTCCTGCGCATCAATCAGTATGAATATGGAACTTCTTATTCAATCCAAAAACTGAGGGACTGGAGCTAACATCAAAAACTCATTTGCATGCTTAAAAGCCTAGACTTGTTCCATTCTCCCACTGTGAACCTTCATTCTACGATAATTTCACTCGGGGATTACACACATTGGAAATTATGTGAGATAATGCATCTTTAAGACTATGTCCCAAACAGAACGTGCTAGGCATTGGAATCCGGATCCCTTCTTGTGGAGGGGATTATGTGTTTTGGTCCGGTGTAGATTGTTAGTGGAACGTACTTCTACGATCGTTACAAACGATCTAAAAGATGTGAAGTTATTACATAGGCAGAGATCTAAAGAATCCGTGTTTCTTTGTACTTTTAAGTAAGGATTTAAAGAATCCGTGTTTCTTTGTACTTTTTTAACTACTTGCATATATTACGTGTAGAGTTTTTGTCTGTGATGACAAAATTGAACCTTGAAAAGGAGTGTCATTATACATCATTGGTGTTGTATTTACTGTTTTCTGCTAGCATTCCAATGTTAATGGCTTCTCAATTGTGTGTTTTTTGTGCTCCTAAGTTGGCTGGACTTTGCTTTCCCATCCCGCCTTTGGCCCCTGGTTACACGTGAATATATATATATATATATATATATATATATATATTTGACCGATACAAATTTACTTTACAAAAAATTTACATATACATATCGTCCTAGATTTGTTGGGTTGTTTGGGTCACTGTCGGATATTTTGCCATTTTAGAATGAGGCGATGCTTTGAATCGACAATCTTCAAGGTCTCTTCGTCGGAAAACTCACGGCTGAATGAGATTCGATGGCTCGACCCGCCTAGGATTTAGTCCAAGAAATTTTGCAGTTGGAATGAAGGATAAAGATGATGGAGATCAGGGTTTTGAAAAGGAGGTGGGGGTAACAAGAACGGATGTGGAGATTAGAGAGAGATTTTTTTAGAGTTCTAACATGATACAGGCTCCCTTTACGTGCAAGAGAGATGAGAAGGATAAAAGGGGCTGAGAGTTTAGTCAGCAAAATTATAAATCTATCATCTAAATGGAGGTAAATTTTAAACATCTTACAAAAATGAAAATATAAAATTAAAAGAAATAAACTTAAACAAAAAGGAAAACGATGGACTCAAGCAAGGTCAAGATGATTGATGTGGTTGCTGGATAATAGCTATGGTTTTGCTAGGTTTTACCTTTTATTTTAGTGAGTCGTTTAGAACTTCTGATGTTCTGCTGAAACTTGCCAAGATGCCAACTCATTATGACGAGTACTGCATTATTCATTGTTGTTGCATTTCTATAACTCATTAGCTCAATATATCCATTAGGCATCAACTATACAATTTGTTCCTTCTAACCCTAGCAAAAAACAATTCATTTTGCCCCTGACGGGACATTAACCCCAGCTTCTTCCCGCTTTGAACAGTAAATTAGATATCACACTACAACCCTTAATTACCCACACAGAATAATACTACGATTCTATAATCCTCATTAAATCATGCATAACTGAATTACTCCTATATAATAATCCCAACCCCAGATTCAAGCTTAAACGAGGCCTTACCTGTTTGCTTCCAAGATGAGAACAACACTTCTACTCATCTTTCTACATTAAAACAGCTACAAGGGATCAATGCCTCTAGCGTCTTCTTTGTTTTGGTTGGCTCTGCTCTGGAAGTATCATCATGTTTTGATTCTCCGGTGGCTGCTTCGTGATTTGGCTCTCCATCTGCCGTCAATTGTGTGTGTTTTTCGTGCTCCCGAGTTCGGCTGGACTTTGCTTCTCCATCCTCCCAGTGCTAGATTAGATGGGTTGTTTGGGTGGCCTTTGGCCCCAGGGTATGCCCTGGTTACACTTATATATACACACATTGATCAATACAAATTTACTTTACAAAAAGAAAAGAAAATAAATAAATAATAATAACAAAAAACATCATAGAAAGAATACTCATCTAATAAATTCCACAAACCAAGCAAAAGAACAACCTCTCAAAAGATCAAAGTTAGAAGTCTGTCATATAAAATAAAAATGTAGGCAATAAATACATGGACGACCTTTTTGTCGCCACCAATTAGTTTTGCACCCTCAAGAGTGCCACTTGCAGAACCCTCCCCTCTCCTTATATTTTGATGCCCATTACTTAACCACAGCAAGCAGATTTTGCGGGTGCTTGACTACTGCTAGCCGCCTGATCTAGTTTGTTGATCGTAATCGTCTGAGGCTGCAACCACCAACCAAAGGAATACGTTGAAATTTGAAAAGAGAAATGTAAAGCAGGATTCTCTTGTGTAACGCACATTAGTTGACCTACACCTTTCTGAAAAAGAAAAAGAAGGGATGATATAAAATTTGTAGCTCGCACCTCAGCCTTGGAATCAGTTTCTGCAAGCCTTTTCTTTATATCTCTCGCTATTGAAAAGAAGACCTCCTCCACGTTCATATTTGTCTTTGCACTCTGTGGTACATAATTTTCCAAAGTGAACATAGAGAGACAAGATTTTGAAGGAGATCAAATATTGGAAAAAAATCTCTACTCACTGTTTCAAAGAACTTAATACCATACTCATCAGCCAAAGCTTGACCCTTGGAGGTAGGAACAGCCTAGAAATAGGAAAGAAAAAAAAAATCATCTTTTCCGGTTATGGAGATGGCAAATGCAAGCTAATTATGCACACATGCATCCACATGCGCCCACAGAGGCAGAAGATTGATAATGAGGATGTAAAAAGTTCAGCATGATTCTTCCTTTTTCTCAAATTTTAATTAATTAATTTATTTGTTTATTTATTTTTGGGGGGAATATTAAATGATTTTTTATTTTATTTATGAAAGTCATCCAACAAAACACAACCGTATGCTCTGCAATCTAAACAACCCAATTCAAAAAGATATAAAGCAATATGAAAAGAATCCCTGGTCAACAACTTACCCTTTTACTTTCATCCATGTCAGCCTTGTTACCCACCAGTATCTTGTTGACATTATCGGAGGCATGTTGTTCAATGTTGCGAATCCAATTCTTAATGTCTGAACACAAAGATAAACTAAGCTTAATGAAAGAAGTGAAGGAAATGTAAAATATATAGTAGCAAGCAAGTCCTGTAGAGATGGGTGAAGCTCTGACCCAACAAAGAAAGGTCTTGTGCAATCTTTCTCAATGGAACTAAGGATCTGAATCATAAAAAACCAGTTCCACTGATTGACCATAGCCAATATAAGAATGCAAGAAGTACACTAAAAATACAAAAGGAGGGATAAAGTGGATGGAATTTGACAATTTTATAATCCATCAAACACAGGCATTGCAGTCCAAAGTTCAAGACAAAGGTAAGATAAATGAGCAGTTACTGTTGAAAGATGACTCGTCTGTCACATCATATACCAGCAAGATACCCATGGCGCCTCGGTAGTATGCTGCAAAAAGATAAGCTACTTATAGCAAGCTTCTGACCAAAACTAGGACGATACAAGATGCAGCTTAGGGAAAATATAGCGATCAAATAACTAAAAATGAGACACCTATAAGTCCATAAGCCAGCAAGTAAATATCTCTACGAACCAAATGATGATAACAACTCCACAGCTGAATATCAACCTGGTGATATGATCCAAATTACATAAGACAATGTATCATTGCTTCAACATTTGAGGGAATTACAATTTTCACTGGTATTATATTTTGAGATTCATATGTGAAAGGGTAGGGTCAAATAATACAATTCGTAAAAGCTCCTAGGTGGACAATGAAATATGCAGAACCACACTGTGTTGTGCCAAAAATTGCAAGTGCAGTTAAGCAGGGCATCATCCATCATGCTATCTTCGTATTTCAAAATGAGGAGCCAACTTGCAGAAGCCCAACCACATACCTGTTGTGATAGTCCGAAACCGCTCCTGACCAGCTGTATCCCAAATTTGCAATTTAATCCGTTTGCCGTCAAGCTCAATGGTTCTTATCTTGAAATCAATGCTGCCAGGAAAATAGAATTACTGTAAAATCATAAAAAGATAAGAAAAAGGTAGAAATGTTAAAATGAGCTTCCAATGTCTTTAAACTTCATGTCCATGAGTCTATGCATAAGAGGGCAAATTCTTGAACCCACCAACCAGGCCTCACCTACAAGATCTTCTAAATGCCTATCAATGCATTACCAGGATGGATGAGACTATTACCATTGTTTTTTAAAAAACTTATCCATCACTCCAAATAAAGTTTTTCACCAGCGGACAGATAAAATGAAACCAAATAGTTGATAATCATCTGATCATCCTTCACTTTTGCACTTCATTGGGCAGGCCCAGTAATTGGTTAATCTTGATAATCTTCTTGGTATCCAGATCCTCAAAAAATTATGCCAAGAAGATCCAGTATATAAAGAATCAGGGTTTTCCAAGAATACAAACCCAATGGTGGTAATAAAACTTGTCGTGAAGGAACCATCTGAGAACCGCAAAAGCAGGCAACTCTTTCCCACGCCTGTAAAGATATCTAATAAGAATGTCAAAAGATCAAAATCACTAGTTCAAGTACAGTAAGAAGTAACATGTTGATAATTACAGTATAGAAGCTGTCATAAAAAGAACCACTGAGAAGTGGTAGCAGCACGAAAAGCTTGGAGAAAATAGTAAATAAAGGAACTGTAAGGACTTCTTTGACAATTGGCACACAATTAGAATGGTTAGAAACTCAAAGGAGGTAAAACCATCAGCTATCCTGGGTGCTCATTCTAAACAATCTGGCAACTTCTAACAATTCCCCCCACCTTTAAAAATAATAATAATAATAAGTAAATAAAAAATAGCTCTTGCAAAATACAAATAAAGAAAAAGAACTGGGTTTCCTTCAAAACAATCGTTGACCAAACATTAATTTAAACAGCACAAATAATTAACTATTTACCAATATGATGCTCGGAAAATAAAGTAAAATCATTCACTGCACCATTACGATGACAATTTAAGAGGCAGAGATTCAGAAAAGTTTCACATAAAGTAATAATGACAAAATCCCCAGAGGAAGCCACCTTTTACATGAAATAGAAAACCGACTTTAATGGTCTCCTTTTGTTTTCTTGATAAGTAATAGACTTTAATGGTCTCCTTGATAGGAGGGAAGAAAATAGGAGAAAGGAAATGAGGGAAAAGAAAGGGTAGGGAGATATATAGGCTTTCAATTGTTTCCTAAGGGCAAAAGGGGAAGGGGGTAGAAGAGATGAGGGAAGGCCCTTCACTTTGGGACCATCATATTCCTCCCTCTCAAACATGGGAGGAAAGGATTAGCTTCAAACAACATCATTAATTTTTAGGGTAAAGTACATTAACACCCCCTGAGGTTTGCCAAAAGGACACTCAGATGGAAGTTGTCTGTTTTTGGGACAATGACACCCTTGAAGATTGAAAAGTGGATAAATACACCCCTTGAAGCCAACTAGCATGGAAAATTGACCAAATTGCCCTTTGACTATTTAGTTGACCTTTTTAACTTTACAAGTTAATAAATTGGACAAAACTACCCTTCTGAAACAGATGAAATATATATATATATATATATATATATAAGGCTTGGGCATAGAGAGGAGGGTGCACAGCAATTCCTGCAGTTCTAAAATTGTTCAACAAGCTAGTTGAAAGTGGATTCAAGGTATATTCCTTGTTACGGGCAGAGATGATGAAACATTAGGCGAAGCCACTATTGATAATCTGCACAATCAAGGGTTTGTCGCAACTTATTTTAAGGTAAGGTATATACATCCCTAAAACAGATTAATAAATTGGAAAACAGATTAATAAATTAGAGAATAAAATTTATGCGTACCAACATTTGACCCTTGAAACATGAAGAGTATAGACTATATATAAATACATCCCTGAAACAACTTAATAAACAGGAACAAAGATTTCGTTACCCAAAAAAAAAAAACCCATATTTATAAAACCCCATTTTAGTAAAGAAAATAAAGAAAACCAAAAACCGCATAAAGAAAACACCATATTTTCTTTACAATATTTTTTTGTAAAGGAAACACCATTTTAGTAAAGAAATCAAGAACAAAATTTTTGTAAAAAAAAAAACCCCATATTTTTTTTTGTAAATTAACAAAAAGATTTCAAGAAAGATCAAGGTTTCAATGGAAGATTTTTTCATCAAACCTACAAATAAAATCAAAAACAGAATAAAGATATATAGATATATATACACACGAATAGATTAATATAATTTAGGAAAAAAGGCATAGATTAATATAGATTTATATATATATATATATAAAGAGAAAAGTGTGTTAAGAGAGAACCCGAGATGTGTGGAGACCAAAGCAGAACAAAGATACTGGTTGGTCTTGATGAGATCGCGAAATCAGCCTCCAGAACTAGGGTTTCAAAATGATCATGGTGACTAGGGTTTCAAACAGAGATGGTGATACGAAGAGAAGAGAAGAAATGAAAGATTCGCAGAGAGAGAGAGAGAGGCAGACAGTATCTGGTGTGTGGTTCAATGGTTAGAAGATTAGATTTACGGGTTGTTACTCTAGCGCCACTTGGCGCTAATTTGTGGTGCTAAATTTTGAGGGGCAATTGTGCCATTTTGACATGTAATGATATTTTGTAATAAATTTGAATTTAATATTAAGGGGCAATTTTGTCTTTTCATATGATTTAAGACCTTGTTTGGATGGAATTTTTTCAAGGGGGTGTCATTGTCCCAAAAACAGGTAACTTTCACCTGAGTGTCCTTTTGCCAAAACTCAGGTGGTGTTGGTGTACTTTATCCTAATTTTTTAAAGTAGTATAAAATCATGAAACACCATTTCCTTCTTTCTTTCTATGACTCCTTCCTACACAATCAAACAAAAGGAGGGAAAGACCACTATGTAGCTCTTTCTTTCCCCCTTGGCCTCCATGGCATGGCCACTCTCTCTCTCTCTCTCAAATCTTTGTTCCCTATTTCTTTCTCCATTGTCTTCTTGCTCCCTTCTTTTCCATCTCTATTTTGTTGTCTATGTTAGGGGTGGTAAAGTTTGATGAAGGACGATTAATCACATCAACACGATTAATCCATAAATAAACATGTTGTCTTCAAATTTGGGGACTCAACCTGTTAAACCTAAATTGAGCCGTTTAATTAATGACCCATTTATTAAATAAGTTATTGGTCGTGTCATGTAACCTGTCTAATAAGCAGGACGTGTTCATGTCAAGGGTTCTTAACACAAACAATTAACAGGTTGCGCTCGATTGATCATAAAACATAATGTTCTTGTCTCAACAAGAGACGAACACAATTATTAACACGAATTCCAATCCCTAACGCTCTGAGTGTCTGTTCTCTCTTTGTCACCTTCTCTCTCCCTCTTTTTCTCTATTTGCTATCTCTATTCTAGCTCTCTACTCCCTTCGCTCTTCTCCCTTCTTCTTTCCTCCCTTTATTTTCTCCCCCTTTTCTTATTTTATCACAATCTCTCTTCTTATTCTTCATTCTCTTCTAACTTTGTTCCTTCACTCTATTTCTTTAGAATCTAAATGAGTATATTTAGACTACAATTGAATCAACACAAAAGAATTAGGTGGCAAACTGATGCATATTGCCGATCACAACAACAACTTTAAATTAAATATGAGCTAAATCGTGTTGTATAAAACAATAATGTGAACCCCATTATGACATAAAAAATAAAAATAAAAATAAAAAATCCCTAAACTTACTGCAAACTCAGATTCCAACAACCAATTATTTCAGACCAAATAACCATATGCATACATCAAAGGGATCAAGGAAAAAAGATTCAAAGATCGCGAATTTTTTCAATTTCAAACCTACATATAAACTCAATACAAGAGAAATAACAGAACAAAACAGTAATCTAACCGCTGTCGCCAATGAGGAGGAGCTTTATTAGGTAATCGTAATCCGCACGAGCCCTCGCTGGTGGAGCAGCCATCGCAATTATAGAAGAAACGTAAACCCTAAAAACCTAAACCAATCGGTCTCTGCGCAAAAAATATAAACATTACATAAATCCATAAATATATACAAAACATAAGATTGATGAAGATGGACAACTAGTTCCAGAAAGATGCATATGTAGAGCGAGAGAGTGGGAGTGTCACCTGCGCAGGTTAGCGAGTGATCGGCGACATGGTTGGTACGAGAGAGATCAGACGATGCCCAATAACATTGCCGCACTATTGATTACTTCTTTTCTCTGATGTGGGGGTGCACTTATTGCAGGTCTTAATAGCGATCTATTTATTGTCGAGACTTGGGAGAAGAAAAAAATGCTATTTATGCTTGATAAATTTTTTATTTTATTTTATTGCACAATGATAGAATCTGGATACAAGTCACACAATCATTTGTCAAAACTGTCGCTCTCACATTTCGAAGGCACTTTGGCTTTCATGCTTTGCGCACTCTTACTTAAGTTTTCATTATTTGGGATTTAATTTTGCATTTTTCACTCTCTTGTTCTCGAATTCACTCCCACTCTCGTTTTTGTTTTATGTAACTTAAGTCTGATCTCTTCAGAAAACATTGTAATTTACTGTGAGACACATATTGTCCTTTGGCTTTACATGCATAGGTAATATTGAAAAAAAAAAGAAATATTAATTATAAATAAAGTAATGAAATAACGATCATGAATGAGTTCGACACATCATCATAAAAGAAAATTAAATTTTAACATTAAAATAAAAAATAAAAAAGATTTTTTTATTTATATTTGGGATAGGTTTAACTGTTTAAGATAGATTCATGTTTTAGAAACTCTTTTTAAAACTCCTCCAAACACAATTAGAGTATTTCCAAACCTATGAGGAACAACACTCACCTCATTGGTACATTTTAATTGACATTTCAATTTATATTATTTAAAATAGGCATAATATTTCGTTTAGCAATTATTTTTATTTTTACTTTTTATTTCATATGAAGCGGAAATAATATTTTCATTGTGGTGTAATTTATTTCGAAACAAAATTTATTTGACTTTCATGATTGTTGAAAATATATATACGTTATTACATTATATTGGTTTTCATAAAATAATTCTTGTTACAATTCAACTATAGTTACAAAAAAAAAAAAAAAAAATGAAGAAGAAGAAGAAGTAAAAAATCATTTTTCTGTAACAAATGCTGTAGGATACATAACGTGACAAACGGTACCAATTAAAAACTTACTTTCATCACTTGATTACATTCCTCATCAATTCAAGGATGGCAACACGACGATTTGGGACAGGGACGCCATCTCCATCCCCATTTCCATTTAGCATGGCTACCTTTATTTTCGTCCAAAACCATTTATTAAACAATATGGGAGGGGAGCGCGGCGGGGACAGGTTTTGTATAAGTGTATTACGAATCTAACAAAAGTAAAAAATTAAACAAAATTTTCCCTATGATAATAATTCTCTTTCTCTTATCAGGATAAAAATAAGATTCAACTTCTTAATTGAAAATTGAGACTCAATATTATTACAACAATATCAAAAAAATGAAAATTGTTTGTGGAAGTTCTCAAATAAAAATAATACAAAATGATATTTAGTTATTTGAATATATACTTAATATTATTGAATATAAAATGAAGTATAAAAACAAAATTATAATTTATCATTATAAATGGGGCGGGCGACCTTTTCCTATCCCTGCCCCAAAACCATTTAACTATTCTCGTAACCGTTTGAAACAGGACAGACGACCTTTTTTCCATCCCTGCCCCAAAACCATTTAACTACTCTCGTAACCATTTGAAACGGGGCGAGTATTTTGTCGTCCTTAATTTTGACAAGGTTATCAATCACAAGCTAAATAAAGTATAATAGATTCATCATTTGCCCAATGGAGGTGTTCTAAGAGATTCGACATCACCATCACAAATTAAGTGAAGTATACATCATGTGTCTAATAATGAATTATTGAGTGCTCTAAAAATACTCAACATCACCAACATAAAATAAAAAAAAATCACACACATTCACATAGTAACATGTGGTCACAATGAGGTTGGAACTCTTCACCTCACTTTTGAGAGAGGAGATTATATAAATGTGCAAATATGACCGAGTGAGAGCTCAGCAATAATATTTTAAAGAATTGTAATTTGTTGAGTTTACATTCGATTCCGAATCTTTGGTACAATAAAACAACAAGGAGAGCACTACAACGACATGTCTTAGGTAGATTCCACCAATGCCAAGTGTGTCACTTTTAACATAATACAATTTTACATAAAAGTGAAAGCAAGAGAAAATCAAAAAGTTGTGTTCCAAAGCATATGCTGAGAAGATACTCTCCCACCATCCTACAAAATGCCACTAACAATTCCGTGCTCTCTCTATCTCTAACTACAATCACACACTTTCACACACATAATTCTTCGATTTGGCCTGAATGAAGCTGATGGCTTCCGACGCCTCCAACGGCGGCGATGGTGGCGGCAACGACGACAAGGATCGGTGTCGAAGAGTTTGGTTTCTCGTGAGGGTCAAGTCATGATGGTGTTTCACTTTCACCATTAGGGCAACCAAGAACCTTTGGCATTAATGTATCTTTATATATATTAATGATTGTTTTGGGTATGAAGAAAAAGTTGTTGCAGTTCTCTGCATTGCTGCAACTTTTTCATACTTTATATATACATATATTTTGTTTTAATGATTAGATTTAGAGTCTTGTGTTTCATGAAATTGTGATCATTATGTTTAAATACAACATTTTTTTTCATTCTTGTTCATAATTTCATTAGGGAAATCCTCAAAAATTGGTTATTGATGGTTAATGACTTTGTATATTGCTGATGATTGTTCTTTGCAAAGCTTGTTTCCTCATGGTTTATGTGAAGAAGCACGGTGTGATCTATATATAATGTAACAAAGTGGTTTAAAGTAATTCCTATAATATGTCCTCACCAGATATATATATATATATATATAGATAGATGTTCCGGTGTCTTATAATTGTAATTGAAAAAATAATAATTTAAAATAGTCGTGAATTCCATGCAACCGAACATGAGATTTCATCAAGTATTTATTAATCAAAGACGACTATATATCCATGCTTACCTAAGCATCAAGAGATTAAAAAATTGATAGTTTTCGTCATACATGAGATTTCATCAAGTATTTATTAATCAAAGACGACCATATATAATATCCAGTAGTATCGTTCTATATATCCATGCTTACCTAAGAGATTAAAAAATTGATGGTCTTCATCATTTGCTATATGGAATATAGTATGTTGTGAATTTAAAGGACATAAATTTAAGCACAATTAAATAAATTATACCATATAATAACTTATATATAGAAAATTGTAGAGAGGAGGCACCCATAATTTGGTGCTGAAGTTGCCTCGGTGCATGTTACGAACTGCCCAATAACCACTTCCAATTTGCTCCAAAGCATTAAAATAGAAAATTATGCTAAAACAATTGGCAAACACAAATTGCAAAGAAAATTGAAATACTATTGTAATGTCTTTGTAAATCTGTTGTGCAGTATATCTGTTTATACCAGTAACCAAAAAAAAAAAAATATATATATATATATATATATATATATATATATATATATATATATAAGAAATCGAAAAAAAAAACATTCTAATTTGACATAATCTCTGAAATTCATAAAAAAGTGGAGGATAAACCCTTCAAGAGCATTGTGGCAATTCTGTCAAAAGAAAAAATACAACCACTAATAATAATCTTGGAATATTCGGTGTTCTTTCTATAGCACAAAATTGAGCTATAATCGAGAATTTGGCTGAAAAACAATGTACGTTACCAGAACAAAAAAAAAAAATACAACCACAAATATTAATTTTGAAAAATTCTGTTGTCTACACTCAAAAGCGCAAAAATTGAATTATAAGAGCTTGTTTGGTACGCCATTTTGTTTTAACCCGAAACAAAATAAATAAATAAATAAATATATATATATATATATATATATATATATATTTGTAGAGTGTTTTGAATTGTAATCAGAAGCATCTTTAGTAACGTTCATTTGTTGAAAGATTTTTGGAAGCAAAAACATTAAAGCATGTTTGTTAAAAAAATAATTATTGTTCATTGCTACAGTACAAAATGTGACAGTACGGACGTATATAAAAAACCAAATTGGTGTTTCGATTTTTTGCCACTATTCACAAAACGTTTCGGTACTGTACAAAACAAAAGAGTTTTTACCAAACACATTTTTTCACTATTCACTGTTACAGTTAGTACCGATAAAAACAAAAACATAAACACAAAACAAAACGCATACCAAACAAGTCCTAAACGATTGTATTTGGCTGAAGTGAATGTCAAAAAATAAAAATAAAAATACCACTTAGTGTTGATCATTGAATCAATTTGGATCGAGAATAGGTCTCCACAAGTCAATACAGATTTGTCACATGCAGGGGCGGAGCCAACATGTGCCTAGAGGGGGCAACTGCTCCCTCCCCCATGCTGGCCCATTAGATTTTTTTTTTTTCCATAAATAAATTTGTAAAAATTGATAAAATGTCCCCCCTAAAATTAATAAAATGGCCCCTCTGCCCCTAAATCAACTAAATTTAATTTAATTTATGCGTATAATTTGTAAATATTTATAAAACACTCCTAAAAAATTTATAAATTATCCCCCATAAAATTATTTATTTCTAAAAACGTCTTTAATTCTTTATTTTTTTTCCTTCTTATTCTTCAAAAAAAAAATTTGTCTTCTTCAAAAACTTTTGCATTCTCTTTCTGCAATTAAAACCTATTTTTTCCTTCAAAATTCGCTCATATTTTTTCTTTAAATTTCATTTTTCTTGCACTCATGCATAATTTATGTGCAATAACTTTTTTTTTTTCTTCTCTCTTCTTATTCATTTTTTATTCACTTATTCTAATGCACTATTATTACACTATTATATTTTCGGCCTATTTGAAAAAAAAAATTATTTTGTCAATGTTAACATACCCCTAAACTAAACATGTAAAATAGGCTGCGTTTAGTAACAAAAAACGTTTCTTGCTTTCTGTTGTCAATAAGTCAACCTCTAAAAAGGTAAAACGAAAACAAAAATCGCGTTCAATAAAATGTTTTTGTTTTGCTATAACAGAAAACGTTTTCAATTTTTGTGAAGAAAATAGAAAACATCAAAATGATATTTTTTATATTTTCGGCACTGTAGCGCAGAAACGTTTTCACTAATATTATTGCATAGGCACTATTCATTTCAAATAAGATTCATATTATTTGTGTTATATACTAAGTTGCACATTAAATGCTAATAAAAATATATATGTTTTAATATAGAATAAATTAAATATTGTATATTATTTTCTATTTGATAAAAATATATTTTAATATATAATATATTAAATAATAATGTAAATTATTTTTTGTGACAAAATAATTTTTGATATAGAATATAACGTTATTAAATTTTTAAGCAGTAGATATTTTATATTATTATATATCATATCTATATTATATTATATGTAAATATTAAATTATAATTAATTTACAATATTATAACACAATATATATTTTATTACATATAAGATATATTATTTAATATTTTTTATTCATAATAAATTATCATATGCTAAATATATTATATATCACATAATAAATGTATACATCATGCATACACATGTATTTATATACATAATTGGAAATGTATATATCATGCATATACATGTATTTATATACATAATTGGTGGGAATGTTTTTGTCTTCGTATATCTAATTTTATATTTAGATTTTTTAGATTTATGATTTTTTGATATTAATGGAAGCAAGTGTCATGCCTGAGTAGTTGGGCTGCTTCCTGTGTCCGAAAATTTGTATTCAAGTCATCTACCCTCTCCCTCACCCTCTTCTCTACTCAATAACTCCTAAAATTCTTGCCATGAAAAAAATAAAAAATTTAAAGAATATTATGTACATTTTGTAACAAATATATTATATTACTAAACACAGTTATTGTTTTATGTTTTTAAATTTGTGACAATAACAAGTGTTAATAAACATCATTTCTGTTTTCCATTTTCACTCAAGAAAGCAAAATCATGTTTCTACTTTCTTAAGACTGCAAAAATAGAAAATAAAAACGTTACTAAACACACCCTAGCATATCCACGCTAATGCCTAGACACAAAAGAAAATTCCTACAAGTTTCAGATATTGACCTGCATGAGTGTTAAGGAGTGATGCATTATTCTAGAAAATTCCTAAAAGAAAATATTGAGATATTATCGGTGCCCAACTAGATATTTTTAAAATTGGCATGTGAAAAGTATGTGAACAAAAATATATGAGATATAAATACGAGAAATTAATACACAAGTGTAGAGTAGAATTCAAATACTCTACATTCTGGGAGTTTCAAAAGTGTATTAAAGAAGAGTGTTAAGGAGGGATGCATTTTTCTAGAAAATTCCTAAGAGATATAATCTTGAGATATTATAAAGAAGATTTAAATTAGATATTTTGGTATGTGCACAAAATATATATATATATTACACATAAAGTAAGAAGATGTGAATCAACCATATATATATATAAATTGCATCCAACAAACTAAAGCATCTAAACCCCCAATTCATTTAGGATATTCATTTAGGATTTGTAGATTGATGTGATCCGCTAAAATGGGGAAGAACAATAGTGTATAATTTTACTAGGTATTCCGAGCAATAGGAGAAGGAAAGTTTCCAAAGATTGGAAATTTTTACAATTTTTCTAAATATCAAAATGTTTATAGATTGATGTGATCCGTTGAAATCGTGAAGAACATTTATCCATTTAGAAACATACCTTCCCGAGTTAATTCGTGACATTATTTTATCTCTAAGTTGATTTCTCATTAGTAAGAGCATTTTAATTAACTAAATCACTAAGCTGCTTTGCTCAATAAATTATATAAACTCAATAGAATAATAAAATTAAGCAAATGAACAATTTGGGACATGTTTGTTTTAAGTAGTAATCATGACCAACTCAAGTTGAGATACAAGTCGAACTCAATAGAGTAATAAAATTACACAAATGAACAAATTGGGATATGTTTGTTTGACACTAATAATGATCAATATGAGTTGAACTCGAATCAAAACTTGTATGTATTTGTTTGAGTACTAATCAAATTGAGCAATTTAAACATTGGTAAAATCATCCCTTAAAATGATGTTTCTCAAATTCACTAACTCAAGATCAAGTCAAAATTAAATGGTTGGTTTCTAGTCACATTTTTTTTAGGTTTGCTAGTATAACTACAGTTTTGGAAACTCATTTCACTAGTATGGTTGAGTGCTGCGCCAAAAAATATATATATAATGAAAAAATTAAATTAAATAAAATTACCATCAATGATCACTCATACTTGGGTTTTGGTCACCAACAAGAGTGGTGGTGCAGGGATGTCCACAGTGTCTCCATCAAGAGTCTAAAACTGGGTGGCAAACCAGGTCAAGGCAACTTGCAACTTTACCGTTTAAGTCTGTATTAAACGAGCAACAATTTAAACAACTAATTCTGACAATTTTAGTTTATTTTATTTTATTTATTTATTATTTTCCAGCTAGTAGATTTGAATTCCCATATAAGTTTGTTTCAAGCAAATTAATTTTTTATCTACACCCATTCTCAGTACTACAGTACTACTTGTTTTCCCTTTATTCTCTATGTTATAGGCTCTGTTATGGAGTCATCATAGACATATAGTTCTAATATTCTAAAATAATATTTGTTGAAATATAAGTAGGGATGGAGAATTTAAAACAATGTAGAGTTTGTAGAAATTTATAGAATGTAGAGAATTCTATAATAGAATGAAATTTTGTAGAATATAAATATAGGATATTTAGATGCAAAGTTCTATAAAGCCATGGTAGCATTGCATGGTAATGCATAATATGCATTAGACAATCGATGATATATACAACCCAAAATCATGACCAATAAATGTCAAAGGAGAAAAATACGCGTTGGATCAAAAATGGATCTAACAAATAATGCAAACAAAGTTGATAGATAATGCTTGACAAAATTAATAAAGAACTTTTGCTCGTTTTCAAAACAAACCAGAAATTAAATCAAACATCAATAGTCCCGATTGTTAACAGAGTAAACTTCCTCATATAAAAAAAATTAAAATAAAAAAATAAATAAGAATAATTCTTGGACAAACTCAGGGTTAACAAACTCATAGAAAAATAAAATATAAAAAAATAATCAGAATCATTCTGGACAAACCCAGCCTAAACAAAGTTCTGAAGTACACTGAAAAAAAAAAAAAAAATCAGAAAAATTCTTGGACAAACTCAGTCTAGTAAAAGAAAGCAAGCACTTTACCACTAACATTCTTTCTCCTAGCCTCTTCATGATCCATGATACCAGCGTAAGTTGTCAACACAATGTATCCAAACTGCAAGTTTTCAACCAAGTTCATCAGAGGGTGCCGCATTCATCCTCTACAAAGGAAGAATAACACAAAAGACACATTCAAAAATATACAACAAAATGAAACCCATTGAGGAACAAATCAGGTTATTCTTTAAACTAAGCTAATGGTTCTAGTCACTAATATTGTAGAAATCAAAACGATAGTTGTTAAAGGCGTGCCTAAACTCCAAAAAAGCCCCAGGCTCGTCAAGGCTCAAGTATAATGCCTCAACCTATTATAAGCCAAGCCCATTCAGTCAAGACTCACATAAAGCCCTTAATCTCGCACTTTTTAAAAAGTGCGCATTTTATTTTTTATCGATTTATCAAAATCCTTTTCTTTTTTATTTAATGACCCGTTAAATCATTTCCTTTTTATTTAATGATTTATCACAATCATATTTAATGGATCATTTTGTTCAACCTAATGAAATATTTGACAAAATTCGTAAATTTATGGTTGATTACTTGCATTTAGTGCTTGATTATAAATATTTATGATAATATATGCTTAATGTCTACATGATCATAGTTTTTAATTGTTTCACTTTTGTAATCACATTTAATTTAGTTAACATATGAAGGGATTTATGCACATTAATTTACCAGATCCTCATAGTTGATATTTAAAATCCCACTTTTAAAGAAATGTTTTGTTAGTTGTGTAGCATATCTTGAGTTGCTCCTATTGTACATTGATTTAATTGAACTTATATGCAAATTGGAAAGATATATGTATGTTTATTTAGCTAATACACTCGATTGATAATTAGCTTGTTCTGCATAGTTTAATTATTTTTATATACTTGTGTATAATATGCATTATTATCATGCATACGCTATACCTTGTTCAGGCTCACGCCTTGTGCTTAGACTCTAGAAAACCTATGGCGCCTTAGTGCACCTAGAGTCTTTAAAAACTATGATCCTTAATATCGCTTCATAATCACTATCTTGGCAGGTTAGCCAACCCCAAGTAGTTGGGAAAAAGGCTTCTTCTTGTTGAATCAGGTTCCATGAAATAGAGTAACAAGGAGTTTGATGTGCTAACCTGTCTTGAAGGGAGCAACCTTGCAGCCAATCCCTCGATCTTTTTGACACCCACGTCAAATCTACAACTGATTAGCCCACATTTGTTTAGTCTTCCATTCAGTTCAACCACGACTTTCCCAGCCCTATGATCTTCAACATACTCAAACTCTCCAATGTATCCTATGGAGCAAAATCACAAAGATACATAAAACAAATAAATAGGAATGGAAATTTTTAGGGGCAAACAAGGAAAACAACAGAAAAGCAGAAGTGGGATAATTTTAAGTAAGGATTAAAGAGATCATACCATGCTTCTGCATCACTAAAAGAAACTTATGATCACTTTTGATGATGGTCTAATCATAACCTAATGCTTCCCCCGCTTCTCTGCATTGTACATGCTCTTAAGAGCATCATTCAAAACACTAACCCTCACCATCTTCACTAAAAAGGCTGCAGCAAAATTTTAGAAAGGTATCAGATATATAACATCATAATTTGACATGCAATCATTAACAATAAAGGAAGATGTGAAGACAGAGACAAATGAAGGTGAACTTCATTCAGGTCAGATAAGAGATTATAAATATCTAAAATCTTAAGTTGCTTTTAATTGGTATTCGCAGATATAATTCAGTCACCTTGTCATAAAACATCCAAGAGAAAAAAACACACTGCATATTTTTTAAATATTAAACAGACAACAATATGAGATAACTCTTAGCACTTGAGCAATTAACCAAAAGAAACCAAATTGCAATCACTTGGGGTATCAGAAGAAAGGCAAATCCCTCCTCACTCCAGACTACTAAAACCACAAGTACCAATTATATTAGATATGGGATCTAGCAATTTCTGTAACAATCATTCACAACAAGTAGAAAAGGCTCATCACTAAGAACTATTGCCTTTTCAAACCATAAAACACCACCACTGCAGCAATCACATTGCAAGGTATAAAAAACTGTCAAATTTTAAAATTTTGCATCACTGAAATGAAAAGAATGTTTCATTCAAGTAAAATACCGTATCATACCCACTGCGTCAATTGCTGAATATATGTTTTTTTCCCCCAATTAACATCCATACCAATGCCAAAAACGTGTATGTATATGTATATGTATATATATATATATATATAATAAAAAATAAAAAATAAAAAGCTTGCAAACCATTCAAAGAAAGCACAAATGTGGTATTGCACAAATGTGGTATTTATTTCATGGCATTGCAGAGTGATTGCACAGTTAGTAGCTGTCAAGGATCGTACCCAAATGCTCAACCGATAACAGTCATGTTTCCACTGTCCATCTATAGAAGTCTCAGTGTGTCATACATTCGCTCAATGCTGGCGAAGTAACAAATATCAATTAAACTTGATGTCAAAATTTAATGTCAGAAATTCTGAAATGACATATAACTGATATATATGTGTGTGTGTGTACAAACACATATCTACATAAAGAAACATATACACATGCACATGTATATATATATATATATACACACACATTTATAAGAATTCATTCAGCTACAATAACACAAAAAACAGAGTTTTTTCTTTCATAACAAGTATAGAATGCTTCGAATTGTAAAGCGAATTAAACAGAATGGCATTAAATAAAAATAAAAATAAAAAGGAAATTATATTTATCATTTCATGGCATACCACAGAGCTGATCTCGGAAAACAAGAGTTAGGGTTTATGAGGTTCTTTGATAAGTGACAGATGAAAAACTCGAGTGCCATTTCTGGTGGGCAGGCTGCTTGAGACCGAAATTACCAAGTTGCCCTTATTAACCACCAACATGCCTTCACAATGAGCCCACTTTCGATCCCCGCTCTCACGCCTCTCACATTGCCCAATAGGCCAAATACTAATGAGAGAGCAGGAGTCACAGTAACTTGCAAAAAGTTCCTCTCCTCTGGAATAAGAATATAACTATTTCTATAATATGCATCAACAAACCAAACCCAAATTAAAAAATTAAAATAAATATTTTTGAAAAAAATAAATAAAAGTCTATGGATCTTGTGCTGACTAGCCCAATACACAAGGCTTCCACAGGAAAAGTGAATCTTACCTCAATACACAGAATTTGTTTCTCGTTTTCAATTTAGGAGTTACAAGTCACAATCACTACGCCAAAAAATCTTATGCTACAATGATCACTTAAATAAGGTTTTCACTTCACTGTATCTTTGACTCTCCATGATTTTGAGACAGTAGTTGCTGTCATTTTTCAGTCCACCCATAGCGTGCACATGGATGAACTCTTTGTTCAGTCTATTTAATATGATGATTATCATTGCTTGGCATTCACAACTTAAGAATGTTGTGAAGCAGTTATTAGTCTTAATAGAGTGTACATTCAATGTTGTATTAAGGTCAAGGTTTTGAGTTCCTAACAATAACGAGGGCATGTAAGGGACATACAGTTGCCAATGTTGTCTCAAAAAAGGTTTTTATTCCTAGTCCTACAAGAACAATTCTTTGTCCACTAAGGCATAGAGTTAGGAGCTTAATAATTAGAGACCGAGGTTATGGAGGCAGGTAAGTTGAGAATCTTAATGAGAACATTATTAATAGATTTTGGCCTTCACTCCATTCTGGAGGGAGGCACAACACTTCCCTAGTCACCAAAAAGTAATAATAATAAAAATATTGTTTTTAATTATATACTACGTACCATTTTGTTATATGAGAATACTATATTTCTTAAATGGAAGTGAAATTAACAAGTTGGAATTATTATTTGACAGGTTTTAAAAAGATTAAGGAACACTAAAATATAAATTACTACTTGCATTTTTGTATCTAAAATGAATCAGAAATCATTTGCCATTTCTTCTAAGATCAATATTGACAGATACAAACTAGCTTCAGATATTGTAAGATCACAAAAGGAGGTTGATCTAATCTCCAATTCATTTAAGACTCTGCAGAGGCTTCCTTTCCTGTAGTTCCTGACAATTCTTTCATGCAGCTGAGATCTGCCAAAAGTTGAAAAAAAAAGAAATCCACAATTGAAACAAGAGTAGTGATCAAATCTACAAAAGGGTATTTCTAGAATTTCTTGTCTTTAGATTTTTATTAAAGATTTACCTTATCTAGGAAAATAGTAAGAAAACAAAAATCTAATTACCAATCAGGTAAAATATTTCAGTTCTTGTTGGTGTAAAGGAGAATAACATAGAAGAAAAACTACTAAAGAGGACTATTATAATTTATTGCATGCTGCACAGGATTATAGGTTATGAGCTGAGCAAAGCTATCTTTGAGTACTTCCCTCTTTAACTTGTAACAAGCCACTCTCCCGACCAATCACTAGCCGACACGGAAGCAAATTACCCAAATATTCGGTCTTCCCATAAAAATGCAATTATTCAAAATGGTAACTTCTTTTTATTTATTTATTTTTTTTTTTTTTTTTGTTGGCAAGTCAAAATGGTAACTCACTAATATGATAATAACAAATAAAATATTCTAAATGCAGTATTCCATCTTCAGTCAATACGAATTGAACTAGCCTTTCATGTTTCATTTACAACAAATGAAATGCCAGTATAGGCTTTTAGCAATTGGCAAACAAAAGTACATAACATTCACCAAGGTTTATTATTATGTCTTGTTGTTAGGTGCATGATTTTGAGTTGAAGACTTGCTGCAAACGAAAACATTTACAATAACAATAAAGGGGTATAAAATATGCCCTGTTGCAAAGCAAGAGATGCTGACAATAGGCTATAAAAGCATCAAACACCAAATAGACGGAATAATAATAATAATAATAATAAACACAGTACCATAAAGAATTCACAACCTATTCCCAGCGGCAAATACAGCGCAAGTGCTTGTTTAAAATAGAAGTCCATAACAATCACCAAGGATATTTATTTTTATCTGTATATTTTTGGTCAGTAAACTTGGTGTTGAATTATAAAACAACGTGTGTAAAACAACAAGATCCAAGGATGAAGGCAATTATGGCTCAGCGGTGACAGCTGTCCTTACTCAATTTTCCTTTTGTTTTTTCTCTTTATATACATATCTTTTAATAATCATAAAGACGCCTACAGTTGTCCTAATTATAATCACACATCCATCGTACATGTCATTTAAGAGATACCTTGATACCAATGGGCCAATGGCCTAGCGGTATCAGGCCCTTGCTCCATTCTGTTAAAAAGCCCTTACAAAAAATGACAACAATGACAAAAGGAGATTGGTGTCAATCCATGTATTCCTAGAACATAGACTATAATGCTTAAATGGCCCCCCTTCTAGATACATGGAGTGGCATTTAGGAACGTGTTACTAAGATCCCTTTGAAATAACTACAATAGTCTGAGCATGAAAAATGCTTTGTGGCTATAGATCTATTCTATACGAACTGGCATGTTAGGAAGTTGAGAAGAAAGGTCACAAATTTTTTATTGTGGACTGTGTGTGAAGTTGAATTTGCAAAACTTATCATCTTTCAACAATTCAAAAACAGATTTAGCCACTTTTTTTTTTAAGGCAACAATTTAAGTCAGATAAGAAGATTGACTAGATTACATGTACTTACAGCTTCAAGCAAGTACCATAACTTAAAGTGTTACCATTTGAGCCTTCTCATTCTTGAGCAACCCTTCCCAACCTACAAGCACAACATATGGACATATAAGAAAGGGGCAAAAAAGAAAGTAAAAGAAGTAACAGAATTTTTTTAGAAAAAAATATAATCAGAGCTTATCAACCAGAACTGCAAGTCCATGAGATTCCTTCAGGTTTGATGACAATACAGAATTTCTTTGGATTAATTGCTGGCGGCAGCACAAAGCTTATCGGGTCTTCGAGAACATAATCCAGCCTTTTACAGCAACCATGTGGGCCTTGACTTCTCATGTAGCTTCATGAGTCCAGTCCATGCTGTCTGTGCCCTAGCACCAAAATGTTGGAAACTAGTAGGATACTTCCAAGCCTACTTCTGGTTCTTAATTCAGGCTGTTTGAATACTATGTTCATTTATCTGACCCAGTAGGACTGTAAATGTTGGGCAAAATATATCCATGCATGAAAATTATTATTGGAAAAGCTGCAGTCATTGTTATATATTGACATCATCGGAAATGCCGTAAAGGTCACCAGAAATCCTTGCATGAACAGATAACATCCTCAAAGTGATGAAAATGAGTGGCATCTTGAGAATGATCCTGCGGCCTGTGATCTTTTAAAATAAACTTTGTAGTAGTGTGGCAATCCACACAAACAAGGAGATTCTTTACTATCTGGATGGTTGACTCAGATTCTGTTAAGAAGAGCATAAGTTATGGCTAATATTTCACTATACTGTAGAGAAACAATTCTAAATCCTCTTCCTCCACATTTTGTGATGCGCAGCTCTTGTCAGGAACATAACCCATTTTCTCCATCTTCTCAAGCAAACTGTTTCACAGTAAACCCATGCTCTTGAATTGTGGATGGCTCTGGTCACCTACTCAAAATGCACGAACCTTGATTTTAAATCAACCCAACTACATCCTGGAGTTTTTGTCAATCCAGTCTCATTCATCTTCAGTCTAGTGTTTCCTGCATCGCCCCACCTACCAGATTGAGCATATATGTTCGATAAAACCACATAGTGAGCTGGGTTTCCAGGCTCCAGTTTAGCAAGATGATTCAATGCTACCTCTCCTAACTCCACATTAGAATGCATTCTACAAGCACCCAATAGGGCTCCCCAAACTCCAGCATCAGGTTCAACAGGCATTGTTTTAATTAAAAACAAAGTTTCGTCAAACAGACCAGCTCGACCTAACAGATCCACCATACAAGCATAGTGTTCCAAGTTTGGTTCAAGAAAATGCTTTTCACGCATGGAATTAAATATTTTCCTCCCTTCCTCTATCAAACCTGAATGTCTGCAAGCAGACAAGACACTTACAAAAGACACAAGATCAACCTTAACATGACTCTCCTGCATACGTGAGAAAAGTGCTAAAGCACAATCCCCATGCCCATGAACTGCATAACCAGTAAGCATAGCATTCCATGAAACTGTGTCTTTAGTTTCTATCTCATTAAAAATATTGACTGAATAATCAAGGCGCCCACATTTGGCATACATGTCGATGAGACAGTTTCCAACAAGGGTATTAGACTGAAATCCCATTTGCAGTACGTAGGCGTGAATAGCCATACCTTCTTTTAAGGCTGCCAAGTATGCTACCGCAGGAAGGACGTTCACAAATGTGACTAAATTAGGATGAAAAGTCTCTAATTTCATCTGGTGGAATGCAGAAATAGCTTCTTTAGCATGTCCATTCTGCACGTACCCTGCAATCATTGCATTCCAGGATATCTCATCCTTAGGGAGCTGAGTTTTGTTGAACAATAATTCGGCTGAGGGAAGGCTTCCACATTTGGCGTACATGTCAATTAGAGCATTATTCACATGACAGTCCAACTCAAACCCATGCTTTATAATTTGCCCGTGAATGCAGGTTCCTAGGTCTAGGTCATTTAAGAGGGTACAAGCTGGCACCACACCCACCATTGTTCCAGAGTCTGGGTGTACCCCATATAATTTTAGTTGACAAAACATCTCCATTGCATGATAAGGGTCACCAATCTGAGCATATCCAGTTATCAAAGCGTTCCATGTCACAATATCTTTACATGACATCCTATTGAATATATTTAGTGCCGGAGTAAATAATTCACATTTGGCATACATTGACACTAGGGCAGTTCCTGTTGAAACATCAAAACCAATATTGGCTTTGACAGCATAGCAGTGAATGCTCTTTCCCAGTTTCACAGACAACAATTCTGCACAGGCTGGAAGGACACTCACTAGAGTTACAGCATTTGGTTTCAAATTCTCATTCTGCATATGTCGAAATAGAGTGAGTGCTTCTTCAGGATGCCCAGATTGGGCAAAAGCAGCAATTATGGCAGACCAAGCAACTAAATCTCTTCCATTTAGTCTTTCAAACAATTGTTTAGCCTTCTCCAATTCTCCGCATTTGGCATACATTGTCATAAGAGGAGTAGCCACCAAAATATCTGAATCAATCCTTTGTTTTATGGCACAGTCATGGATCTCCTTCCCCTTCTCCAAATCTCTCGTCTCAGCAGCTGCCAGAAAAGCACTTACAACCGATACCTTATTCATATTCAGATTCTTTCTTTTCATGTAATCAAATAATTCTAAAACCTCAAAAAAATGTCCATTGTGGCCATACCCCGCCATCATAGTACCCCATGAAACATCATCTCGGGCCCCCATCCGTTCAAAAATCCTGCGAGCAATATCAACATGGCCACACTTAGAGTACATATCAATCAACCCATTCGAAACAGAAATCGGAAAATCCCTTCTGAACACATATCCGTGAATGCATTTACAAGACTTGATATCTAATAACTTAGAAACTGCCGGGAACAAATTCAACAAGCTCACCGAATTAGGCTCCACATTGCCGCCACCAATTTGCATACTCCTAAAAAATCCAAATGCCTCCCGCGGATCCAAATTCTGTGACAACCCCGCAATCAATGCATTCCAAGCCACAACATCCTTCTCAGGCATTCTATCAAACAACTCTCTTGCACGACCCAAGTCACCCAATTTACAATACAAATCAATAAGCCCAGTCCCGATAAACACATCACATTCCAGTCCCTTATTAACTATTTCACGATGAATCGAAACACCCTTTTGCAAATCCAAATTCCCGGTACAAGCTTTCAGTACAAAAGTGAACGTATACTTGTCTGGTTCTAGAGATTTATCTAACATGTAATGGTACATTTCCAGAGCTTCTTTGAATTTTTTTGACCTTGTATAAGCTCTGATCATGGAGTTCCATATAATCACACTTGGGTTTGTTGTGGAATCGAAAACAAAGCGAGCCAAGTCGCATCTTTGAAACGAAGAGTACAAATTTATGAGATGGGTACTTGTAAAACTGTCTGGTTTGTGGCCTGAGACTATTAAACAGCCATGGATTCGAAGGAGAGATTGCAAGTCCTTGCACGAAGTGAGTAGACGAAGGCAGTGTTGAGGAAAATTCTTTGGACCGTTGGAGGGCAAAGGAAGAGTTTCAGGACATGTTCTTGAGATGGAATGGAAAGGTCTGCGCAGTGCATGTCTGCTGATCATCGTTCAGCACCTCTTCGTTCGTGTCACACGTTGATCGTAGTCACTACACTTTTAGTAGTGCATTTGAAAACGTATGCCATTGAGCTAGCATTTGAAGTTAATTCGTCTGCACTCATATATCTTGAAGGAACATTTTAAGGTGTGCATATATATATATATATATATATATATATATATATATATATCTGTTTAATTTCTATATCTCTAGACCGTCCGTCCTTTTTTATGTTTTTTTTTTCTTTGTTTTTTTAACTTCAGTCCTACCGAGCCAGATTGTGCCTCGCACCCTCACGTGTCCCAATAAGAGATTGACACCATTTTTAAACTTAAAAAAAATATAAAAATATGGGTTATATTTATTTTTTTAGAATTAAACCCGATAAATCTATGTTTTTCCTCTTTTGCTCCCATTTGTGTATCTTCATAGCCAATCATTCCAAAAAAAATAGATTGGCTTTCGATTTCAATTTGATCTTACCAAAGATTGATTCATTTTCCTGAAACATGCATGTTATAACATTATATTTGTTGGGCCATGTAATTTTTCATATATAGCATGCATAAAAAACAGTTGAGGTAGATTGTAAAAAAGGGAGAAATAAAAATGGTTAGTTCAATTTTTTAAGAATAGTTTTCTATCTTAAGAAAATTAAAAATAACAGAAAAAGGTAGGAAAAGACAATTTTTCATGAGTTATTCTCTAGTAACAGAATTAAAATAGTTACTAGAATTAAAATAAGATACATTCAAAGTTGAGTAATTTTAAAACTATTTCTGCTTTTTTTTATATATATATATGATTCTAAAAAACTGCCTAGAACTATTTCTGAATTAAAAGAATTTTTATTATTCTAAAAAGTAGAGGTCAGATAGGAAATATTGGAATGATTGGCAGCTGGAGCTAGGAGAAAAGAAAGATGTGGATGATCCAGTGATATACATAGATGGGAGCACAGATAGGGAAAAAAAAAATAGGTATAAGCTATGTTTTGTTTTTTTTTTTTTTAGTTTAAAAGAGGTGTAAACCTTTTATTGGAACATAACCTGTCTTGATAAAGCAAGACTGAAGCAATATCCTTTTCTTTTTTTCTTTTTTTGAGGTAAGTTTCTCTCTCTTTGTGGATGAACTTTTTTTGTTTTTAATATTATTTTGTTTTCTATATATTTAATAAAAATTCAACCAACCATTAATCTCTTTGGGCTCAAACTCTGAACGTAGTCGCTTTGGTTTTTATCTAATTGAAGTAGACAGAGCAACCAGTCCCGCCGGCAAGCTATTTCCCTTTTTTTTTTTTTTTAAATGTAGTACCTCAAATGTGAAATTGAGGTAAGAACAAAATTGATAACGCATTCTTCTTAAAGAAAAATTAATACGAACTTAGGAGCTCAATTTAGATTGCATGATTGAGGTTTGAAAAGTTCAAGGAGAGATTTGACTGGGATGATCCTTGTCAACCAAATCTCTCTCTTGAACTCCGCAAACACAAACCTCAATCATGTGGTCTAAACACAATAACGTCAACATCCGGTAGAAGTCTACCACTAGCAAATTTAGTTGTAATAATTCTACGTCATCATCCGGTAAAAGTCTACCACTAACAAATTCAGTTGTAATAATTCTCAGATAATAATGATGTGGCTGAGTCTAGATTGATCAGTCAATGCCGTACAACATATGTAGTGAACTTGTAAATTTTATTTCTTTGAGATTTGAGAAGGACAAAGATCCTCTCTAGCCAAATCAAATGTGAAAGGAAGGAAATCCCTCCAATCTAGTTCATAGTAAGCTTTGTTCTCCACTATTAGTTTTATTTGCTACCATCATGCTATTTACCTCAACAGATATACCTTAATCTTCTGAACATTGCAGTCATAAATGGTGCGTGCTTCATAGTCAAGTTCAAATTAACTTCAAAAGGTTTGCCAAATGTTTCCTACTAATATACAGGTACACAACCTTCTCTTACGAATATGCCAACACTACATTGCAACAATAAGAGACACTAAAAATTCTTTGCTTGACAAGTCCCCAGCGGTGTCTGGTAAAACAACAAGATCACCACATGTTAATAGATTTTCCACCCAAATTCAATTTTTTTCTCTATATGCTCAATAAAGGAAAAATTATACATTACAGAAGATACAAAACACCACATTTGAAACAATTTAAATTGGCATTTCTTTGCAGACCACTTCTGACGTTCCAAATTATGGACATATAAAGAGGTATACTTCCATTACTACTAAGTTTTCCAGAACTACATTTGGATACATATAAATGCAGTGATTAGTCATACTTTGATCATGTTTAGTGTGCCAATCTGTTCTAGACCATTAACCCAATGATATAACCTCTCCTCCCTCAAAATGGAGGTGGAGCCCCAATTTGTGAAATGCGTGTGAATATCCATCCACCAAAACAATAAATAATAATAATAATTTGAGTTCTACTCGTAAATTTAGGTTCAACAACAGATGGCTAACCTCAAACTATATAGCAATGCTCCTTAGGACGACAAAAGTTTTCTGCACTGCTGTGTTTAAGACAATATTCATCGAGAAAATACATAATATTAGTGAATGAAATTATAATAATAGCTATAGACAACACTGTAATACCAAGAACATATAATGCAGGAATCTGTAACCAATGCAACAATTTCAGCAAGTCAGCATAGAAAACGAAGAACATTAATTTGTAATACTGCAATACATGTGAAAATAGGAACAGCGGAACATCCATTCAAGAAATTGGAACAAACTGAAAAATAATACCCATCCCCACTAGCCATCGCATATAAGTTTGTCAATATAACATCAAAAGGGAATACCCCATAATCCATAAACAACCAGCAAAATGCATACTTGAAATCGGTAAAAACATATTGAGGAAGACAATACACAAAGTAAAGTTGAACAACAAGCCAATATCATATCTAAGCAACTTCTACGTTCCATGAACTATAAACATTCATCATAAGCAATGCAGATTGGATGGGAGAACACTTCATTTTGCGTGAACGCCGAACGGTAATTCAAATTCAGGCAGCTCGGCTTTTAATGACATCAATGCCCATCTCGGTAGGATCAGTTGCTTGCAACTCTATCTGAATACCATCTAGCTCTCTCTTGAACCTGTCCTTGGAGCTTGCATAAATCATCTTGCTTCTCACTCTTGATGTGTCAGGGGACCTTTATAACAATCAAATAAATAAAAAATGATTGCATTGAATCACCAAAAAGACAAAAAAGATATTCACTGAACACAGTATCCTTGTAACTTAAGACTATTACCATGCAATAAAGAAAATCCTGCTCTTCGGGACATTTTCCTGTGTCATGAAATCGAAGTCATAGATAGCATATCGGCACTCATCAGCGGGGAGACTTGCAGTAAAATCCTCATAACTTTCAGTAGGTTCACCAAGCTTTTCCACAATAACTTGCTTTTGCTTCTCTTCAATCTTGAAAATTATGAACCGATAAGTTCTTTTCGCCTTCAATTCCAAGAACTTCAATTTACAGTCATCATGCACAGCCATTCCTGATGCCGCGTTTGCCTATATATTATACAGAATGTCAACAAATGTCATGTGAAAAAGTAAAATAATATGATACCTACATATTATATGAAATGTCAACAAGTGTCATGTAGGAAAGCCAAATAATATGATACCACAACCTTAATAATAAGATGCAACTAGAACCGCCAATAGTTTTTTCATATACATGTAGCTCCATTTATCCAAAATGAAAACCCAATAAATAACAAAACGTCAACTATACAACGACACATTTCCAAATTCCACCAGATAATTCTTCACTGAACATATAACACTTGCCATTTTTCTAAACCCTCTTCCGATAAGGATTAGCAAATCACTCTCAATTCATTCTTTATTTTTAACCGAACTGTACTTTACTAACTCTTTCACTGCCAATGATGATTAACTATTTCTAGAGCTATAAAATCTTGGATCCCCCAGCTTCGGCAAAAGGCAAACTCTCTTGAGATCTGTGTTACGGTTGTTGCCCGAACTCGGGTAAGTGTATCATAAATTAGTGTGGCCCCAAGTGTGGACCTCTTAGAATCCCCAATCTTAATATACGAAGATAAGTAAACAACAGTCATATACTGGTACGTATACATGTACTACACATTTAATTACAGTATATATTTTATTTTAGTGCAATGCTAAATGTTGTTTTATAAAAATGTACTAAATCATTATTTATAAATATATATACACAAAATTATTATTCAAATTAGATGGGATGTGGTAAAAGAAAAGGGTTTCTGTCTATCTCCATAGACAGGAAACTTCATCTCCTATATTAAATTTGAGTAGTTGTCATGTCATGTGAACCACCAAGGGTTGTAACCTAATACTATCTCTTCTATCTCCCAAAGTGGTGAAGGTCCGAATCGCATTAGAGACAAATGGAAGTGTGAGTTTCTTGTCAAGGATAAATAAAATAAATAAAAAAATGATATCATGGGAAGGATCATGGGTGTCTGATTTGAGTTCGTATCATATCGGATATATCATGTACACATACCAATACCATGTCACAGGAAGGATCATGGGTGTCTGATTTGAGTTCGTATCATATCGGATATATCATGTACACATACCAATACCATGTCACAGGAAGGATCATGGGTGTCTGATTTGAGTTCGTGTCGGATATATCATGTACCCATACCCATACACACACCCATGCCCAACACGGGTGCGAAAGGAAAATAGGATAAGCAACATAACACAGCTTGAGATGGGTGATTAAAACAAAATGGGTCAATATCCATACCACTTTCACAAAACGTGCACAGCAAGGCTCAATTTTGCCAATGAAAATATATTTTTTTTAGAGACGAACAATTAAACCTGTTTGGCGGTGGGTAATAAAATTAAATAATTCAATGGAATATCTTGAATCTATGTCGAATCAATAAGTGTAGGTAAATCAAGTGAATTTCATTCTGCTGAGGATAAATTCAATAAAAGAAAAGGCAATTAGGTTTGATCTAGAATTTGACTTAGAAATCCTAGTTTTAGTTTCCAAAAATTAAGTTCTACATAAAACTAAATTCCAAAACCATATGTCCAAACATTAAAAAAATCTATGATCCCATTTCAAATCTAAAGCCCCGAATTAATTCGGGCCATATGTGATCTAGTTTAAGACGGCAAAGTCAATACCCATATCAAAATGTGAACTGAAAATACAAAGATCCGCCTAAATCCACATCAAACGATCAAAGTATCAACATACAATCAGACACATCAAATCAACATCCACAACCCCAAGATCACACCAAAACCGAATCAGATCCGTCGACCAGACAAAATCCACATAAACAACCATTTCCACCACCAAAAAGAAAGAATTAATCGCAAAATTTCACGGATCAAAACTAAAAAACCGCATCAACTACAGATCGACAGAAAACGGAACAAAATTAATCAAAATAAACGGATATAAAAACCTAATCCTAGTGAGAGAGAGAAAAAGCAAGCGCGAAGACTGACCATGTTTTCAGGAGGAGATGTAACGAGAGCGAGAGAGAAAATCTAGGGCTCCGATGCAGAAGATGTGTAAAGTGAAGATAGACTTTCGGTGAGCGTGTTTTGTTGCGAGTCCTTTCGAATTTGGTCACTTTCTCTCTCTAAATCGTACGCGTTGATGATCGTAGTGTGACCACGAGGATAAAGTGTGACAAACCAATGACGTGCTGCCACGTTGTCTAGCTGGAGAACACGTATAGGCACGTCATGGGCTGTGACGGTGACTTATCACGCAGAAATAAAAGTTTTTTTCCACTTACCCTTTCCAGCAGCAAAGCAACAAATTCTTTAGCTTTTCATAAAGCAAGTGTCTTTGCAATACACTGCTGTCAATACAGTCTTTCATGAGTAGTTCATATTTAATCTTAAAATTGTTTTTTCTGAGATTTTGAAAATCAAAATGAATCACTTAATATAATTTTTTAAAGGTTAAGAGTAAATAACTCTCTTACAATATAAAAAATGTGCAAGAAATACTTGCTATCAAACCAAAAAAAAAAAGTGCATATAACTATTATTTATCTTTTGAACAACTTGTCCCTTATTAAATAGATTCGTTGACAAATAGCAGGTGTTTTTTAAAAAAAAATCAAAAGTATCCTTTTTGTGTGACAACAATGATCCTACTAATTTTGTATATATTTAAACACTGAATGAGTTTGTTTGGATGTGGACCAAGGAAAACTCTCTATGTGTCGCCACATATATTATATAGGAAAATGATATAATTGTTTATTTTAATACTCCAACTTAAAATCGACTGACATAAAAATATAACATGATTATTCTAAAATGAACAATTTCAGACCTAAATAGAAATTATTACTACTCTTGTTTGGTTTCATAAATTATGTCACTTTCCTTTTCCTTATCTTTTCAATTTTCTATAGGTGCCATTACATATTTCCTCATTTCCTTCTTTGTTTTCATGGATTTTTCTTTCTTTAAATTCCTCTCCTCCTTTTTATTTGTAGGAGTTAGATAACAATCTTCTATATATATAATGAGAGATACATAATCTAATAATATATGTATATATATATTATATATTATTATTAGATTATGTATATATATAAAAAGTAATTTAATATATATATATATGTACTAGAAAATGAACACGTGCAATACACATAAAGAAAAATCTATATTGGATAAATAATTGGTATTTTATATATTATTTTATCTCAAAATAAAATAAAATTGACTTTAATTTTTTTCTTAAACCAAAAAATTAATTTAGATTTACGGAATAGATGTTAATTCAAATTAAAATATTAATATGATTTATATGAGGGTTTTAATCATCTTTCTATCTAATTATTAAATATTAAAAAGAGAATTTTTTTTTTGACAAAGATGATAAGATAGAGATGGATTCATACACACATTTTATTATGTTAAAGAAAATAGTTTATTGTGAAAGAAAACAAAAAATGAATTCTCACCGAACATGTATTTTAATTTAGAAACAACTATTTGTACAAAAAAATGTAATATTAAAATAAACGATAACTTTTCAGAACAGTCATGAGAACTCTTTGAGATAACTCTTCAAAAAACATTATGTTAAAATAATTTTTTATATATTATATTCTATACCAAACACAATTAATCAATTAATTATATCAATGAAAAGTTTTTGCAGAGAAGAACATAACATGAAAGTTTTGTTTTTTTTTTTTTTTTTTTTTTTTTTTTTTCTTGAGACTATATAACATGACACAGTTTTTAAAACATAAACTCTTCACAATAGGTGTCTCAACTGTAGATGACTTTTAGAAATTACGTTGCAGAAAGTGTTTTTTTTTTTTTTCAAAAGGTATATAATTAAAAATCTAGAGTTTAAGACTGATGTAAATTAAAATTGTTTAAAACAAGAACTCTTTGGGAAAAAAAAAAAGAAAGAAATATACGTCAGTTATATATATACACTTGCAGACGTATATTGCATATAAAATACATTATTTCATATATTTTATCCATGTAATTTATCTGAATAGAGCAAATTTAATATTCATGCATATTACTTTCACATCGTAATAAAAAAATTCCAAAACTGAACTATTAGGAGAACATATAAAATATAATAACTCCTATATATATATATATGATTAAATAGAAAGATAAAATATATAAATTGTTCTTCAATTCAAATTTAAACATACCTTTAAAAAAATATATATATATATATTATAGGGTTTTGAGTTGTAATTTGACGTAAATGAACCAAAAGACAGTTTCCTCTCAAAGCTGTTGAAATTGTTTGTAGAAGAAGAAACCGCTAACAAACTTTTTGTGAATAAATTATTTTCAAAGAGAGATGGAAAGAAATAGAGAGGAGTGAGATATACGGTAATATGAATATTAGATATCTATTTACATAGGTGTTTGCAATAAAAGATGACTTTTAGAAAATGTGTTAGTGCAGTTAGTGACTTTTAGAATATTATTAGAAAAAGGTGGTATATAAAAAATACAACTAGAATTCATAGGTGTTTGCAGTTAAAAGGTGACTTTTTGAAGAGGTGTTAGTGTAATTAAAAGGCGTTTTTTTAGAAGAAGTCATTTTTGAAAAGTCACGTTTATATTATTATTAAAAAAAATTGTATATAAAAAATACAAATAGAATACACTTTTATAGAGTAAATAGATATATTAAAGTTTCATGGTGATTCAAATTTTAATTGACAACAAAGAATATTAAGATGAAATTCTAGGAGTGTTAATAGGAGTTTTTACTTTTATTTGTAAAAAAATAGAAAGATAAGCAACTTTCCAAATACTTAATTACTTTATATTTTAAAATAGGTCCATTATATTTGACACATAGACAGCCACACAGATTCAGTAAAATAGTAAATTTTTATTTGTCAATTAAATAGTAAGGCTCAAAAAATATATATATCCTCTCTAAAGTATCTCGCCAGATATTCCCTCTCTAATTTTTGTTTCTCTCTCTAAAATATCTTTTTATCACTCTTTCTATTTATTTAGAGTAATGATTTACAACACAAAAGAGAAAGCACAAAAACTCCCCGAATCTGATTTGGCTAAGCCACATTAGAATTTAAAAAAAAAAAAAAACATGGTGCTTTCTCTTTCTTCCACAATTGAAAACTAAAAACTCTCTAAAATTATATATAAACAACACTTCGCCTCAAACGTCACCTTTTGTAAAATTATTTTAGGCCCACTTTTTCTCTAAAAGACAAATACATTTTGTAGAACTTTAATAGGATGAATAAATTATAGATTAAAAATTTCTTAATATAAATTTTAAAACATTAAATATTTGGTTTATATAGAGTATAAATAATTTTGTATTTGTAATTTTGTATATTTGTAAATTTAAATTTATGGAACACGGGAACATGTAATTTCCAATTTGTGAATATTTTCATTTGCTCTCTCCCTCTAATTTTGGAGAGTTTTTAGTTTCCTATACGTGAGGGAAAAGAGAAACACCATTTTTTTTCCTTTCCTTTTTTTCATTTTCATTTATACCATTTAAAGAGAGGACTATTTCTTGTTTTAATTTTGACGTTGCTTAGCCAAATCAAATTGGGGAGTTTTTGAATTTTTCTTTCGCATTGCTTATCATTACTCTTTCCTTTTTTCTCTAAAATTTTTATGTCGCTGCCAATATTATCTCCTCTCTAAATGATAGTTGCACTATATTTTCTTATTCCTTTAATTATATAATAAATATAATAATTAATAAATAAACGAATTTGCTTTGACACAAATTGTTATCCGATGAACTTAAGATTTCTATCAAAATTAAAATTTTGATCTAGTTGCTCTTCGGCTGGACATAAACTCAAGCAACACGTTTTTTAAAAAAAATAATTTATTTTTATCATATCATTTTCTTTATAATAAACAAGCACAAGGCTTTAACATCACGCGAGCCAAACTTTGAGTTCACCATTTTTTTCCCCCCTAGTTGGTTTACCATTAATTTTTCAAGCACAACTTCTCAAAATCATTAATAAGTGGGATAAAATGCAGTTAACAAAAATATTATTGTTGATAAGTGAGATTGACATGTAGTTAGTGATGTAAATCTATAAATTTTGTATTTTTAGCAACTATAGCGAGATGGATGAAACGTTGGAAATTGTTGCAGCTAAGGAATGAATCATCTCCAATCCAATCAAACTTGGTTTGTAACTCTGCAAACAGTTCTTAGAAACTCAGAAAACAGAGAATAATTTTCAGATAATTATAAAAGACTATTCTTTAAAAACAGTCATTTTATAACGGAGCAAAACAACTTTTGAAAAACTGAATCAAACAGAATTTTTTGTTCAATTTTTTATTTTCAATTTTTCGATAACAGAAAATTGTTTCCATAATTACAAACCAAGCAAGCCAACTTCTACATAAAGTGGAGATTTAATCAACCTTGGTGAATTTCGGCTATGTTGTTTTCCTTCTGTTATTCTTTCATGCTCAATAGTCAACCTTATGATCTCATCTGACAATGAGAAAAATTAAACCTCCGAGTTCTGTTTAGTTTATATATTACAATGAAAATCACGTTCAGCGACATGCAAGGAAATATTGTAAATGACAATTATGACATACTTCTTTCAGATCTTCAATGATTGGAATCAATTTATTTGCTAGAATCTGGAGTTCTTATTTGCTCTTCTCTTGTACTGGTTTGTTTGAACTATTTGTGCATGTAATTTGTATTATCTTGGTAAGCTGTTAAAGTGCACTCTGTTATTACAGTGCACTCTGTTCAAAATATGTGCGATTAGCATAGATATATTGTATGAATGGATATTGGCACATGCCAGTGGCCTAGCGGTATTCAGCCTCTACTTTCTAAAGTGAGGTGAGGGGTTTGAGTCTCAGTGAAAACATGTATGTGTGAATACCAACTAAAAAAATATATAAAGGGGAAGAAATTGGAAAAATTGAAAATATGCTATTAGCATTTTACCAGGGCATCCAAACGAACCTAAATGAAATTTTAGTAAATATTTACGTATTGTGTGTTTACATAACAATCTTTGATATAAAGATCAAGCAACTAAATTGGATTTAGGGTTTGATCTTGAGAATTATGTCTGTGCAAATGAACTTCAAATCCATTTTTAGGATGGTGTAACAAAGTGACTTATAATTACACAAAGAGAATCTATAGATTTCACGAGAAATTCTTTAATGCTTGAGGATTGCTTAGGATATGGGAAAATTTACTAAATGAACACCAACACGTAGTGATAAGAGACATTATATTTTTACTTATATGGCATGCATTTTTTTTCTTTTCAAGTTGATCACCGACATGCAATCAGCATGAGATGCAGCATAGTATACTGTCAACAGATCCTCAAACAAAGGTGATGTTTCCATGTTATATAGTATTGCAATCTGATGGTGATTTTTCAAAAATTATAATCTGAGAGTAATTTCGAAAACTTTTGGGGTCTGAGAGTAATTTATCTCATTATTAAAAGTGGTTGGTCGTCTGGTAATTTTAAGCTTTAATGGGGGCAACTTCAAAATTCTCCCACAGTCCCACGTGGAACGCCACCAGTCAAGTTTGACGAAACTTACGTGCTCCCATAAATCCCATAAGCGCATCCGACCTTGTTGAAAAATAAACTCCTGGTTTCTAAAACCTCTACTCTTCTCATCTCAACGCATAACACACACACAAATTCAGAAACAAACCCTAATCTCCAAATCTCTGTGTTTGCCCAAAAATGTCTGAAGCTCTGGACATGTCGCTCGATGATATCATCAGAAACAACAAGAAAAATGGAGAATCTTCTGGTAATTTCACGGGTAGAGGCAGAGGAAGAGGCCGAGTCAGAGGCTCCGGTCCCGGTCCAGGTCCAGCTCGTCGACTCCCGAACCGTACTTCGACCAGAATGACGCCGTATTTCGCACCACAGGTGACTGAGTCTTTTAATCTTCACATCTTCTTGATCTGGACTTCTAGATGGAGTTAGGGCTTATGATTTTAGTAGAAATTAGTGCATTTCAAGCTTGATCATTTCTTTTTACCACTACCCTTCACCCTTCTCTCTCTATATATATTTGTGTGTGTATTCTTTGGATATACTATGTGTATGGTGTGTGTATTTGATCGACATTTGGGGCAATTTTATGTGCATTGTAGGTGGCTCAAGTGCAAGAATTCTTGACGATTGGAGGGGCAAACACCGAGGCAGGGACGAAGCTGTATGTATCCAACTTAGATTACGGGGTTTCTAATGAGGATATTAAGGTAATCATATCGTTGTTATAAGTATTATATATATTATTAATTTTTGTAATTTTTAATGAAAAAAATTATTAAAATACAAAATTTAAACTTTAAAATTGTTAAATTTTGTTGAGGAATTAGAACGCTGTAGTTGTTTATCTAGTTCCCCTCTGTGTGTGCGTGTGTGTAAAATTAACTGTTTTTACCTTTTTAGTATATGAACTATGATTTGCTTTACTTATCAAAAATCGATTTCCCACCATCCTTCTTGCCTTTTTGCTTGTGTTATGCACTTTGCTTGGTTAATAGACTCGTGTAAAGGTTGTTGATACTGCAGTTAGAAATGTTTTATTTTTTAGAAAAATAACATTTTTAGCTAGCTTATTAAGAATGATCAGAGTTAGTGGGATGGGAGTTGGCGTGTACGAAGTATCGTTGAGGTGGAATCTGTGTGATCTAGAAGAAGTAATCCAAATTGGGTGCTTAGCATTTGCAATACGTATTGGGTGTCTTAACATTTGAGTGGTTATAACTTGTATGACATTCACCATTATGAATTTTTTTCACAAATATGGTTGGTGAGAGATAATAACTCTCAGTACGTGGAGTATTTTTTCCCCAGTAATATGATGATAGACCTATTTGAGAGGGTCTAAAATCCTAGATATAACCGAAGTTGGAGGGTCGGAACTTGGAAGAGCAAACTTCAAGATTTGGTCTTCTCAAATCAAGGGGGCATTGGCCCGTTCTTGCTTGTTCTTCTACACAATCTACGAAGAGTTCATCATGGAAATAAAACGGAGTACAAATTTATAGATGCCACTTTAGTTTCAATTGAGGTGCATTTACTCCATCGAAATCATTTTTGATGGAAATTGACCATGAATGATCATTTATCTTCTTTGATATAATTTTGTGATATAGATTGTTATTTGGTGTTACATATAACCATAGATGATTGTTGATTGTTGAAATAACCATGATTGTTTATTTGGGATGCAAGACATGTTTTGTAGCCCATTGCATGAAGAACTTGTATGTTCTCGCTAATTGGAGGAAATTTCTTGATGGAAATAAAAAATCCTTCACGTATTTATGGTAGGATAGTGGCTTGCGATACAAAGATCATTTGTGCATTTGTGCATCTATGCCGATGTTCCTACTTCCTATTAAGCCATGGGATACAAAAAAAATTCCCATCAGTTGTTTTAGTACTTGTTGCCTGGTTTTGCTTTGTGTGCATGCGCATGTTTGTTGATAAGCAGTTGTTGTGGTTATGTTAAAAATCAAAGATGATGCTCAACCTGATAACAACCGTTCCTATTTTTATCCTCTGATTATTAGTATTGTTTTTGTTATTGTAATTGTTAAAGAATAAAGAATCAGAATTTGTTCTTTTACCAATTGAAGGCCTCACTGATAGTGCAGACATGCTATATATATATATAACATGGTGTTGGTGGCAGTGGCAATTCTAGTGGAAGAGGTGGATATGGCAGATTGGCTAATGGTGGTAGTCACGTAATGTGGGTGATGGTATAATTGTGATGCATGGTTCTGGAGGTGCAATGTTGTTGTGTAATGGCCGTTGTCAGTGTGGTGAAAGACTGATAGTAGTTTGCATGTTGTTCTGGCAGCATAAGTGGTAATGGTAGGCTAGTCGCATTATCAATCAAAGTTAGCATAACTTGTTAGTCAAACATTCAATAAGTAAAAATGATGAAGATTTTACTTGGATTTTGCTGGAAACAAGTTTTCGAACTGGCTTTAAAAGTTCTCTTTTTATACTTAATTTAATTGGTACAAATTTCTATCAATCATTTATAAATGTTCTTACTTTGCCATGGCTGCTCGTTCACATGACTTTCACATCTGTAATTATTTTCCTGTTGTAAGCTCTGATATTTTGTATTTTATCATGCATTCTACCAGCTAATCTATATAATTCATAAATCTAATAGGAGGAATTGAATGTTGCACAAATCAAGACATTAACATTTATGTAACTATTTGCAGGTGCTATTCTCAGAGGTTGGTGACCTCAAACGACACTCAATTCATTATGATAGGAGCGGAAGATCAAAGGTATCTTGACAGGTTTTGAGACACTCAGGTCTTTTTGAAGAAATATATGTGTCTACTAGTGGCTTAGAAAGAATGTTTATGTTAGGGAACTGCGGAAGTGGTTTTTTTGCGTCAGTCAGATGCCTTAGCAGCTATCAAGAGATACAACAATGTACAGCTTGATGGGAAACCAATGAAAATTGAGTTGGTCGGAGTGAATCTTGTTACTCCTGCTGCTATGCCTCCGACTACAAATGGCATATTGGGAAATCATCCGGGTGTCACTTTCAGAAGGTATGTACCTTTTCAGTCTTCCCAGAATAATTGTCTTGTTTCATTGCGTGCTGACATGATGTCAATAAGTTCCATATTTATTTGCGGAAACTAAATGGCCATCGATTTTTAAATTTTTTTGATATAATGTTAATCTTGGGAGCAATTTATCACGTGTTTATCCAATCATCAAATTGAGTGTAAGATTGCCTAATATTAGGGAAGAGTAGAGCAGTTGGATTGTTAGAAGATGGAGTGTACTTTTTGAATATGAAGCTTGGGCTGAATAATCGCTGAATCATGTGTGTAATTTCCAGGCAAATGTCTAGGGTTTCAGCCTTTTTCCCTTTGAAGGTGTTTAGATAGCATAAAATATATTCCCTCTTTACATTTTACGCATGAATTAGTATACTGTGTGAAGGAATACCACTTATTTGCTTGTTTTATTTTCTTTAATTTTTTTTAAATATATTTTTTGGAAGTTAAAGCAAACACGCACCCCCAATTCTCTACAATATGTCCCTAGTGGGACTCCAACTCTCAACCTTCCCCTTTGGGGAGGAGAGATCATACCATTGGGTTAGAGGTCCTTTGGTATTGTTTGCTTGTTTTATTTTCATTTACCTTTTCCTTTTCCTCTTCCACTTCCACTTCCTTGCATCCATTTGAATTCATTTTGTTGTCATTCGTTTTAATAATGTGATTGGACAGTAGACAAGAAAGGGTTTCAGGTAGAGGATTGGATCGTGGTGGTGGTGGCGGCGGCCGTGGATTTGGGAGGGGTCGTGGACGAGGGGGAGGCCGTGGTGAGAACCTATCTGCTAAAGATCTTGATGCTGATTTGGAGAAGTATCATTTGGAAGCTATGCAATTAAACTAAAATTCTTATCTAATTATGAATTTCTGGGACAGTTTTTAGGATGTTACCTGGAATTTGCTTGCTCTGTGTTTCATATGCGAGTATGCTGGTCACTCACTATACACACTATTATATGTTCTAGCAAGAGTTGGATACTAGTGAATCAAAATTGGTTGTTCCTTGCTTCTGATATTGGTCAGAATTTACAGCTAACATTGTGCTGTCAGTTACACATCTGGGCTAACCTGCTTTTGTGCTTTAGGTTGAGGCTCTCTCGCTATATGTATATATATATTATATATTTATCCCAACATGGTAATGAAATTATTTGGATGTCAGTTTTTTATTTGATTTGGCTGGTTAGTTCATTGGAGTTTAGATCCTTTTGTTTTTAGGAATTGTCATTCTTGTTTTCATTTTGGGTAATGTAGGGTGTTCACAGCTCACCCTCTTTGGTGGGATGGGACTCACTTTTCTTGTCTATACCGCAATCATCCTTAACCATCGAATATAAAATGCTTGCAAATTGAACCTAAGATTCTTTAGGTTAGGTTCAAAATCCTCCTGTTAATTTAAGTATCCAATTTGGACTTTAAAAAAATATGTTATTATTAAGTACGATGTTCCCTCAAATGAGACAATAGGCATCAACCATAAAAAAATAGCTATGCAATCAAACTAAAATTCTTATATAATTTTTTTACACATGTAATCGAATATGATACATGCAAACACAATACAAAACAGCAGCTCATATGGATCGCTCAAAGACAAAATCAACCAAAGCAAGAGACACCAAAATTTTCCCGAGATTCTCCTATCCTGTCTTGTGGACGTTAGTTTTATGGAAAATGACTTGCACAGATTTTTATACATTCAATGGAACCTTAAATCGTAAAATATACAGGATTGTCATTTTTATAAAATGGTTTTGAGGCCCCAACAAGAATTCTAAACATGAATCCCGTTTATTTAGCACTACTACTGAATACAGTGGAATCAAAGAACAGGGCTCAAGCCATGGGGTAAAACCAACTGTAGGATTCTTTTCAGGAATTTAAACTAGTGTTTTCCTGGTTATAGTTAAAAAAAATTAAACCAATAAAAGATTGGAAGCCAAGATTTCAACAGACATTATTGTGACATTGTGTGAAATGCATATGGATGGAATATAAAAGAAAATATTTATCCGTATCGGTGAGTATGACAAAAGGTGATCCCTGTTGACACGAGGTATGAACCAATCATCTGGGTACAGTTTCTAAACCATGGAGCCAAAAACCAAAATAATTTTTGAGTATAAAGAGTGAGCTGAAAACCAGTATATATATATATATATTCATCATGTTCCACAGTCAAAAGGGGAACGGAAACAATTGAAAAGGCTAAAGATACAAAACTTCTATTCCGGGGGAAAAAAAAATACAAAACTTTGGCTTTCAGAAATTAATGACTGAACACTAGACACAGAAAAATTCCTCAACAGCTACTTTACAACAATCGCAATACATTGAAATGGGGAAGAATTAGACAAAAAGCCAAACATTTACAAAGTAAATGAATAACGAACTAAGATAAAATACATACCGGGCACACTTCACTAATGACACTATTACCAGACACCACCTTTCGATGTCCAAAAAATGAAGTTGAATACACTGGTAGATCCAATCTACCCATTAGCATCTTCGGTACCTATCCACTAAACATACAGCATCCCGAATCTGCTTTCATTGCAGACAAGGGGGCAAACCTCTGTTTATTAACAAACTCTGGAAGGAGTAACCCTCAGGAATGACCGAGGCCAAGAGGAAATCTTATCCTGTACAAAAGAGTCCTCCAATATTATTGCCCCCCATCAATGTACGCCATTAACTGCTTCAACATGAAAGAAGGAAATTCTTTAATTACAAACATCAAAATAACAGCATTAACAGGCAATCAACATTTTCAAAATTAAATGACAAAATTAGAGTGAAAATTTTCAAATTATATCACTTCAGGTATAAGAGTACTTAATTGCGCACAAAAAAAAAAAAAAAAAAAAAAGGTAACAAAATAAACTCCTGGTGCATTTTAAAATTACATGTGGAGAATAATAGGAAGTAGACATTTAGAAATTGAATAAAAAACACGATACACACACACACCCCCACAAAAGCTAATCTATTACAAAGGCAATGGATAACGATACCTGAAGATGGTTCGAATCCCTGATCTGAAATATCATGTCGAAATAGAAGTCGAATCAATTTCTGATCAATTGCTCAATAGAATTCCCAAACATCTTGTGCTCTGGAGAATTTTTAATTAAGCCTCCAATGTTATATCTTCAGCTGAACCAAAATTCATACAGTAATCCTTGATGATTTTTTTTTTAACGTAAATGTACAATTTTGTGACGATAGGAGAAGTGGACACTGATGCGGCTTTGAATGCAAAATTCCACAGGAGTTCTTAATGGCTGCTCTTTAAATATATATAGAGCTACGCAAACAAGTAACCAGTAAAATCCAATATCTGAGTTCACCTTACGCAGAGCTTGAAATTTTAGCCAGTAGAAATACTTCTGCAAATCAGGCAACATTTGATGCATTCTTACAAAAACAAGCATTTCCACCGTGTTTCACACTTCAGTAAGGGAATGCCAGTGCTGAAATATTGTGAGAATCAAGAATGATGAACATCATTTTCTCCATATTGCATTCAAACAAAAACCTTTCCAAAATACTGAGACATTCAGCCCAGTTTCGAGATTATTCGTTTAACAGTTGAAGTATGCCTCGCATCTGAAGGTATGGATTCTCCAATAGCTTTTCATTATTGCTCTGCACAGCAGGAGTAATAAACAGCAATAAGAGCAAAATTTTGAGATATAATAACAATTAAAAAAAAAAAAAAACTCAACATGTGTGAAAAAGAATCCATTGCTGAATTTCCAGAACTGGAATGAGGCACTGTACCATTCTCTCCTTGCCTGTAAAAAGTTGGCCAACAATCTGTGTACCAACTTCTAATAGGTTACACAGATAATGAAAACAGTCCAGCAAAAATTAGAGCGCAACTGCCATACTGAATTAGAACAAGGAAATCCCTTAAAATGGTTCCAAATAATAGATTTCAACTTTCAGGCATGGCCATCAGATAATAAAGATTTATAAATAACAAATCAGTTGATTAATTCCTAGAATCACATTCAGGGGGAGAAAAAAAAAAGATTAGAATCACCAGTTTCTGCATGAATCAATCATAGCAATGCTCATAATGGGCACAAAAGGGCAGACATGATGACACTAGCAACATCACAACACCAGTCATAGCCTAGTTTACAAGGAACCAGAAACTTTGCAACTGAATGCTATGTCCATATGAATGGACACTACCTTAGACGACTGACAAGAAAAATCCGGATTGAAAATTATGAGGTTTAACTATCCTGTAATGGTAAATACTAGCTCTATCCCAAAATATGTTCTGAAAAGTCAATGTACAAAATTTCAACTTCTATAAATTATTACGTTATGAAATCTTTTCTAACTTAGCAGCAAAATTCTTTATTTCAGAAGGTGGTTTTGGAATTTCAAAACTTACAAAGTTGGAGTCAAAAGGAATATTTATTTGAGGACAGAGGAAGTATATCAAACAACACTTGATGCTTTAGATGAGACAACTAAATTGAAATTCGACACCATTCCCTGAAAGTTTATTTCTCTTTTGCCCAGAAAGTTGAATTCAGTAACTTATGCACCTCTTGTCTTGACACCTCACTCATATAACTTAGAAAACTATTTTTCAGTGTACTAATCATAACAAAAATATTATAAATTAAAATTATTCAGAATTGTCAATGATCCGAGATGCAAAATATGTTTTCATTCAAACCATCAAACGGGATCAGACCTGCTGAGCTCTGAATACAAGACTCTGAAGCATACGCTGGTAACTTTCAGGTTCTTCCGTCATCATCCTCTGAAAAATCAAACTCCAAATCAGTATGTGCTGGCATCTAAGTAAGCAAATAATTTCTGACCATTGGTAGTAGAAAACTTAGCATTCTTGCCTTCAAAAGAAAAGTCGAAGAGTAATATGCCACCCTTGAGTCTGTATCATCCAACAACTCTCTGACAAAGACCCAAAAGTATTATGTTGCTTGACAAATTATGCATAAATGGAAGACTTCAAAAAGTATAAAATTGCAGTATTTACCTAAAGAAATCTTCTCCACCAACTTCTTGAAAAGCAGCAGGATCTGCAGTGCATTTACCAATTAAAAGTAAGAGAAGGGTAGCTCGTATATCTGAGGTGGCACCAGGTAGGTTTCCCCTTCCTTTGCTCCCAACAGAAACACCCAATGCAATATTGTCTGTTGCTGCACCAGCAAGTTGAATCAATGGCCAATAAAACAAAGCAGCAGGAACACATCCAACCAATTGCATGGGAACAATGGCTTGTCCACGAAGAAGTAAAGCTGCCATGGATGCTGTCCCAGAGAATAGATTATCATTTCTGTAGCCAAATTTACTCTTAATATCTTCCATGGATTCCTCCCCATAGTGTTGTAGAGCAAGATGATCTCCTGCATCAGACTTTTTAATCCCATCTGTGTGCCTAAAAACTTTACCATCATGTATTGCATCTCCGAATGGCATTGCAGTTGCAGGGAGAACTTTCAGGCATAATTGAGAAAATAGAATGTCACACATCTGTTTTGATATAGCAAAAAAGGTAAAAGAGTAAGAGAAATATGGAATGTTCAGAAAAGGCTTCCTAACAAATGCAATGAGAGTAGCTTTCTTCATCGAGAAGAATATATGAACAGTTCTACAATATGAAATGACCAGTCACCCGCTTCCCCCAAAAAAAATCGTAAATAAATAAACTAGTCACTAAGGGAAATATATATATATATATATATATATATATATATATTATGTTACCCAGACGAATAAGGTTTCAATGAAAATCATTTTATGTTTTTCTAAATAAATCTTTAATTGAAATGGAAAAGAGGAAGGAGAACACAGTAAATTCATACAAATCAAACATTCATAAATATTTTCTGCGGGTCAAATTCATGACGGTGTGGAGTATGGTTAACCTATTGTCAGCTACATCTAGAAAGTCAACACATTGATCGCTCAGTTCTTCGAGAATTAGCACAGTGAAAACTGCTGATAAATATACACACTACTAGATAAAACAGATGACCGAGTACATAAGGCAACATAAGACATAAATAAAAATAAAAATGAGGGGAATTAACCAGCAAGACTTCTATCAACTAATGGGGACACCGGGAGGGAAGAGATAATAAAGCACACCGCTTGCTTTTTCTTTGTCTTTCACCTGCTCAGACGCTCTCTTTCAACTACTAATGCACCCCTTGTTCTGACTCTACTCTACATTTAAGCTTGCCATTCCCATGGAACTAGGGTGCTTGAAGAGAACCTTGTAATAATTTTAAAGCTAGTGTTAGGAAAGAAACAATTATAAAACTCATCCACTAATTTGAGTTTCCTGAAACTAAAATTCAGAAAATAAAAGAGTGCCCATTTTGGAGACACGTGTATACATAAAATCTTTGATCATGTCTCACTTCCACCACCCATTTCACATGGATTGGTTGAATAACCTAACCAGTGTCTCTATTTTGTTGAAGAGGTCACTACAACATCAACCAAGCCTTTTCTCAATTACTTGGGGTCGGCTACATGAATCCTATGCTTCCATTCGGCTCTATTTAAGGCCATAGCCTCGGTCATTCGTTGAAGAGGTCACTACAAGTGGGGGAAAAAAAATTTAAAAGCAGAACTTGGAGAACATATATCACAAGATTAGGTCTATCACCTACTAACACAGAACAAGGATATGTTCCCTAAACATCAATTTGTTTGTCAGTCAAAGAAAATGGTTCACCATATATGTTCCCTAAACATCAATTTGTTTGTCAGTCCAAGGAAATGATTCACCATATATGTTCCCTAAATATCAAAAAGATACAAAAGATAAACATCAAGGTCATCAAAACAAACAAAAACAATGTGAAGTCATGTTTTCTTGCTAGTGACATGTTAATCCCTAGTGCAAACACCATGGCCTTATTCCAATGGCATCAAGGTCTTGAAGAAGAAATACCTTCAAAATATTAATACGGTCTGTTTCATTTATCTGAGCCATTAAGGACAAAGCACTACTCATAATGTCTATCACTGCATTTGCTTTCTCAAGACGACTCTGGTCATGCAGATGTCCAACAGCTTCACTGCCACTTGAATCCTGAAGTTCATTCTCGTCTAACAAAAATTTGCATCGCATAAGAAGCCTCTCTAAAACAAACAAGAAGCCCCATCTGATGGTGCAATTTTTTGACTTCAGAAGCCCACACATAAGCCAAATGGGTAAAGGAACATCTAAATCAACTGAATAATCATTCACACCAGCAAGGGCAATTTTCTGCGATAAGTTTCTGATATTTAACCATATATTTGCATCCTTCTCCTCACTAATTTCTGCTATAAGCAAATCACCCAACCATACATATCCATTCTGACGGCACCCAGTTCTTTCAGAATGAAGAAGAGAATGCAAAGTAGCCCATGAGAGCTTTGCTTTCAGGCCAGCACTGTTTCCTATAACTCCATCCTCAATGCTTTTCATGGACTTGTACGACTTTGTTATCTGTATCATATGCGCAAACTCTTTGTCTAAATGAGTGAACGAACTTATAATTCTATCAAATTTCTCAGTAATCTTCCCCAGGAGCTGCAAACATAAATGAATTTCAGACTTCAGCAACTTAGACAGAAAATTGTATGCAACTCAATTCCAAAATATATTGCATGCAAGTCTATGGAACAGAACCTCTCTTTCTTTCTTTTTCCATAATAGGCCAGAATAAATAAGTAAAATGTAATAGCAACTCTCTCTCCCAGTCTCTTTTCATGTGTGGAGAAAACAAACCACAAAAGATCAGCAAAATGAAAATGGAAACAAATGGCAATATCACATAATGAAACTAAAATCCCATAGTTGTTTTCCACAGATAGGCCAGTGGGCCGCCGACTTGAATTCAACCAACTTATGTCAGATTTGATCCAATTACACAACCAATGGATTGGATTCAGATTTGAACAATGACATTCAATAGCACCCTGAGTGCAAAACAAGGTAGATTAATCCAAATAGCCTGCATCTCATTGAATCTATCACAAACAAAAGCTTCATGGGTTTCTAAAATATAAAAAATATCTATAACATAATAGAATATATATATATTTTTTTGATAAGAAAAATTGTATAACATAATAGAAATTTTTGGAAACTAATGTAACAAGAAATGCATTTATCGATATAGTAAAGGTGGTCAAGTGGCATGAGAGCACTGGACAAAGCACTGAAGATAAGAGGCACAACAATGACCTAGCTCAGGCCTAAATTAAACAAACCAAGCCAGGCATTGGCCCCTATCCTATAAAAATGAAACCAATAAAATCCTAGTAATATTACTTACAAAAAAAACAGGTGTCTGCCACTATGAATGATGAGCATTTGATATTCTTTAGTAAACGCAAAAGATCAGTTTGTCATGGCCACATTGCTCCAAGCACAAAGATGCAGATGTACAACCGGTGAAAAGCAAACTATTATTTTTCCTTTTATTACTTTGTGCTCTCTGCTCAAAGTGGCACACACCTATTTGGAGGGAACTATAAATAAAATAGTTTAACAGAAATAAACCAAATCTATATATAATATAAGAATATTAGTAATACATAATTCAAAGATCAAGCACCAGTGAAGGACCATTATGTTTCTACTTCATAGGGAAGAGACACTAAACAACAAAAAAATATGCTCTCAGATGTAAATAATTCCATATTTTAAATTGTTAACCCTTTTCCAGAATATGCTGTCATCTGTTAAGCATTTCTGAGTAGAACAGGAAAGTTTTTAAGCCAGGTCAAACTTAGCAACACAAACTTGATCAACAAAATAACCAGAATGGACACCAGGGCATCATATATCCAAAGAAGACAAGTGTAACGTCTATTATTTTCAGCTCTGCAGTTTTCCCTATTCACAAGAATCAATATCATTGATCTATTCTCTCGAAATTGAAATCTAAATTCATTAAACTAAGTATTCCTGAAGATGGTTGTTTCAGACTTGACTAAATTCATTGACAAGAAAAATAGGAAGAAGTATACACCCTTCAATTGCAATCCCGGACACTAAATAGTTATGAATAACAGCTTGGAACTCTCCTTTTTTTTATTTGATAAATAAGAATGTATTAGAAAGCGATCAAAAGGGAATCGCATCCCAAGAGAGCTACACAAGGCCAAATGGGGCCTCTAAACTCTCAAAGAGCCCATAAAATTAACTTTCTCCCAGCGAACTAACAGAACAGACTCATCTGCAGTGAATATAGAAACAAGACTCTTCTTGAGCTCACAATCACATAAAATGTGTTATAATACTTTATCTTTCACTATTTGATTAGATAATCAGTAGTCGATGGCAAAATTTATTCTCTCAGTCTCCCAAATCTATCAACCCAAGCTACAAGAATTATAACATACACCAACAAGCACATGAACAAAAAATAAAGCATTACCATATTTAGTCGATCACTGTTAGGATATTTAGACAATTGATCAGAAATTGATCTTCTCAAAATCTCCCCAATTCCTTCCACACCAAGCTTAACAGAAATATAAAAAGCTTCAGGTGCATCTGCAAGAGTAAGCAGGGTAGCAATGGGTTGAATCTCATCGTCACTATATTCAGAGACACCTGCAGCTAAGCACCTCTCATTTACTTGATGCAGAACATAGTCAAAAAGCACCAGATATAGGTTTCTCCTCTCCTCCCTTGAGTTTGAGAGCACTAACTGCATTGCAAAATCATTATTTGGGAAACTTGAACTGTCTTCGAAGATTCTAGCAACAGAAAATAAATTGATTTTTGCATATAAAATGACGAGTTTAAAAGAAAAATATATATATGACATCAGAACTTCAATAATAGAGAAATCAATGTAACTTTCAGCCAGGAAAAAACATTTACTAATTTCATCCAACAAAGGGAAGTCAACATTTTAGAAATTTTCAATTTGATAAATAGTATAAGCGACAATATTAAACATCCGGAGATGCAATAGTATAGCATTAAAATTACATGACAGAAGAAAAAAAAGGCAAAAAGATTAAATTAAAGAAGAATCAATAGGAAAAATCTTCCTACTTTTTCAGTTGCGTGGATGGTCCTTTAATAAGGCAATGTCACGTCAGAAACAAAATGGCAATGAAACAGAACACATTTGGAACTTAACAGTTGCAGCACCATAAATGGGGAAATTACACACACTTTACCAATCTGTAATCAGACTATCAACAGTTAACCCAACAAACTAAACAAAAATGAGTATGCAAAATAAGAAACTTGACAGTTACATGATACATTAATAAGAAGCATCTATATTAAACTTTTATATAAACAATGAGATCGATTTCTCATTGCATGTGCCATGAATAATAAAGTTTAAGCAAATCCCCCTACCATACAAATTAGATATATAGCTAATTGCACCGTTCCGTCATGGATAGCAAATAGTGTTGCTTATTACTGCGGAAATAAATATATAGATTCCTATAACCAAGTTATTTGATTCTCCATCAACCAGAGACTCTTGACTTCCATGAGAAATGAATAGAATATACCTCAATGAAAATAAACTCGATTCCTCCAAGCAAATCAACCTGCTCAGCAAGAAAACTTGGGGCACTTGGAAGAGCCTCATCAGGAACTTGATAAAACATGTTTGTTAACATGCAAATAAGATTGCTGTGAACAAGTTCTGCCCAAGAATTCCTCCTGCTGATCTCCATAAGCACCTTAATAACCTGCATTTGGAAGAAGAGTAAATAAGATTTACTCAAAAGTAAAAGAAAAAATGACATAGAGCATATTGAATGAAATAGAGGAGAATGAAGAACTTTATTATAAACATCCACTTTAAATTTAATGATTGAGCACTTAACCACAAAAAGAAAAAAATTATTGGCTAAGCAAACACTAAAGCACAGTGCATAAGTATTAGAAGATAATACATGACCATGAAAGATATATGAACACAAAACTGTGCATATCATTTTATTGGAAACCGTTTTCGTTTCTCATTACTTTCACAAAAAAAGATGAGTTACAACGATATAATACTTTTAGCTACCAAATCTCATAGAGATGCAAATGCCAGGACTCAAAAGAAGTACATTTGGTTTAGTGTTTCTCTTTCCTTTCTACCCTTTATGCGGAGTTCATCAATGGACCAAAACACAATAAACTAGCAAAGTAATCATCAATGAAGTGAAGTCAACCAAATACTATAAATTGACCGAAATGACCAAGCCAACACTGCGCAAGCTTGGATCAGGTTAATTGAAAAAGTTCAAATTGAAACTCAAGCCATTTCATGTAGCTCAGATTCACCTAAAAACATTTCGTAACACCAAGGAGGAAAATCCATGCAAGCAAGTTCTAATACTAAGAAAATTTTCCTCCCTCTCTACCAGTCTTGAAACCTTGACCTAGGACTTCGAAATTAAGACCCAAAGCCACTAGGACAAAGGTGGGCCAGTAATGGCATTAAATATTATGAAAGCTATGCTGACACATTTGATTCTCTACACGATACAGATCAGTTTCGAACACACATCAAGAGCAAAATCTAATGTATCCATAAATTTCCCATCCAAACAACATTTTTAATGATTCATAAAAGTCCTAAACTCTCGAGTAACAAAGAGCATACAAACATGTATCTGCACAGAAAATTACATCCATATAACAGCAGAGATGAAAAAAGAATTTACCCTTATGTCAAGACCTTTTAATCTGATCCTGGAAATTTTGCCTCTATCAGAGACAAAATAAAGTAAGCAGCTTAGGGCAGAAGCCCAGATGGATTCTTCCTTCTCTTCTATCTGAGGTACAATGCAATTGTAAAGGATTAGAACACGACGCATAAAGTATATAGAGGACGCTAATCAATGAACAAGAGTAATATCTGACAAGTCACAACCAATTTAAAGGCTAAAATAAAATTAGAGAACGAACAAAATCTAGAAAGAGATTGATTGACATTATACCAAAGGAACTTAGTGGAACCTATTATCAAATGTTATAGGGCCCGGTCAACAGCCATTACTTGCTGTGGTGAGAAAAGCTTAAGCCATCACGTGTAAGAATGCAGGTTCCAGGCCAAAAGCAACCACCAAACGCATAAAATGCAAAAGGTCAGGTTTAAAGAATAATAAGTTGGAAAAGTAGTCCAAAATTCTAACCAGGATTTCAACTTCTTTAATATGTCATTTTAGTACAAGATCAGAAAATCTTTCCATCAGTATTAACCGACAGATCAACTCTTAGAAACAGTAGTTCAGAATGAAACAATGAAAGCTCCATTTTCCATTGATTATATCCTTTATATGTGATGTGCATGAGCATGTATCTACATTCACAAGCCAATACTCAAAATCAAATCAAGCAAGCGGGCAATTCCTTAGAATAATAATGTCAAAATCAATAAAATGGTGAGTGCATTCGCAGGCCAAAACTCAAATTCTAATATACCCTATACCGGAATCCATCATTTACGGTTTGTTTGGTAGGAAGGTAGGAAGAGGAATGGAGGAAAGATGGGAAGGTAGAGAAGAGACTAGGACGGAAGAGAAAAGAAAATGGATGAGTAAATCCCTCCTATTTTAAAATTTTCAGATTACAATACTACATTTCATAATTATAAAATAAATCAAACTTCATAATTATAAAATAAATCTATGTTTTATCCCTCATAATTATTAGATATCCAAATTAGTGAGCGAGCTACATTTTTTTTACTTTTTTTTTTTCATGAAGAAATATGATTCTACTTTTTTTCTTTGAAATAAAGAAAAATAAAATTAAAGTTAGCATGCATGAACCAATTACAGTGAAACGAACCGTACATATTACATAATAAAGGTCCAAAGGAGAACTAAAGATAATGATTGGTATAATGGTAAAAACCAATTATAACTCTCTCTTCCCTTCTCTCCTAACAAACAAAGTAAAGTGTTATCTCCTTCCCTTCCATCCAAGTTATCCAACCAAACAAAAGGGGGAAGGACACTCTCTTCCCTAGGGATGTCTCATCCACCCCTTCTTCTCTCCCTTCCATCCAATTTTCTTCCTTCGTAGAAAACGGAGCATTAATTCAAAATGATAATAATAGTATTGTTGGAGGAACCTAATCCACAAAAGCATTTGAGTTTTCAACTAAAAAATTTGTTGAACATTATACCATAGCAACAGCACAAGGTAATAATTCTGTTGCTATGTAGCCACTCCCATTATACCATCATGCCAAGATAGAGAAGAAATAATATGCAAGATCCCAATTTCTCTCTCTGCATTTGTTTCCTTCTCAAGCCCTAATTCCTAAATTCCAATTTCAACATGGTATCTGAGCAGGCAAGATCCTGTGTTCAAACCTCGCTGTCACTTAAAATTGAAACAGGTTTTGGACCAAAAGAAGGCTGCACTTGAGGGGCATGTTGAAGGATTCAAATGTTAAAGTTACACCTTCCCTAACAACTTAAGCTTTTAGAGTAAATGGTTGTTTATACTAAAAAATAAAGAAAAGCGAAAATCAAGGAAGGATAATATGTAATCACAAAACGTGCTGTCAAACTTGTATAAAGCCAATTAAAGTGATAAAACATGCTTTTACCACTTTAACTTTACAATTGCTTAAGAATAAATTACCAAGTACAACACCGATTTCCCATTTTTGTTTGGCTGGACAGTAACATATATATTGCTTTTCAAATATATAGTAGTAGAAGTAGATTTTAAGAACGGATGCGCAATGGTAATTTTGGTACTGAAACAAAGTCGTTTAAAGTACGAACGGATAGGGGAGGGTGGGAACCCCAAAAATAAATAAAAAGATAACTATAATAATTCGAGCACAATGAGCAGGTCAAGTTAAAGTTCAAAGAAAAGCAGTATTCAACCTTGACCCCACATCCGCCTTACAGTAGAATTCTGCTTCCATAACCATTACAAAGTTCTATATATATATATATATTATTTTATGATAAGTTACAAACTTCTAAATAATGCCTGCACATTAATAGTAAAGCATACTAGTGAATCTGCTTAGGGCTAAAAATTTCGTCCAGTTAAAGTTCCCGTTACTGAAAAGAACTCTTCCTTCAAGAGAGGTTCATCAAACTCATTTACACCTTGTGGGAAATGAAATCAACATCAATAAAAAGACCTACGCTTAGATATACAAGCTCCCACAGGCATCATCAATGTTTTAACTCAAACAAGAAATACATTCTGTGCATCTTTTTTTTTTTAGTCAATGTTATTTCCATCCTTGTATACTCTTAAAAGAAATTGCTCCTGGAATTCTATCTACAACTAATGGGCTCCAACCCCTAGAAAGCCTAATACCATGAATTAAAATATACTAAATGTGGGGGGGGGGGGGGGGGGGGGGGGGGGGCGTTGACTATTTGTTAGGTCCAATGATTTGATCTCGACAATTATTGTCAGCCTTAATAAAAGAAGCCTATAACGATCTTTGAAGCTCTATTTCAAAATACCAAAAGCAACATTATAATGTTGAAAAAAGAAAAAAAAAGGAAGCACAGGAACGCGGTTCCCAAATCACAACCCACTGCTTCCTTAAAAACCTCGAAGTATAGAGCTTCCTTCTTCTGAAGCTTTCCGTTAATAAAATAACACAAACTTTTCTTCATGTTATACTTTAAAAAATACACTTTATGGTACATATTATGTTGCTTTTTTATTTAATTAATTTAGGAAATACATTTCATTCCGTAACAAAACAACATTATAAATATTGCTTTAGTTGAACCTTTCTAAGGGAGGAATATATATATATAAATAGGATTGATTCTGTAAATCCAATAATGCTACAGAATGACGGATCAATTTTACCTGAACAAGATGAAGAAGGATCTCATATAGAATGCCTATAATCCAGGCCTCAAAATTATTGATAGCCATGGAATTGTCCATCTTCTTAAAATTATCTGTCTTTCTCTTTCCTTGTTTTGCAACTTGTGCTTCATTGTCAAAGTAAGATTCTGGAAAATAATCTTCTTCAATTGCAGAACTATCATCAAGTATAACCGGCTCCAATAGATGAGCATGAACCCCAAGATTTAAGATTAAGTCAAAAGCACGAGCCTTTGAAACCGAACTTGAAGAACTAAGCATTTCCTGTAAAAGGTTGCATCTAACATAAGAAGTTTTAACCACATCATCATCACAAGAATCAAATATGTAATTGATGCAGCACCTCAAGCATGGACAGTGTGAGAGGAGCAGCGGTCCCAGAATCCAAAACATACCTACAAAACATTATTTTGCAATGACCTACCATAATCAATAGGAAACCTTTAACACATAAAAATAAAAAAGGAAACATTAAAGAGAGAGAGAGAGAGGACGAAGTTGGATGACCAAATTAAATCAACAAGATAGTAAAATAATGACTGTACCCCTTTGCATGTTTGAGTATTGCTCAATCTAAAGCGGCACCTATTAGCTCATTAAACATAATGTTAGGTCAATTTGTTGTCTTAATCATTATGTTAAAATTCAAAAATCATAGCCATCAATGTTGACTCTAGATATATCCCAAAAGAAACACCAATCTTTCTTCTTCTTTTTTTGGCTTGATAATTAACGTCTAGAAAGTTAGCAATAAGAGTGAAAGTTGATTGATATATATAATAGAGAAAAGTTGAATATCATTCACAGCACATCTAATGGTTGTTAAAAGATTATGGTAGGATTTAAAACAAATGGAAGGAAGTTATCTTATCACTCAAACAACCAGTGTTGATAGATTGGGGAGACATGATATGTGATCTATGCACCACTGGTGCAGCACCAATAACAAATTCGGAGAAAACAGAATAGCAAGTGCTTTCCTTTTTCGTTCCCTAGGAGAATATCTAGGTTAAAAACACAGGAAGCCAGAATTTCAGTAACATCAAGAACTCATTTTTCAAGATTGAAAACACCATCTAGCCTCTGGATACTATATCCATGATCCGAATTTTAAATATGCACAAACAGGTTTTATGGGAGACGTCTTTCCGTTACTAAGCAGTGATAGGCACAAATGTACAAACGCACATGCGCACTCTCACACACAGACGAAACAGGAGATTTAATTTTTTAAAAATAAAAAATAATAAATAAATCCATTAAAGAATGGAATGAAATAAAATGGGGAACAAATTTATTGAACCATACATGTCAATAACAAGTTTGATCAGAACGCTCACAGCAACGTCCATCGAAGGTTTTCCACTGTTGTTACTTAACTTAGACGAGACTGTCATGAGATTAGCATTTGAAGGAGGAGTTTCTGAGCAAACTGCAGCAATAACCTCACGTACCTCAGCAGGATTCAATCGCAAAGGTTGTTGCTCACTGTCACAGATTAACACATTCCGTGAGATATGTATATATATATATATATAGAGAGAGAGAGAGAGAGAGAGCCATAAAAACTGTAAATCTTAATTTTCTCTTCATGAATATAAACAAAATAGACGATACTCATAAAATGAACATAATCAACTGAGCTGCCCCGCTCTGCTGATCAATTAGAACAGAAATGCATGCCGAGGCAGTTAGGGCCATAAGCAAACAGAAAACCACAACTAAAATTATTTAGAGAAGTATAACAAACAAAAACCCATGATACCTGAGTGTGGATATAGGATAACAGAGTTGGAAAATCACAGCAATAAGTCAATAACCAAATAACCATTTTGAAGCAGTCATTGGGAATATAATGATGAGGTCTAAAAACAATTTCACAATCCTGACATAAAATTAGAGATACCACAAGGGGAGAATAATAGAATATAGCCGCTCCAAGAAATCCAACCAATTGGAAGAATAAATTTTTGTAATCTAGGGAATAGTAATGCCAAAACAGCATCAGAACATTACCATCAAATAGAACCACATAGTTATGTAATTAATGATGAAAAGGTTCTTGGTACTCCATTATTTAACTATGAATAATATACCAACATTTGGGAAAACTATATATTATTCACATCAAGAAGATAGCAATTGGAGAAATTCTCATTGCGTCGTACCTGTAATGACGATACTGGAAAAGTGGTCGAGGGCGTGGCCGGAAGGTGCTCACAGGAGAATCTTTCCTGAAATAAGAAACCAGTGATTATCAGCACAGTAATTAACAAAATTCGCAGATCAATTCTTTTAAGCAAACATTTCACCAATCTAAAACATCCAAAACATTGCTTCGGTGCAGCAGCCATTATCCGCTTCCCAGTGCAGAAATTTCAATGGAAGTAAGGTTTCATGCCCTGTTTAAGAATTAGTATAATGATCTGTACTTCCATAAGTTAATCAGCCCTCTACCAATCAGCTCTCCACCCAGAGAGACAGAGATTAAGTAGAAGTTCATGCTTAAAAGCCCAAAAAAAAAAAAAAAAAAAAAAAGAAGGAAAAAATGGGAAAGAAGAAAATATATCAGAGGTTTAGAGTTCGATAGACCATGTACAACAATTAGACGACGGTAGAGTAGCACCTAAATACCAGACCTAGTGATCACACAAACCAGTTGCATCCAAGCTTCAAGTCAGGGTAGGATCTAAGTTTACAGTTTTCTAGTCCAAACCGTAAGCAGCTCAAATTCAGCATGTCCTTCTGGAACACAATCAGCCACAATGCAAATGTTTTCTTCATAGAATAAAATTAAAAATGCCTCGTTTATATTTTTCACTGCAGAAAAGAATATTATATTTAGATATTCCATTAGCTTCTATTCTAGAAATATGGCATCATTCCAACATGATCCAGGCATGCTTCAAAGTTTGTTACACAGCTTCAAGGAAGTCCGGGATATTAGAAAGAGTGAGATTGCTCCGGTTGGAGAGGTAGACAACATATCCACACTCTAGCCAGCATTTGTGGTTGTGGTATTGAAGCCTTCCACATGTCGTATTTGGCTTTACCGTTCGGACAGGGTGTTATCTACTGCAAACCAGTGGTGGAGAGGTTAAAAAAATTAGCTAGCAGGGGCCTGGGTGGAAAAAGCAATATCTTTTTTAAGGAAGGACACCTCACCCTAATCAAGAGTACCCTCTCATACCTTCCAACATACTTTCTGTCTATCTCTTCCACATTCCCTCCCATATAGTAAAGAAGATTGAGAGACTGCAAAGAAACTTCCTGTGGGGAGGAATAGGAGATGAATTCAAATTCCATTTGGCGAGTTTGGAGGAGCTTTGTAGACCTCTTCAATTCCAAATTGAAGGATTGGCTGTAAAGAAATTTTACTTGTTTGACCAAGCCTTTGATGTAGAAATGTCTTTGGAGATATGGGGTGAAGAGTAACAGATTGTGAACGAGACTTGTACAGAGAAAAGTTGGAGAGGAAAGAGGCGGGTGGTGCTCCAAGGAAGTGAATACCCCCAGCAGGAGGAGGGGGCTTTTGGAAAAATAATTGTAAGGGTTGGAATGAATTTTCTGAACGTGTTCGGTCCAAGGTGAGACGTCGGAGACACATCTGATTTTGGGTGGATGTTTGGTGTGGATTTAGGCCCCTTGCATGCTTATTTCTGAGACTATTCATGATTGCACTAAGCAAGCAAACATGGTGGTCAACCGTTGACACTGGATGTGCAGTTAGGGAGGCAGATACTGGGAAATGGAGGATATTATAGCTTCTTTCGTTACTATATAACCAGAATGTGGATAGGGAGGGTGATGTTGAATGGAGCTGGGTCAGCTCCGGGCATGGAGATTTTGTGGTCAGAACTTTTTATAAGGTGTTGCAGGGTTATCGATCGGCAACTTTCTTGTGGAAAGCGGTCCACAGAACAAAACTCTCTCAAGGTGGCCTTTTTAGGACATACAGCAGCTTTGGGGAGGGTTTTATGTTTTAACACAAGAATTTGAGGAAGAGGCGGTAAATTGTGATCAACTAGTGTTGCATGTGCAAGAGGATTGAGGAGTCAATGAGGCACCTTCTTTTGCAATGCCCAGTGGCTAAGAATGTTTGGACTATGCTTTTTTCTGTCTTTGGGGTACAATGGGTTTTGACGGGTTCTCTAATGGGCATGCTTGAGAGTCAAGTCTTAAAGGAATGTATACTGGGAAGACGAGTTTGAGATGCATGGAAAACAGCTCCTTTTTGTATTTGGTGGGGCTTGTGGTGTGAAAGAAATAGGAGGTCCTTCGATGGTGTGGATGCTCCCATATGGGTGATAAAGCATATATTCTGAGTTTTCTTTTTCTGGGGTACAAGGGGGTTTGTGAATTGATAGAGAATTTTGTAGATTTTGTGGATAGTTTGAGAATACAGATTTGTATTCTTTGTTGTAGTTGTTCTTTGGGAATGCTCCCCTTTTAAGCGTTTTTACTGAAAATTTACTTATCAAAAAAAGGAGATAGCATAATGGTAATTTGGGATTTAAATAGAACTAGGTGTTTGGTGACCGGTATTGTCAAATATTATTCATTGTGTTCTAACAAGTAGTTCATTCTTGTTTGGAATGCATTGAATCCAAATATGCAAGTTAGTCATCCAAGTAAAAAGTTAAAATCTGCTTATATGAACGAACACGCATTAAGCTCCTACTTGATTCAGTTCTCTTAAAACAGATTTCAAGTACTTTGAAAACCAAAAACAGTTTTGAGAGAATGACAAAAGACGGTCTCCAAAATCTGACCATTTTGTAACTAGTAAAGAAAGTTTGCACACCTTTAATGGTAAGACCCCATTGATCTTACAGCTGAAACTTCCACTATAATGCGACTTTTATGGTTTATTTTCTACATTTTCTTATTTCTCCTTTTTTTTTGCCCACATTTGACCTTCTCAAGAACGGGGAGGAGAGCACGGCTTTAAAAGATTCAATCCCAGGATGTGATGAGTTGACATCGAGGTGCCAAACGATCCCAAAAAGTGAAATGCCTCAACATGGTACAGAGCAATAGCGTGAGAAAGAGAGCGAGTGTGAAAACAAAGGATCAGACCTAAAGGAAAGAGATCACTCTGTTGATTAGCATGCAATGTAGTTCATTGGGAGGTGCACGAAGGCAGCAGGCTCAAGCTAAGTCAACCGGCGAAGATCTGTGTGTGGGCGGCTCTACATGGACCCTAGCGATATTAGAGAGACCATACAACTTACTGTTTTACCCAGCCCAATCCCTTTTAAATCAAGACAGAAACTGCAACTTTTAACCCAAAAATTATGGGTTACAGATATTCATTGAAGAAGTAGAATTTCTCTTGTTTGTTTGGACATATTTCATATGAGAAGTGAATGAATATTCAATCGAGGAGAACAATAGCGGTAGTAACTGGAAAGAAATAACAAAATGATATTCAAGCAATTAATTGAGTAAGAACTAAGAACTTGCCAAATATGCTGAGGGCCTGGCTTAGTGCGCTTAGATGCTGTAATTGCTCTCAAGTGGGCACGAGCAGAGGCAGAATTGGTGACAGTTGTAAGCAATGAAGGCTGCAACAGTTGATCAAGATAAGGCATATCAGCAGTCCCAAATTTTCTCCAAGGTTGGCCCTTTATTTTAGCTTCCACGTCCCCTACAAGAAGAGCTGCTGCACCCACTTCGAGAAAATTATGTGTGCTCACATTTTGGGGATTCAAACCGCAATCACTGCATGTTTGAATTTTTAAGCAATACAATAAACGAGGGTAAATAGCCAAATCAAATTTCAAACTGTAATAATTACCAAACACGTTTAAGGAACATAAAAAAATCAATACCCTTCAGTCGAAGCCAATGATGATGATTGGTCCCCACACCAGCGCCATTTCAGAACATCAAGTGCTATGAAATCAAGATCGTCCATTCCATCAACTTTTTCAGCAATTGGTGAGTTTGAAACAGGTAAAGCAGATGCCTCCTTCTTATCTGAAGATTCTTTACCATTTGCAGGGCTCAACTGGGAATTGAAGGATCTGCTCAACAAACATGACAACGTCGGAAGTGATTGCCTTGATGCAGGGGGAGCTGCGGCAAACGCTGCTGGTTGGAATAACCGTCTTGGCATATGCTGAGCAACTAGAGAACGAACATAATTTAATGACTTCACAAGTGCCCCAGATTCAAAACTTGATACAGGCAAAGGAGATTTATTTGTAGATGTTTTATTTGTAGATGTTGTAGATGTTGTTGATGCTCCAGATTGTGGACTTGGAGATTGTGACCATGGTGACAATCTTCGGTTTGGGCTAATATTACAATCAGAAATTGTGTTCATACAAAAACGATCGATCTGTTGTAATGTCTCCACACTGGGCTTATATCTGCAACAATTAAAAGCGCGTGTGGACTCATAAGAGGAACACTCGATTGGTGAAGTTTGTGTGCGTGTGTAATATATGAAACAGATAGAGCAACAATACAACATATTTTTATACATAAAATAATAATAATAATTTTTATTCATTTTATCCATACAACCATGAATGAAATCACCAATTTGGAGCTAAGAATTAAATGTTTTTTTTTTTTTTTCCTAAAATTTATATTAATTTTCTCTTCAACCCACTATATATTTTAAATTGCATTGAATCCCATTCTTCTAAAGAAAAATAATTACAAAACCACCCTGCCGTGCTTGAAAGTCTTCAAAATGCGTCAATCTCATGACCATGAAATCATAACTCGTTCTCAATCACGTGTCCTAGTCATGTCCAATAAAAAAATAAAATATTTAAATTTCAGGACACTTCTAGCCGTGTCAGACATGTGTCCGAGTTTCCGAAACCGCCACGGCACCCCCAGGTGAAGTGCTGGTACTTTCTAGATAAATGGCAAGCCAATATCTCCAAGTCTACTTGATTCGGTGTCCAACTATGTTACATGGACACGAGTACTTGGGTGGGATGCAAGTATATATCCAAGTATCATATGTGTCAAATCCCAAAATACACTTGTTTTGATGCAATAATATAATCAGATTAAATTATTCAATATGCTTTGCAGGTGCATGCCGTAACAAAGTGGTGAAAAACATATTTGATATGCATGTCTGAATATTGTATACCAAAGTATTGTGAAACCGACAAGGTACTTCACTTACCTTTTAGGAGTCCATGTAGTATAAATGCAAGTTAAAATGCACCATCCAAAAGAGAGGATGAAATAATTTATAAATGAAACATTTACCAAGAAATTATAAAACACTATACTCTAGTTTCCCCCCAAAACTCTACAAAATAATAAGATGTCCCTATAATTCTTCTTCTTCTTGAGATCCTAAATGGCAGACTTCGCCCTCCAAACAACTTATTCTGCTCTTCCCCCTAATTGCCCAAATGCCTGAGAAAAAAACTGCCAGTCTGTCACACATCCGTAACTGTTCTCCTAACTCCATATCCTCTCCAAATCATCATGCGCTGTAGGAGCAATTTCTTGATGCGTTCTTTAGACAATTATATATATATATATATATATATATATATATATTGATAATGTAATCTACTTATTCTATGGATCCTTTTAGTTTTTTCTTATTTTTTCATACTTTTCAAAATTTTGAGCCTTACAAGTAACAATTCATTGTCTAAGCCTCGTATTGATCCAATATGCTGAAATCTAGCAGTCTTCTTGTGCCCCCCGAGTCAATGATTGACACTGTCACTTGAAGACAGTGAAAATATTCCAGTCTTTCAAGAAATCAACAGAAAAATGCCCCAAAAGCCACCCATGACGACAACTAGAGAGGACATTATCACCCTAACCCCGTCTCAAATGGAATCTATAACCTAATATACCTACCTTATGTGTATAAATATCATCAAACCCCTATGCGGAAGTCTATTATAATGCAAGAAACCCAGCTGCTTTTACTCATAGTCAGTGCATTATTGTCATTCTATTTTATTTCCCCGGGATGTACAGCTGTCATTCAAACAAATAAGAGGAAAAATGTCAAGTACGCAAAACCTGACAATATTAAATGTTCAATTATATTAATTCTTGCAAAAAATAGAGTTGATCAAGTTATCATATACCTAAGATCAGTGCAGTACTGCTCAACACCAACCAACTAGCACAAACTATAACAGAAGAATAATCTCTATCATCTAATGGCTCTTTACACTAGGGCATCAACAACTGAAACCAATTGAAAGAAATTGGACTTCTAGAAATAATGTTAAGTCCTTTTAGACAAACGAGAAATGATTGATAGCGCAAGCTGCAAACTAATAAAAATGAGCACCCTAAAACATAATAGTTGGCTGATTCATCAAATTTGGGGCAAGAACTCAGCTGTTTTTGCAATTTCAAATACATCGAGGATAAAAGACAAACCAACAAGGAAGACCTACCGCAGAAGGTACCGTTTCAAAAGTGCCACACACCTTGCAACTACTGCTGGACTGGTGCAAAACAAAATATAAAGAAATATGCATCAGTTGCAAAATATATATATATATATATACATGTATCACAACAAATATTGGTATACATAAAAAGATAAATAGAAAATTAATTAGTAAGTAACAACAAAAAGTTCACATCCACAAAAAGAAAATAACATATATTTATTGCTAAGACAAAAATAAGAATTAATTCACTAATTTAATAATCTTTGGAGTAGCTTTTAACCTTCTCTCTTCATAGCATCATACTTAACAGACTTGGTACAAAGTTAAATATAGTAGATGTAAGTCAGGCAATTAAGTGGCTTTATGTGGGACTGAGTCGGGTTAAAAATGGGTGGGCTCGAAAGGGTTAAATCTATAAGGCATAGATACTTCTACAAAACGGATGTATCGGTATCATATTTGTATTGAACACCGATACTCCTCGGATACTCAGGAACACAGATCTAATACCTCCTTAAACATATCCATAGTTTGAACACAATTTTTTTATTTGGAACACATCCAATAATTATCAAATACCCTGCTCACATATCTGATACTTCTTAGACACTAAGGGACACATGTCTAGCAAGCCTTGAACATCAAAAGACAACTTTTTTATTATAATAATTGTGAGGAAAAGCGTAACAAGGATTCCAATTTCCAAATATTTAGACTTTATTCAAACAATCGGTTGATAACTTGATATAGAATGAAAATATATTATATTAATTTAGTCCAAAGTTTATGTCCAAACAATATAACTCTCGACTTGTTTGTCACAAAGATGTTAGTAATAACATAAATAACATGACAGACAATTCATATATATATTTATATTGTTTTAAATTCATATATATACATGCATCATTTTATTATTTATATCTACAGCTAAATAGCTCTAATCATGGAAATTCAACAGAAACCAACTCGATTTGAATATATATTTTATTCATCTATAATTGCATATATACAAACACATTTCAGGGGGAAAAAGTAAAAAGTACACTTCTATATTGGGTGTGTTGAAATTGCAAGCTTAAAGCCATTTTTTATTTGACATTTTAATAAATAATATTTAGAATTGCTGTCAATTATAACATTCTATGTGTGTTAATCTTGTATTAATTAATTCATCAGAAGGATTGGACACATGGGTTACATTTTGTATGATTTATGTGCAATGATAGAAACTCATGTACATGAGATATAAATCGTTAGTACATTATAGCCGGTAGATTTATTCACATTCAGAGAGAATTAATCATTATGTCGACACGGCTGTAAAATATTGACCTCTATAAGATAGGATACGAGAATATTTTATGTATAACTGTCATGGTTGATATGTTTCTTATCATTCCCAACAAAGAAAAAATATCGATCCTAAGAAAATAAACAACTCAAGTTTCTATTCATGACAATTACTTCAATTTACCAATGAATCAATGAGAGAAATCTTTTCTATCAAAACCTTAAAATTTTGGTAAATGACACTAGGGGCTGGGGGACATAATATTAAATTGTGGTATAATTTAGTATGATCACTGAAATTTGGATCTGGTAATTTTGATTCTCTATGGACACTCTTACTGAAGTTGTATTACATGTAGTCTCTGTGGATGATATTATTCTTATTTAAACTGAGTAGGCTCGTAGCATCTCACATGTATCATAAATCCAAGTTTAACTCAGGCATACTAAGCCTTATACCAGATAAGTAGATAAGCTACACAAATAACACAACTACGGGAAAAGAATTAATAACTCATAATAAAGATTTCAATATACAAAAGAATAATTAAGGCAACAGCAAAGCACGCTTATCAATGAAATGAGAGATGTAGCTACAGCAGTGTATCCAGTAAATTAAGGTCTTCAAACAGTAACCATTGAGGACACATCATTAGCAAATATAAGCTTCACATACCTCCGCTCCCTCTCTGCAAGTGTGTGTTCTAAAATCACACTGTAAGCCATGTCAGTTGTTGTATATCCTGCCAGATAGTCCTGCAATTCAGATATAAAGTTATATAACATTTAATACACAAATTGAACATACCAATAGTAGTTTGGAGCATGCAAAATTCTACAAGCATATCTTACAATCAAATAAATATGAGGAAGCCACCTCAACAGTGCCATGACATTTGACTTTAATAGGGATACGTGGCAAGCAAGCTTCATTACCAATAAATGCGTCTTTTTTATGCTGACTATGAAAGTTCGAAGTATCAAGCATAAGACACCATCGAATCAAGACGTATTCAGATTGAAAGCATAAACACAATTGTCAAAAGCATGCTGCTGAGTCACCAACTCAAATTAAAAATAGGAGTGGACAAAGCTGTTCAGCCTCTAGAATCGAGAACCAATTTCAAATACAGGCCGGGCTGACCAACTGCATTGTTCCTCTCTCAAAAATAACCATTCTTTTCTTAAATCGTTTGCACCAGCGGCTAAACAAGTAACCCGTAAAAACAAGAGACTGTTTTACCAAGTATATATGTGTGTGTATTATAGTACAAAATCTAGGGCAACAATCATGAGTCCCGCTACCAGTCCCAAAATCTCCTACAGCAAAGCCTCTTCCCTTCATGTTGTGTTCTATATTTGCTTGACACTTTGACAGTGAACGGCAGTATTACATGGACGATCTGAAGTGGTTAATTTCACTTGCACTTTATCTTTCTTTCTGTTCTCTGTTTGCCAATCTTTCCCAGATTCTTAGGCTCCGTTTGTTTGGACGTAAAATATTTTTCAAAAAATATTTTTTTATTTTTGGTGTTTGGTTGTCGTAAAGTATTTACGAAGAAAAAAATATATTAAAATTTAACAAGAATAACTTATCCATTAATTTTCGGCAAGTTATTTACATGCCCCGCCCTATGGACTTGACTTCAATCTCGACATAGACCTTTGCCAAACACCTACAAAATAAAAATAAAAATATATTTTACGTCTAAACAAACGGAGCCTTACTCTTTCTTCTTTCTATTTCTCATACTACTCTTTCTTTATGTCTTTCACTCAGCAACAACCAATCACCAAAATACTAAGGACCTGTTTAGTTCAGCTTTCTGAAAACAGTTTCTTGTTTTCAGAGAACTGAAAATAAGAAAATTGTCCCCAGAAAACTGAACCAAACAGGCCCTAAACTGCTCATGACAAGCAGCACTACAGGTTAGCTTCTCTAACAGTCGCTCCTCTCCTGTGCTATACTACTCTTACGCCTACATTTCTTTGTATCAGTCTTGGTGTCTTGGAATCTTATTCACTCATTTGATGACTTACTCTAAATTTATTCTTGAAATTTTAAGGGTTTGAATCCTTCAATCTCAATGAACATTGAATTTTTACTTTATCTTTACTGGGGAAAAAATGAAAAAGACTTGTTTGTTTTTATTTGGAGTTTGGGCACCCAACTAATATTAAAGTAGCACAGGAACAGTTGAAAGTTCCTTCATGTTTAATATTCGTATTGGGCCTCTCTGTGTTTCTCATTTTGTTGAAAAAATTTGCTATGAGGTTTCGATTTGGGTAGAATTAACTTGATTGGGAGCTTCACTATTAAGGGAACTTTCCAGATCTTTAGTGGCTTCTCTGCATATAGGCGTGCGCTATGCATGTTAAACAAAAAAAAAAAAAAAAAAAAAAAGAAAAAAAAGTTACTGTCATTAGTAAGTCACTAACTTGCTTCGTAATCTTGCGTCATTTATGTGTCTACATTAAAGATTTGAATTTGCACACCTTAATTCATTTTCTTCTATGGGTTCAAAATTGTAATAATGTGTTTCCACAGTTCGTTGTCAATTGTTGTAGGATTGCTATTCAAAATGTGTTCATCCAACAAGAAACAGATGATCCACAGAGGAAAACCTTGATGCACCCCAAATGAAAAAGAAATTTTTTAACTTCTAAACCGTTCAATTTCTGTTGAAGGTGGGGGAATTAGCATGATGAACCAACACCTTGTTGGAAAGAATGGGGATATTCAATTCTTCCAGATGTAAAATTTCGAATGGAATAGGCCTCCGAAACACTAATAATTCAAATATAAGAAATTGGATGAGTTCTACAGGACCCAATATACTATGAAGCCATTCAGGCTCAAAAAGTTATTTCAAACAGTTATTTATCAGAAAGCCTATTGGATTAATGCATCAAGGATACGTCAAAGGGGATGTTCCAGGTCCGGTCTTTTTTTGTGTGCCTCTCTGGTTTTCATGGCGTTACCTTCCCGTGGAAGACGGTGTGGTTGTCCAAGGCGCCTCTTAGGGTGGCCTTTTTTGTGTGGACTGCAGCTTGGAGTAAGATTTTGACTTTGAACAACTTGAGGAAGCGAAGACATGTTATTGTTAATCGGTGCTGTCTTTGTAAGTTGAATGGGGAGTCAGTAGATCACCTGCTGCTGCATTGTCCTGTGGCTCATGATTGTGGAAGTCTCATTTTTGGTCTGTTTGGTATTCATTGGGTCATGCCTCGGACTTCTCAGGAACTGCTGGATATTTGGAGGGGCCAATGGGTTGGGGCTCAGGCGAGAGTCTTCTGGAGGGTAACCCCTTTTTGTGTTTGGTGGAGCATTTGGAAAGAGCGGAATAGAAGATTTTTTTATGGGAAGGAGTCCTCCATTGGGTGTTGAAATTTTCTATTATTTGTACTCTTTTTTGTTGGGGTTGGGGGAGAGATTTTTCCTCTATTGAGGATATTGTGGACCTTTTGGGCTCTTTGAGATCATAGGTTCCGCTTTATTTTTGTATAGCTTGGGACGCGTTCCCCTTTTGAACGCCTTTTAATACATTTTACTTATCAAAAAAAAAAAAAAAGGATACGTCACAGTGTAATTTATGTCATGACTCATAAGATATGGAGGCACGCAGGCAAAGCATCTAAATTTGATATCTTTAGAAAGAAAATCTTTGTCAGATTTAGGATTAGAATAAACGTAATTGGTGGACTACCTGCATCTGGATGGAAATACCCATGGAGCTTTCCTATGCTTCTATGCAGCTTAGGTGGCATCATCAATCTGCCCGACCAGTGCTTTCCGTTGAAAACCCGTAAATACTTCTAAGGAAGGGGAGGATGTGATAAGAAACACTCAATCTTTCATGTTCTTACAAAGTTTGCAGATCCCCTTCGGATATAGCTTTTATTGTTTCTTCAAAGAGAACTCTCTTTTGTTTCGTTTGGTAGGAAGGAAGACAATTGGATTGAAGGGAGAGAAAAAGGGGTGGATGAGACATCCTAGGGAATAGATTGTGTTCTTCCCTTCTTTTGTTTGGTTGGGTGGAAGAGAGGAGACGAAGCTACAACTTTAGTTTGTTCGGTAGGAGAGGAGAAGAGAGAGTTTTAAATTGTTTTTACGATAATACCCATCACTTACTTTGTTTATAGGGTTTATCTAATATTTATGAAGGATGGTATTGTAATTTAAAACTTTTATAATAGCTCCACATGTCTTCCCTCCTCTCTTCCATCCATATTTGGAGGGATGAAAATTTGTGAAGGAGGAAGGATGACTAATCCATCCTATTATCGTTTCTCTCCTTACCTCTTTTATTCCGAACGAAGGAAATTTGTTCCTTCCCGTCTTCCCTCCACCCCTCTTCCTTCCTTCCTACCAAACAAAGCATTAAGTTCCACAACTTTACCACCCAACTCCATTCAATCTTTTTCCATGGACAAAATTCTTTCAAGCAAAGAAATAAAAAATATTTATCCTTCATGATCAGCTTCCTTTGATCCCACAAGTTATTGTTTTTATTGTGTTATTTACAAGAATCTTACATCACAGGTGTGTGTGCTTTCCAACTGGTCCATTGGACTCACATCACAACCAACACATACTTTCCATTCGGTACTTTTCAGGTGTTTGGATAGTGGGTAGGGTGTCCTAGCGGTGACACAAGGCCTTATCTTAAGTTCAGTGTTCCTATATCTTTTTGCCACCTATACAGTTCGTTCAGATGAGATTATAACTTATGAATCCCAATAATCAATAACCATCCCAATTTTTCTGCTTATAAGAAAATGAATCAATAATCATTTTGTTCAAATGTTCAACAAAGAAATAAAGGACAAAGTGTTGGGGATATTAATTTCCTCCAACCCACTCAATGATCGACTGTTGTTGAGAGTTAAATCCCTCCTTCATTACATACAGCGAAAGCATCATCATCACGTCAATCACACAAGCATATATGGAGATAACAATCCTACACATCCACGCACAACACAATATTTAAATGGTTCACCCAATTCTAGGGCTACGTCCATGGAGATAAAGGTATCACTATAATGAATCAAGGAAAAATATATACAATCATAGGTCAAAACCCCACCCACTCACTCATCATCTCTTTTGAGACTACATCTCTACACTCAGGATATACTCTCCTCTCTCCTCACAACACTCACCCTTAAACCCCTTACATCTTGTCTCTCTCTCTACACCTCTCAACCCAGCTTAGAGTCTTCAAAACCAATTCCTTGTTGAACAAGTATTCCCCAACTTGCCTACAAGGAGTTACCATATCAGTCTTCAACTCTAAAAGAGCAATGTTCTGACTTCCCCGTCTAGCTGGTTCAAGAAAAACTTAAACTGGTTCAATTGGGGTTACAATCATGTCCAACTGGTTTTGACAAAAGTTGAACTAGTTCCAAATAACTTGAAACTATTCACTTCTGACAAAACACTACTTGCACACCGAATTCGATCCACAAAACCAAACATAAAGATCTTAATGGCTAGGTAGGATCCCTCACATTAGCAGGTCTTTTACCAAAAAGCTGCAAAAAAAACTTTTCAATAAGCAATTTAAGGAGATATTGTTTTCCACAAGTGATCATAATGTCTTTCCATGGGATCGTGTCAATTATTTGACGTTGACATTACAGATATTCCATAATTAATATTTACCTATTTTTATTTATGTGAATGGATCTTAGTTCTGCTTTATTAGGTGATTAAAGGTGGGAGAATTACCATCGTAAAACTCAAAAGAGTGGCAAAAAGGCGTGGTGCAAAATCTCGCTTGCCTTAACTCTCTAATTATTCATAAACATAACGTTGTAACAAAGAGACAATAGTCAAGTTGGAAAGAACTTGTTGTCAACCTCTTTCGATGGGAATCAAATCCGCGGATGGTGGTCAAGAACTTACTTTATTATGGAATATCAGTTTTGAATGCTAGTTACTTATTTTGTTATGGAATTTTTTTTTTTTTTTTTTTTTTTTTTATAAGTAATAATCGATTAAAAAAAGCACTCAAAACGGGCACGCATCCCTTATACAAAAGCAAAACCGGGACCTGAGGACCCAAAGAGTCCAAAAGATCAACTAAGTCATCGGAAGAGGAACAAGAGCTCCTCTTCACTTAACTAAAAATAGAGCGAATAATATGAAGTTTCAACGTCGCCATGGACGACTCATTTCCTTTGAGCATTTTGTTATTCCTCTCCTTCCAAATGCACCACCAGACGCAATGTGGAGCTGTCCTCCAATAGTCGCGTGCGCTGCTTCTCACGCGGCATCCCCTTCACCTGTTAATCAAACCCTTAGAACATCGAGGCATTACCCAAAACATACCAAATAAGCCAAAGATAAGGTTCCAACAGTCGTACACAACGGGACAATGCAGGAGGATATGATCCACAGACTCACCATCTCGTTTGCAAAGGCAATGCCAATTAACAATAGTATTGCCTCTCTTCCTCAAGTTGTCAAGCGTCAAAATCTTGCCCCATACGGCAGTCCATACAACGAATGCCACTTTAAGTGGAGCCTTGGAGCGCCATATGGTCTTCCATGGGAAATCAACGCCAATGAAGTTGGAGAGGCATAAGAACATGGACCAAACATCGAATCACCATCTCTTTTTGTTATGGATTTTAAAGATGATTACGAAGATAAGGTGTTGAAGGATTTTTTGCAATGTCAATTGAGGCTTATGTTTTCAATGATTATGATAGAAGAGATGGCAATGAAAACAATAAAGTAATGGGAATGATTGGTCAACTTAAGGCCTACCTAGACAGAATTGAAGATTAAAATGTTCTTGTGATACCGACTGTTGGATTGTTGTTTTTGTCTTCTTCTTCCTTCTTTTTTTCAATTTAGAGGAACGTGTCATATAATATTATGGATTGTGGATCCTCTTTTCAAGTTGGAGTATCGTGACATTTTAATTCGTTATGCTTTGATTCTTGTTGTTCTGAAGTTGATTTGTGTGATTTTATATGACAATCTTGTAATTTTTTTTTTTTTTTTTTACATTTGTTATTGTGAAAGAGGTGGTTAAGTTAAACGTGAGGGTTTTTTAAGTATCAATCTCTTAGCCATATATATTTCTTAGCCTTTTGCAAGTTTCAAAAACTTATTTATAGGCTTGCTAATTTGATGCAGTTTCCATAGATATAGATAAAGGCTTTGGTAGTGACATGGCCTTTGCAATGGAAAAAGCACTTCTCATTGACTTGTAAGACGTCATGACTTTCAATCTTCGGTAAGGAACAAGTTCTGCTTCTATTAGAAACATTTGCATCAGCTCTTCCCTTTCACTTCCAAGTATTTCACCATTCTAATAGAACTTGTTGTTTTGAATTGATGATACCTTGGCTTCATAGATAGTTCAAAAATATTTATTTTAAATTTAGGTAGATTAGACTATAACAACTTGTTTATTCATCCTTTATATGTTAACTGGAATGGTTAAATCGATTTTACCTATTGTTTTGATGTTATGTTATTCTAAATGTCTTTGAAAAGAAAAATATTGCATAGAAAATTTAACAAATTGTTTTTCCATCTTTCCCGTTATTACTGAATTTGTAAATTATTATATTTATTTCACAATTGACTCTGCCGTTCAACTTTGGTTGATTCATTATTTGGTTCACCGAATCAATCTGGTTTCTGAATGAGTTTGCTTTTCTAAACATATATCAAAAACAAAATGAAAACACTGTTTACAACACTTAACCAAACCAAAATATAAAAGTGAAATGAAGCTGTAAATTCAAGTTCAATTGTTCAAGAATTGCCAATATTGGCAACAATTTCATAGCACGGATAATAATACTAACTTACCATAACAAAATCATAACTCATATGGAAGAGTAACCAACTGACTAAAAGCAACAAACATGAAAATGGGTCACACACTATCAACCAAAGTGCCCAAATTAGCAAAACAACAACATTTACACTCAAACTAAACAAAGCCACTAAATCATAGAGTAACCAACTAAAATCCAGAAGAACGTGCAAACCAACAACAAATTTGCCAGACAATTTTCAAAGAAAGATCCTAATCTCACACTATAACTCCCAAACCCAACCCACCTCAGAAACAGTAGGCGTGTTATGTGCATGTATGATTCTTCTTTGTATATTGATATAAAGAGATATGTACAATTAATGCAAACCGCCAAACTACAGTAAACCCTAAATTCCAAAATCATCACACATGTAACAAGCAATAGCAACGAGATCTGAAGACGAAAAGAATCGAGTACGATAATGGTGAGATTGCTGACCCGAAGAGTCCGTGAGGCTTCGGAAGCAGCATGAGAAGGGTTTCCATGGAGAGATGAAGACGAGGACGACGAGAGACAATCGGCGACAGCACGGCGGAGAGGCTCCGGAGGCTTCTTCAGGGACGAAGATCTCAACCTCGAGGCACCACTCAAGTGAACCCTCGAACTCACGGGGCTCCGAGAGGGGCTAAAGCTCGACGACATCGATATTTGTATATATATGTCAGTGCATCTATCTATACATATAACCTGATTTATCTGAAACTCTTCAAGAACTCTTGCCACATTTGAACAATCGAATAAACTGAGAGAGAGAGAGTAGAGAGAGAAGAAGAGTGTATTTAGAAAGAGAAAGAGAGGAATAATAGAGTATTTTGTTGAGATGTAGAATTCTTAAATTTCGCTTGTGTGCGTATTAGCTGTTTGTATAGGCGTAGTTTTATGAGGTTTATAGCTGTCATGCGCTATGAATTCGTCACTTTAATTGGTGGAGGGGTAATCTGGTCAAATAAATTTTACTACTTAGGGCTGAGCTGTTTGGGCAAGGACGGAGTGGCTTTGGCAATAAACAGTTTAACCAGTGATTAAGCACGATTAGCCACCCTGATATCTTGAAGGACAAAACTGTCATTTTCTTTCATTTGGGGTGGATTGTTTGGTTTTGTAAGGTTTATGAATTAAAATGTCCTAGGGTAGTGTTAATGGCAGTCGGCAAACCACTGTGAAGGGGACATTTGTTATAATTATTTAGTTTTAAATGCATTAATTATTTGAATTTTTATTTTTATAATATTTTATTGACATTAATTTTTTGGACAAAAATGTCTTTTTAAATTATTTAACTTTTATTCTTCTCTCCTTTTTTACTCGATCCATATGAGATATGTGCATATATATATATATATATACTAAAATAACTAATGTTATGTGAATGGATTTCGAAAAAAAACCAAAAAAAATTTCCCAAAAGAATGGTTAAAAAAAGAGCAAGAAAAGAATAATACAAGATCGATTATATATTTCTTCCTACAACTATCCTTGAGGGAATGAATTATTTCCTTTTTATGTTTTTTCCTATATATATGTTTCTTTTTTGTTTTTATTTTTAAATTATCCTTGTATAAATGGATTTTTTTTATAAAAAAAAGGAAAAAAATAATAATAATAACTCATTCACCAAGGATAGTTGTAAAAAGAAATATATTTGTGTATATATATATATATAACTAATTTTGTATTTTTTAAAAGTCTCATAATCTATCTTGTATATATATGGATTATTATATATACACACGCGCACACATCTCTCGTGGATCGATTAAAAGAGAAGAGAAGAAGAAAGGCTACATAATTTAAAAACGTATTTTATCTAAAAAAGTAATATTTGTAGAATTCTATAAAAATAGAAGCTAGATAATTAATGCATTTAAAACTAGCCAATCATAACCTTGATTTTGTTGCAGTTTGTCTTAGTTTTCTTCCAGTTCTGAGTTATTGTTGACTATGAAAATTAACGCTCCTCGTGTCACAAGTAGAGATGATTGGAGTGACCAAAAGAAATTAGGTCATTAATAAATGTCTAACTGAAAAATTAAGTAAATTTATATGATGATAATAAATAACATTGTTATTAATTTATGTGGTAAACTCAATATTAAAGTAAGTCAGGATGATAATAACGATGAAATGCATACTGTTTTACCAATATCATTTTGGGTTTATCATCATTTATTTGGTTAATTTATCTATTGTCCGTACCATTAAAATATAATAATACTTTCTCCAGTTTATAAGGGGTTAATTACAACAATTAAAGTAAAGCGCCCTATATTTATTTATTTTTTACAATTTTAAAATTAATTTTTTGAGGGTTGGAAGCCCAAATTTTCATATTTCACTCGATATTTGATATCAATTTCTGATTCTCAAAACGTTATTATTTCGTATTGATTAAAAAATAATTACTATTGGAATAATAAAAATAAGTTTAGATAGGATAAGATTTAAAATGTACTGTATTTTAGTTTTATTCGATGTCGCGTATATGATTTTGAAAATGAAAAATTGGCATTTCTGTAATAATGAGTCTTGGCTTCATGTGTCCATTTTCAAGGAACTCATGAAAGCCTTGCCTTCCGTTTGCAGAAAAGGGTGGGGGTTTAGAAAACGATAGTTGAGGTTTCAGGAATATTGATGTTGGCTATGAGGCAAAAACTAGGGGTAATGGATGAAAAAATATAATTTTGTTATTACTTATGTTAAGGGACGGAGTTAGGAATTAAATTTATAGTGAACAAAAAAAAAAATAGAGAATTTTAAGAAATGAAAGGAAAAACGCAAATATGAATAAAAAGGGAAAGAAAAATGATAGGACTTTGAAATAAACAAATTAGGGCAATAATGAATAAGGAAAATTTGGCTTTTTTAAAAAGGAAATTAAAGAAATTTAAAAGAGTAAATGAGGGGGAAAAAAAAAATTTAAGGGAATTTTGGATATTTAGGAAGGCATAATATACTAATGTCTATGTGTGTCTGGGTATATATATATATAAATAGGCATATACCGACTCCGCCCTTGTCTATGTTGAATGTATGTAAAAAGTTTATAAAACTCATCACATCATATAAGATTATTTCGAATTGAGAAGTCAAAGCTATCTTGAATGTATCCATCTATTATATTTCACGACTAGGGTTTGTTCAATTAAGTATTTGGTTGAAACAATCGACCAAACAACATTTTCCTATCGGCAATTAAATCTTTAGCATTAAGATAACAAAATAATAATTATATTTACTTAATAATCTGTATTTTGTAATATACAATTTATGATCTTTTTCTTATTGCTTTGTATGCATTTTTTTCTTATTTTTTTAGCGAATGATTGGATTTCGACCCAAGTTTGGCATGTTAACTTGTATTTGAAATAAAATATATTTAATTTGATAACTCATTAACTATCTATATTTAATAATTGTTAACTAAACAAATCAAATATTGATTCTAATCAATCTAATCCTACGTGATATAATATATGATATTTACAAAATATATTTCTCAAATGCTATTATATACATATTGTCAATTTTTATCATTATTTTATTTTCTTATTCCCTCCCTATTTTCCCTTTACCACCTTATTATTTTATCTCACTAACAAATAATAAAGGACCTAATTTTGATTTTGTTTTTGTTTTTGGTCTATATATTATCTCCTCCGTCATCTTTTCTATTTTTTGTAATTATTGTTTACCGTGGCCATTTGTCAACATTTAACTAAAAATCACTATCCTAATAAATTATCAAATCACACACGGCAGAGCCAATAAAGGCTAGGGGTTACATGCCCCTGATCTTTATAGAATATATATAGTTAATTTGTAATTTTTTTTAGTATATATGAAAAATTATATATCATGTCCCCTAAATTTTTAATTTCTAAAATTATTTTAACTGTTTATTTCTTTTGTTTTTTATATTTCATAAATTTATTTAAAAAAAAAAGTCAAATAAGCAGTCTCATCGTATTTATAAAATCAATAAAAAAATAAATACTTCTCAATATATATATATATTTATATATATTGTATTTGGACAATGTTTGACCCGATCCAGTTACAAGCCTAGCAGTAGGTAAGATGGGTAAACCCAACTTCAATCTCAACCAGCACGGGCTTAAAAACAACTCAGACCTACTAATCTGGATTTACCCAATATTTCAAACCAGACACAAAGCCCAACCAGGTATCACTATCTCATTGCGTTGATTGGTATGGGTAAAGGCCAAACTAAACCCATACATAAATGCTATGCAATTGTTAATAAAATGTCCTCTTAGTTTCAAAAAAAAATAAAAATAAAAGTCTACGAGGTGATGTTTGAGAATAATGAAAATTATTTACTGAAAATTTTAAGTTTTGAAGTAGTACTGTAATAAATTATTAAAAAATATTATTATTTTTTTAATTTTCAGTGTTGAGTTCGTGTCACTTAAAATGTTATTTTATTTTAAGTGACATTTATCTTTTTCAGCAATAGTTAAGTTGTATTTTCAAAAGGGATAAACGCTCAATCCGTTTATAATTAAGTGTTGAATTGAGTTATGAAATAACACCTTAATCACACTAAAAAGGATATATTCTCTTAGCTCGTGATGATAATTTCAGTAACACTATGCTTGATTGCAATGCATTACTTTGAATTATTATTTTTTTTCAATTCAATGTAAACAAACAAAACATATTGTAATCTTTGTCGAGCAAGAGAGAGAGGAAAGTAATAAAGTTATGTTTGAAAGCCCTGAATCAATCTCGCAAATTTAAAACACCAACTCAGTGTTAATAAAAATTAATTTTGTTTGCTTATGATCCATATTAAAAGAGATTTTCGAAGTTAATATTTGATGGTATGACTTGCACGGGCCATGTGCATAATTCTGAACTTATCATTACATTTTCCAATTATTTGTTTTATATATATATATATATATATATGATTGGATGAAGTTAGTATTTATATTTTTTTTCAAATTTCAATTTCATACAACATTATAGTATTTATATTCACGCATAAAAGTTTGAATTATTATTATTATTTTTTGGGAGGGCGATCATCATCCCCTATTTCATGTCAATAATGTGGCTCACCAACAACATTCATTATTCTCTAAACAACTTTCTATCCCCTTATATTAAAATTAGAACAATAATACATGATGAGTTGAGAAGTATAAATCCCACCACATGACGCTATATAATAACTATTTCCCAAACTTCCACTCCCTTGTTATCCTCTAAATTCTCAAGAGATATATATATATATATATATATATTTATTTATTTATTTATTTCCCTAGTTAATTATGCTTTTTCCAAACAAAGGAAATCTACAACCATATATAGTTGAATTATATGTGTAAAATATATACATATAAATTGTACCCAAATTAACAAAAAAATATAATCCACCTCCCAAGAAAAAATTGTTAAACTAATTTTTTTTTCATATTAATTTCAAGACACCATGTCTAGGCACAACTATTTTTCCATTTGTTATAAATAAAAATTTAATACAAAAAAATATAGCACCAATCTAAGTTTGACATCACTTTATTTTTTGAAATTACTCGTTTATTAATATATATATATATATTTAGTACATTACAAGAAAATCTTAGGATTTTTATCAAATGACTTACCACCGTAAAATTGGATAAATATGTGATTTGTGCGGGTAAATTAAAGTCGTGAGGCAATCGCAATCGCATCTTCCATAGACTCGTCAAAGTCAATGGAACGCAACACATCAGCAAATAAAATCCTCCTAATCTGACCGTACACGTGTCCATCCCATTTCCTGGCCACCAGCTCATCCCCCAATCTCACTGCAGCCTTCACCGTCTCCTCCGCGCTATCGTGCGCCGAGTCGACAATACCTATCTCGGCGGCAACCTCCGCCGTCAACTTCGCCGATCTCAAAACAACGTCGCGCCGAGCCATACCCGAGCCGACCTTGGAGCTGACCACAGCCACGAACCAGGCCGGAATGTTGAGCCCAATGTCCACCTCACTCATGTACAGAAAGCCCCGGTCCTTCCTCATGAGGACGTAGTCGTGGCTCAGCGCGAGGATGTAGCCGGCGGCTGAGGCATGGCCGGAGACGGAGGCGATCGTCGGCATGGGAAGCGAGAAGAGGTCGTTGACGAGCGACCTGAATTTGGTGGACATGAGTCGGAGGCGGTGTGCAATGGTAGTGGTGGGACCGCCGGAGGTTTTGGCCCAGGCGAGATCGTACCCGTTGGAAAAGAATTTGCCGTGGGCGGTGGTGATGAGTGCGGAGGGTGTGGTGGACTCGGATCGGACACGGTGGAGAGCGGCTCTGATGGCGTCGATTAGGGTAGGATTAAGCCTGTGCTCATCGTTGCCGGTTAGTGTTAAAATGAAGAGGTTGCCTCGCTTCTCTAACGTGCACATCTCTCTCTCTCTCTCTAACTTTGGGAAACTCTCTCTCTCTCTCTCTAAAACTTCGCCCCTGGGTATCTCTTCTAGAGCAAAGACAACAACGATAGCATTCATAATAAAGTCGTTGCCAATGTCCAGTCATCCCTGGCGGCTAAGTTTGTTCGGGTTACAAGGAGGAGGAGAGGAAATAAAATAAAATAAAACCAGAGACTATTGCGCTTGATGAAAGAAAAATGAGCAATTGCTGTTGATTTTTTTTTTTGCACAATTTCTGTTGATTCAAAATTTGTATTTATATTGCTATCGAGAAATATTACTGTACAATATTAGAAATGGAGATGATGTAGTTTTTTTTTTTTTGTTAAAAAGATTATGTAGTTTGAGTTAAAGAATTTACTTGAAATATGTTAGGCCTTTAGCCAGCTCATCCAATAAATTTAATGAAAAATTAAAGTTTAGTGGACAAAAATTAATGATAATAGTTTGAAAGTGACCTCTAAGTTATCAAAATAATATTCTATTTTAAAATTATATTGCGGCTTGATTCCATAATTTTTTTTTTTTTTTTTTTTTTTTTATCACAAATATAATATTCATTTCACTTTTTGCATATACCTTTTTTTTTTTGGATTCCTGCTGCAAATGAGTCAAGTCCAGCTATGCCACTTAGAGTAAGATTGTCGCATCAGTCGCGGTAGAGTGACTGTCGTCATTGTAACCGTGATGGATTTTCCAATAGTTATAACATATATAGTAAAGTGTAATTGATAAATGGACGGGTTAATGGTTGCGGGCTTGTGGAATGGACGTAGGACTATTTGTAAGCACCAAACAACTCCATGAACCTTTAAAAATTAGAAAAAAATACATCGATTCAGTGTTTTTAAACGCAATATAAGTGTTTAAGTTAAATTTCAACTAAATGAGACTGTTCACAAGCTTAGCGAGCCCGACTCACAATTATTCAAGATCAGCACATTTATTAAATGGCCTTGAAATATAAGCTCAAATTTGGTTCATTTACTAAACGAATGAGTCCGAACTATTTATGAATAACTCGATTTATTTGTTATTTTTGTGTTGTTTGGTAACACAATTTAACGCTCAATTCTAAACACATTCAACACTTATTCAATTAAGTGTGTTTGATAAAACGATAAGCATAACTAAAAATGTGATAAAATTTTAAATGACAGAGACAACGCTTATCATTGAAATTTCAATGATAAATGTTGTCTCTATCACTTAAAATATTTGAATGCTTAATGCTTAATGCTAAAAATTAAAAAAATATAAAAAATATATATATTTTAATTATCGTTTAAAACCCTCTTAAAATTTTCAATTTTATCAAACATAATGTTAAAGAGCAAAAAAAACAAACTTCGTTTTTTGTTTTGTTTTTTTTTTTTTTTTTATTAATTTTATTTTTAAAGGCTGAATATCATCCCCTATTTTAGGTTAAAAAGCAAAAAAATTCTCCTCTAAATTATGTTCAAATTTACAAATATTTAGTGACATTTTGTTGCAAAATGCATATATGCCTAGTTTATTTTCATATATGCCTTGTTTATTTTCATTAAATGACCATAATGTAATTTCTTATTAAATTAAACTTAATTCAATTTTCTTATAAAAAAATTATGAAAAAAATCCATACTAAAATTGATGACAAATTCTGCATTAAATTTGCATAAATTTATCTTTCCTTCTTAAAATTAAATGTTTAAATAAAAAATTTAAATAATTTTTTTAAATAATATAAGTAATTTATTAATTTTTCATGAAAAAGTTTTTTTCTTATGTTTTACTGTAAAAAGGTTTAAACCAAGTAAGTTTATCATATGATAAAATGGTTGTTACAAATTTATATTTATTTTAATGAAAAATTAATACAAGCAATAAAATTAAGGTAAATGATATAATTAATATATAGATAAGACAAAAGATAATAAAAGTAGTTTAATAAAAAAAATGTAATTCAAAAGATTAAAATATTCTTGTGATGTCTTTAGTTGCAACAAAACATAGTTTAGAGACATTTTATAAGATTTTTTTGCCCTTTACCCCTTCTTTATTTGTTTTTTTGTCAATAACTTCTTCGTGTGACTTACCGTCATTCCATTCTTCTCTAAACTCCTTGTGTATATATAATATAGTTATTCTTTCTCCGAACAGAAGAGATTAACAATCATATCTAGATCAATTATACTAGTATGCGTAAATACACACACACATATAAAAAATGTTAGTATTATTTACCTCCCAAAAAAAATATATGTTATGTTGGATTGCATAAAATTGATTGAACAAATTTTTTTATTTTACTTAATTTTAATTTTAAGACACTAATTTTATATATAACACACAAAATATAACATCAATCTAGCATTTAACATAACTTTATTCTGCAATTACTCTTTTATTTATTTATTTAATTTTTTTTTTTTTTTTTTGAGTACATTACAAGAAAAATCAATAGGATTTTATCAAACGACTTACCACTGTAAAATTGGATAAATATGTGTTTTATGTGGGTAAATTAAAGTCGCGAGGCAATAATCTCAGCCGCATCTTCCACAGTCTCGTCAAACTCAATGGCACGCAACACATCAGCATGTAAAACCCTCCTGATCTGACCGTACACGTGTCCATCCCATTTCCTCCCCACCAGCTCTTCCCCCAATCTCACAGCAGCTTCCACCGTCTCCTCCGCGCCATCGTGAGCCGAATCGATAATCCCTCTCTCGACCGCCATCTTGGCCGTCAACTTCGCGGCTCTCAAAATCACGTCGCGCCGAGCAATCGCCGAGCCGATCTTGGTGCTGACGACGGACACGAACCAAGCCGAAATCTTGAGCCCAATGTCCACCTCACTCATGTACAGAAACCCCCGGTCCTTCCTCATGAGAACGTTGTCGTGGCTGAGCGCCAGGATGTATCCGGCAGCTGAGGCGTGGCCGCAGACGGCGGCGATCGTCGGCATTGGAAACGAGATGAGGTCGTTAACGAGCGACCTTAATTTGGAGGACATGAGTTGGATGCGCTGTGCGGCGGCGGCGGGACTGGTGGTGTTGGCCCAGGCGAGATCATAGCCGTTGGAGAAGAATTTGCCGCAGGCGGTGGTGATGAGAGCAGAGGGGCCGGTAGACTCGGAACGGACTCGGTGGAGAGCGGCTTTGATGGCGTCGATTAGGTTAGGGTTAAGCCTGTGCTCATCGTTGCCGGTTAGGGTTAGAATGAAGAGGCTGCCTCGCTTCTCTAATGTGCACATCTCTCGCTCTCTCTTGGAATCTGTTTCTCTCTCTAAAATTTCTCCTATTTTCGAAGTTACGAACCCAGTTAGAGGATGAATTCAAATTGATAAATAATATTTGTGAAATTTTCTTTTCTTAAACTCTCTTGATTCATAGTTTTTTTATTAATTAGTTGTGATTTCAAATTATTAAATTTTAAATATAGGTCTTTTTTCTTTTGTTTTACTTAAAAATAAAAATTCTTTTTGTATATTTTTTTTAAGTAAAATATTTTATTATTTTAATTATTTTTGAAACATATAAAATAACTAAAAATTTATGAATAAAATATTTTGAATTTTTTTTTTCTTTGTAAATATTTTACAACAATTCAATATTAAAAAAATAAAAAATATATTTTTTAAAATATATTTTACACCCAAACCAACAGGAATCTAAAAAGAAAAGAAGTTAAAAAAAAAGCGAGAGAGTCTGGTTTCATGTTGCAGTAATGCACTTCCAGCACTACATGATATATAAAAAAAAATTGGGAGATCCAAAACATAACACAAGTGTATGAGCATGTGTACTTTGATGACAAGAGTCATTGCAGAAAATAATGTTTACACTTTGATTAAAGCATTTCTCAGGAACTTGCTCATATAAGTTGAAACGGAAGCTGGGCATGGCTTGCCATTTTGTACTATAATGGGAGTTCACATCTAATTTGTGATTCCAAGCCTCTTGCGGAAGTCCTCTTCCATGAGGGGAAGACCATCGCGCAACTTGATCTTCGGTTCCCAACCAAGCAACTCCTTTGCCTTTGTGATGTCTGGCTTTCTCTGGCGAGGATCATCTGGTGTGTTATCCACAGTCGAGATCTTCACTTCAGGATTGATGAGCTGCAAACCTCAAAACGTGTCTCATGTTTAGTTCCTCCCCTTTTCTATCTAAATGGCTAAATGCTAATGTTCAGATACAAAGGCGACAAATCGTAAAGGTATTAAACAAATCCTAAGAACCAAAAATTGACAAGGAAAATCGTTTCCTTTTGTTTTTTTGTTAATTTTTATTTATTTAAGTCAAATGGAAACATGAGTAACTTCAAAACTGACCTCTTTTACTGTCTCAGCAAGTTCGAGCATTGTGAATTCACCTACATGCAGAAACCTGGTATTAGCAAATATGGTTTTAGCATACCTAGAGACCAAGTCCAAGCACCACAGTGCTTGTGCGTCACACAAGTTATATAATAACCTGGATTTCCGATGTTGATTGGCCCTGTATGATCTCCTTCCATAAGTCGAATAAGACCATCAACCTTCAACATTGAAAAAGAATAGCAAGACGATGTAATATTAACAAATAATTGGAGTCGATCAATAGTCCAAAATCTACATACTACGGTGCTCGTGCACGTGCATACCATGTCAGAAACATAACAAAAACTCCGAGTTTGTGTTCCAGGTAATTGTACAGTTATGGGATCATCACTGCATCAATAAACAACGAGTAAGGGGTTCGGGAACAAGAATGTTATGAGGCACATGTTTAAATGTATGTGGAGGAGATGGTGAAAAAGAACTCTGGTAGAATATGTCAAGGAGGTCCACAAAAAGTAGAAGTGCAGCATTAGAAGTTACCGGATTGCTTGAGCTATGAAATTGCTAACAACACGTCCATCATCAATATTCATGCGGGGTCCATAAGTATTGAAGATCCTTGCTATCCGGATTTCTGTTATAGAATCACCGTTTTCAGAAAGAAAATATTGCATCAGAAGATATTGTTTTACATAACAAAATTAACGAGAGAGAGAGAGAGTCAAATTTACCTATCCCATGCTGCCTGTGATAATCAAACATCAATGTCTCAGCCACCCGCTTACCCTCATCATAACAACTCCTAACTCCTGTAGTATACATGACGATGATGAGTGTCCTAATAAATTTGCTCATAGCAATAGTTAAAATAAAAAAATAAAAAATACTACAAGTAGGTACAATGATTTTTTGTCATATTCATTGCACCAAAAACTCTGCATGTCATTGGTATGGCAAATATCACCAAAAAATTGCCCCCGGTTCATTTTGTTGAGGTATTACTGTGCAATATTATAGCTTACAGAGTGATAATCATGCAAATGCATATTTGTTAATTAAAATATAGCAGCGGTCAATATTTTTCTCCCCTCTTCAAGACCATTATTACATGAGACTTGAACTATAGACCTCATCTCACTCCCACATCACTCTTAACTAAGAGAGAAAGTGCTCGTAGGTTAAACTAGCAGTTAACAAATAATTAACAAGTTCCCAAACAGGAACTCAAAAAACTATAAGCATCAAAATAGTCTCCTAATGGATGAAAAGTTTTTTCATGTACTACACTTAGAATCCATCTATCATATTAAGAATCAGATATAAGAAGTCTATTATGATATATATACCTATAGGGTTGACATTGCCCCAATAGCTCTCAGTCTGGGGATGCACAAGAGGATCCCCATAAACCTCTGAAGTTGATGTAAGCAAAATCCTGTTGGCCATTTCAATAACATGAGTGAAACGAGAGATCTATAAATAACGAGGAGGAGGAGATAGAAAAGCAGTTTTTAACCTTGCTCCAACTCTCTTGGCAAGTCCCAGCATGTTCAATGTCCCGATCACGTTTGTTTTGGTTGTCTGTCAAGTAAATTATACTTAAAATCAGACTATCAATAACTTCCAATAGGTACACTAATCAGAATCACATTTGTAAGGGCTCATCATTTAGAAGTTAGAACACAACAGATGCATAAGAAGCATATTTTCGTCAAGGGGATACTAAGTGTCTAGTATTGCCGCCATATCAGTTCTCCGTCAGTCCAGAGACAATCTCTTTCCCTTTGCTCAGATATGGCTGCATTACTAACCAATGCTGCCAAACATCTAGCTAGGTTAAGCCACCAGGTTGTGTTTACACCAGAGAGACGGATTAGACTGTGACACTGCCAGTCAGAGAAGAGCTTTAATTCAATCTTGGCATTAATGAAATTGGTTTCAATGGGTTCCCAAGGGGGGAAAACCGGAAAAGAACCGGCTGTAAACTTGTAAAGTTTAACAGTTACAGGCATTAGGAGAAAAGAGTGCAATTTTTAAGTAATATAAAAGCAGAATCCCCTGCTTGCAATTTTTTTTGCTCATGCAAAGGAAACAACTCTGGATAAAGGTATTGTAAGCAGCTGGATAGTTTCGAATCAATGACAAACCTTAACAGGATTGTATTTGTAGAAAATTGGAGAAGCAGGACATGCAAGATGATATATTTGATCAACTTCAATTAATAATGGCTCCGTGACATCTGCAAGAAAACTTAATACATTATATTATAAGATGACACCAAATTTGAATAAGATTAATGAAACATAACAGATAAGGAAACGAATTCCTCTGATTGGAGTATAAACCTTAGTGTATGTAGAAAGACAGTATTAATGTTTCAGCAGGCAGATTTATGTAATAAGTATAAAAATTAAAAATTAAATACCGATTCCTTTAAGTTGACCATCATAGAAGTGAAAAAATTGAAGGGTCATTCAACAACTTGAGAAGTTCCAAAGGAAACAAGCACATTCAGAAGTATCAGCAGCGCATCTGATAATTCACAAACTAAACAACATACCATGACGAATAAGCTCAAATCTTGGATGACCAATCCATTGCTTTAGGTTGTCCTTCGAGCCAGTGAAGTAGTTATCCACAACAATCACCTACGTACAGGAGAAACATACACATCTGTGACCACAAATACATAACTTAGCAGGCAACTGCTATCTGACTTCCCTTCCGGTTTTAAAATATGCATATAATGTGATACATATGTAGATGCTCCCCACTGACTGAGGCACTTTATCCATCTAGAGTACATTCCTCGTGAACAACTAACAAACATGTAACAGAAAAGGATACCAGAAAGTGTTTACCTCGTTCTTCTCATTTTCCATCAATTTGTCCACTAGATGAGAGCCAATGAATCCAGCTCCTCCCGTAATCAAAATTCTCATGTTGGCCTGTCATCAACAAATAGAGATTTTCAAGTCTTGGAAAAAAAAAAAAAAAAATTCGTATACAAAACATATTTCAAGCCAAAAGGGTTAGAGACTTTGAATGTAGATACAAAAAGAGAACAACATAGAGATGGAAATGCGATAGAATAAAAGATCTTTGCCGGAAATATTGAGAAGGGATGGGCCTGTCAGCTGGCAGTTCTCTCTTCTTTCCAAGAGAATCCTGAAATTCAACTTAAAAGCCGAAGCAAGTAGATATTGCTTTCTTAAGGAAAGAGAAGGAGGGCCTATGATGATGAACATAATGATGATGGGCAAAAATGCCTTTTTGAAAAACCGTTTAAATCACACCCTGTTTTCATTTTAAGTCCGCCAGAAAGGATGCCATTAATGGTTGAGCTTGCTGCATGTGTCTGATTTTTGTACAGGACCAACAAAGGAATATGCAGTATATAAAATGGAAGCATAACTGCGTGAGCAGACACACACATAAAGTCAGCTACACAACTTTTTAAAAACAAAAAATTAATGATTGAACACCAAAAGCACAAGTTCTTTCCGTTAAAGAACAACTATTTCATACATTTTAATTCTCGCATGAATAGTAATTTAAGTTATATAAACACGTAATCATTATCTAAATATAATAAAGTTGAAACCTCTTCTATCAAACAGAAACACAAACACTTGGTATACTAACCTGATAAAATTTGCCATTTCTCAATGGAGACGGGCTCGGAGGGGGTCTTGTAGATACATGGTTCTCTCCATTTGAAACTTCTTTAGCCATTAGTCAAGCTCCTTCTTGAATGTCTGAACCCAAATCAACAGAAGACCTAAATTATAAATTAAATAAAATAAAAAAAACCATAAATCAAACAAATCTACTAGGCTTCCCCATAAATTGAATTGATTCAATCAAACCACAAACTTCAACTTAAATCTCACAGTAGGGAATGCCTAAACAAGCATAGTTTTTGAAAATTAACAAAGAATCAAGTTATAATTACCTGATAGTTTGTAATGAATTACCAAAGCCTGATAGTTGTATACGATGGAACTGTGTGTATATATATATATATATATATATATATATATATGAAACAAAGAGAGATTTGAGGCGTGTAATAAAAAAACGTTACCACCAGAGAGAGTTTTAGAGATAGAGATGAATATTCAAAAATAAGAAGAGGAGAATGTGATCAAAGCCTTCTAAATATATATGACTATGCTCTGGATTAGCTAATAATTTCTCCTAAAGTATAGCCCCCACTACTGATGGTTTCAGATCATATCGAACCTGCAGACTTTATCATTTGTAGGGAATCACAACTCTCCAAATAAGATTTGAAAGAAAATATCTCGGAAATAACACGAAAAGAAATGGATTTTTATTTTTTTAAATATTTTTAATTTAATTTGGCAGTTTAAGGAAGATTTTTAGATACATTAGATAAATTAAATGGATGAGTTTTCACAGTCTTTCGTTTAATTTTTAAAATTTACTATAAATGTTAAAACATCTCCTTGTATTTAATTTTTTTTTTTTTTTTTTATGTAAATATGATGTGTCATAATGAATTTATATAAAAATTTTAGATTATTTGATTTTAAATATTTTTAATTTAATTATTTTGAGATAAATTAAATGGATGACTTTTCTCAGTCTTTCGTTTAATTTTTAAAATTTACTATAAATGTTAAAACATCTCCTCGTGTGTGTGTGTATATATATATATATATATTATTTAAATCTGATGTGTATACATTTATACAAAATTTTCAGATTATTTATTTTTTGCTGCAACATTTTTTTATAACAACGTGTTTTATCTAAACCCTACATAATTTTTACAAACTTATTTGACGATAAAAAAATAATATTTACACATTACACGTGTAATGTATATTTTATATAAAATAATATTTTAACAAATTGCTGGAGATGCTTTTAGAATGAGGAAGTCCTATGTCCCTTTCTATTGGGCTATTCATAAACAGGTTGTGCAGTGTTGTGTTATTAGTCACAATATAATAGTATAGTTAATATTATTTTTGATTAGGTCTCAATTACATTTGTACCTGATATCTTTTAGGAATATATATATATATATATACACAAATGTTTTTTTTTTTGAGAAAAATTTACATTCCATTACTACAAAAAAAATTTATAAACTTTTTCTAAAAAAATAAAACAAAAATAGGGCATTTCTTTTAAGGTGAATTTCATACCTTTTAAACGATAAAATGATAATTTTTATGATTTTCTTGAATTTTTTTTTTTTACACATTGTAATATATTATTGTGGAGATAAAAAAAAATTACACATTTGGTATATTTTACATAAAAGAATCTTTTAACACATTGCTGGAGATGTTCTTATATCGTTGTCGGTATTCTTTCTATTTTTTATTGTGCTCGCATGCTGTCTTGTTCTTGTTAATTTTTAGCGACTTTTCTGACCTCGTGACAGGACTCTAAAAAAATTTCAAAGAACTATAATTTATAAATCGAAAGATTTTTTTTCTTTCAAACCCCTTGTTTATGCTTATTTTGACCAACAAAATAAATACTTATTTCACATTCAAGGGTGCTTGGAGTGCTTGTAGAATCAGAATAACTGAGGTATTTTGGGCTTTGGATTTTTGGAAAAAAGAAAATGAAATCGAGATTTTGGAATATCAGAGGATAATAGAAATTTAGAAATAATTAAGAAAACAATGACCTCTTTACATATCAAATTAAATTATTCAATGGTGTGGTGACAAAGAGTTTGAATTTGAATTATTTGAACATTCACAAAGCAGCTGTAGGCTGTATAATAACGAGTGGGACTCAGTCCTGTTGTGATTGTGCCTAATGTTGGAATTTATATTTCAAATTATTTTTCTTCAGTAAAAGAATAAATTTTTTGATAATATATTAGGTGTAACAATTATTTTCTTATATTTAAAGTGAAAATACTAAATCTTAAAAATCTTAACTACCTTATCTATTTCATGAAGTAGAAATACCTTCAACAACAACAATAATAAAAAAATCTTTTATTTTTTTTTATAAGAATTAATTATCACATAAACTAGCTGAGTGTACAAAAGAATTTTTTCTAGGGCAAAGTACACTTACATTCCTTGAGGTGAAGAATATTTTAATTTTAATTTTTACTTACACTCCAATTTATTTTTTGAAATCTTATCCATTCGAATTGACCATTTTATCTTTAATACTATAACCCAACCGCAAAAGTGTCAATTTAATTTGCCCTTTTTTATATTTACGAGAGAGATGCAAATGTGGGGGGACATTTTAAAAGTTCCTTTTTCTTTCAAATTTTTGAAACGAAATCTTCATTACACACTTCCAAATTCTTTGAAATGAATATTAATTATAATATGACTTCTGTTTTTTGTTTCCAAGTCCTAAACATCTTGTGGCTGTAGTTTAGTGGTGAGAATTCCACGTTGTGGCCGTGGAGACCTGGGCTCGAATCCCAGCAGCCACACAATTTTTTTACAAGTTTTATGTTATTTAAGTTTTGGAATTTTTATTTCTTGTACCAAACAGTTAAGTTGGCAATAAAATCAAATATTTTTGCTTTGCATATAACCAAAAAAAAAAAATCAAAATCAAACATTTTTTTTCTTGATGCTCTTATTTCTCCCTCAAAAAGCAACAATGCTAGTAGGCAATAGTCATAGGATATTTGCAATGTCCGAAGTTGGCTGTAAAACATTTTTTCTTGATGTAATGATGACGTTTCATTATAAAAGCTTGGATAAAGATTGATTTTTCTTTTTGGTGACAAAGACGAGGATTGGTTAAGGCGTTTGTTTGTTACAACTTAAAATATTTTATTTGAATTTTTTTTAGGTAAAATATATATTTATTTTGTTCGTGTTTGACAAAGGTCTATGTCGAGGTTGAGATCGAATCCATCGGACGGGACATATAAGTTAACTTGTCGAATATTGAAAGATAAATTATTTTTGTTAGATTTTATTTTTTTTTTTTCTTCGTAAATATTTTACCACAACCAAACACCAAAAATTAAAAAAATATTTTCTTAACAAATATTTTACGTCCAAACAAACAGAACCTAAATCAAGTACAAATGTAATTGAAACCTAATAAGAAGGATCTATGTAGTAAAATTACACATAAGTAGAGTTAGAAGTCGTAAATAATAAAATAATTTATTTTAAAAGTTCATTTTTTAAGTTAATTGAATAAAATAAAATAATTACAAATGCATCAAGAATTATTATTAATGTTTAAAATACCCTCCAAACTATTGTTCCAAAATACTTATATATCCTTCTTAAAATAATATAATTTGAAAATAAAAAGTTGAGAACCAAATTGAACCAGCAAATACAAATTAAATAGTTGATAATGACAATTTTAAAAATAAAAAAAAAAATTAGATTTTGTTGACCAAAATTGAAAAGATTTGATTTTAAGTGACTAAATGGTAACCAAATTTAAAAAATAATTACCAAGAAGTGATCAATTAAGAATAATTTGGTCAAGAAAACTCAATCATTTATGAAAGTGTTGAAAATGAATAGGCTTAAGAAACTAAGTGAGACAAAAATGAAGAAGAATGTGATGACACGATGTATAAGATGCTGTTTGAGAGAGAAGGAAGGTAAATTTGATGTGGGGGTTACATATTATTCAAGTTAAGAATGAAATTCAAAAGTGAGACATTAAAGAATTATCCTTCGAATTTCTGCCATTTTCGCTATGCTCCTAAGACCTGACAATCATATTCCTTTCTATTAATGATTGACCTTAAGAAAATATTGTGGTATGAAAAAATAATATAAGATAGGGTTTGGGGGCAGATTTTAGTGGTACCATTAGGTCCATTACTAAAAGGTGTGTACATGTATATAAGTGTGGGTATACCCTACTGTTACTTGTTTAATTACATATATATCCCGTTAAAAGGCACTATTAAGTCGCCAAAAGCCCTCATATTTCTCGGATCTGAAAAGACGAGAATTTGATGGTGGTGGTGATCGTGATCGCGATCGCGATCGCGAACTCTGTGATCGCTTCCAATTTGGCGTTGCTATCAATCTAAAAAAAGTTCACTTTTTTTTTGGATTCCTGGAGCAAAACAGAAGGTATGTCATCTGACTCATCTCTCTATGGCTTCGACTCTATACCTATGGAACATATATATATACACACACATATCTACACCCATACATACTAGAAATAATTACAGACAGATATTTAATATCTAATCAACCCATTCGATTTATCATCCATGATCTTAATTTTTATTTTATTTTATTTTTCTTGTTTGAATCGTTGTGATATGCTGAGTTTTTGAGATCAAGAGAAGATTTCGGTTCTCTCTCTAACTAAATGTGTGTCAATATTAAAATATGTTGGTGGAAGTGGTGTGCAAGTGATCGCATAGCGGAGTGGATATCGCGTTAGACTCCGAATCTAAAGGTCGTGGGTTCGATTCCCACTGCGATCACGCCCTTCCCCAAATTTTTTTTTTGGGCTTGTTTTTTTGTTCTTCTAGCTTTTCATTCATGATTCTGTGTTTTCTTTATCTTTTGTTGACTATTGCATTTATCTAATAGGAGTTCTTTGATATCAGATGATAGGGGTTTAAACCCTAAATTGATCTTTTGATTGGATATTAGCTACTAATAATCATTTGAATTGGGGTTAGCCAATAAATTTTTTAATTCTTCATTCATTGCCCTAATTCTTTTACAATAATGTTTTCATATAGAAAATAATGTTTTTTTGTTGGTGAATTTTTCTTTCTTTTTTTTTTTTTCCCGGGAAGTTAATTCTAGTTGGTTGTTGGTGAATACAATTTACCCATAAGAAAAGAAAAGAAAAGAAATCAAAATTTCAGTTAGAAATTCAAATTCAAGCTCTCATAAAAAGAAAGAAAAAGGCTCTTCATTATAGAGAAAGAGAAAATATGACATTTTGCAGAGTCAAAACAGTTATTCATTTCCCTTTGCACAATCTTTGTTGTATTTGTTATCTATTCTTTGCCTTGGCGTTGAGCTTTCTTCTTCTTCTTCTTCTTTTTTTTTTTTTAATTCGCAGTAAGAACATTCTTCAAATCACACTAGTGGTGAAAACCCAATTTTTAGATGTCCGTCCAAATAATAGTAGTATGAAACTCTTGAGCTATAATTGAGATTGTCATACTGTGAATCGATACAATATGGTTAGAAAAATTAATTAACTAAAATAATACCAATGAAAAATACTTATCGGTTAAGCAAATAAAAA